AGCCTTCAGTGCACGCGCTTATAATGACGAAGATGAGCCGAAAGACAAAATTTTCAGTGCACGCGCTTATAATGACGAAGATGAGCCGTTCGTATCCACAGCGACAAGTGATGATGGCGCTGATGTCGATGCACTGACAGACAGAATAATGCGTTTGGTGTCTAACAAGCTCAAACAGGAGATACCAAAGCTCCGTCGAAAACTTTAACTCTTTCCCGCACCAATGCTGCACGTCGAACTTGGCTTGAACTAGGACTTGAATCAAAGGCTTGAAATTACAATAATGATATGGACCATACTTTCTTTAAATCACATAAGCACCAAATATTCATGATCGTGAACCAGATATCATTGCGGGGTATGATGCTCAAAAACTGCACCCATTTGAGCAGCAAATCTCCTTTGAACCTCTTCTAGTGATACAATTTAAGATATGTAAATAAAATAAAAAGTTTCGTTTCTAATTCAATCCTCAGTGTTACCTTGTTCATAATGATGTTAGATTAGTGTAAGACATTCCATAAAGTGTAATTTTGCAGATAGATAGCTCATTTGCCCTCGACAATGATTGTGGCACAATACTGTCCCTTTGTCAATAATTTATTTTGATTTAAACCACACTTAGGTAGCAACACAATAGAATGAACTGTGTTTTATTTTAAAGAATATCCAGCTATAACAAAGAGCAGTGTATTATTTTTTCTATTGTTTTTAAAGAATGTACACTTGGCATTAGCTACCTAATACCATTGTGGGACAGAAGACGGTTGACTGTCATATGCAGTGCACTAAAGCTGAACTAATCATAGTCTATTCACTCTTTCAATAGTTGATTAGTAAACACAAAAGAAATAAAACTTTAAAGTGTACATGCCACGTCAAATGCAATGCAGTTTAAGTAACTGACCTAGTTACAACCACTCACTTCTCAATAAATTTACCTCAGTCAATACAAAAGAAATGGATTTTTCCTAAAATTGGATCATTGCCATTTAAGTCTCATAAGAGGTTGTGCCCATTGTGTGATCTAAGTTACATAAAAAAAATGGGTCTTAGGTCTTATGAGAAAATGATGTCCTCGAGGCTTCGCCCCTTGGCCATTACTTTTCCTAATATTACTCAAGACTCATTGTGTATCCCTAACTGAAAGTATCTTGTATCATTATCACTGTTCCACTAGTTACATTGACGAAAAATCATTATAGTATTACCAATTTATTTTGAACTTACGTCTATGTAAGAAAGGCAAGGGACTAACTGTATGAATTGCGGCTTTATTCAAAAATCCTTTCAAAACCGAATGCATTTTTAGCTAGATTATATTGGCTAACTTTGTGCCAAATTATAATCTTCAACTTGACTTATAAGTAAGTTTAAATCGAAAAAAACAAAAAGTTGTATCCAGGACGTTCCTTCAAAGTAACTAGTTGTGGAACAGTGATTATATGAGGGATGTTGGACCTGTCGGCAAAGTAATTTGGGATTAGTGTTGTTTTGTTCATAGTTGGGAGGTTAAGTTTTTAATAGAAGTTGAACATGGACGTGTAATATGACAAACAGGGATTATTATCCTCTCCTCAATTGGTTTTCCAATGACATAATTACAACTATCTTATCCTTATATCTTTATACTCAATTGGACAAGTAATTATTACCAAGGGGAGAACTTATCCCTGAGATAACCACAATTCTTCAAGGTTACGTAGAAGTTCTATTAAAACGTGTAACGTAAAAGGCCCGTAGCCAGGGGGAGCTGGCCAAAAGTTCTTTCAAAATCATGCAGTTTTCTGAGCACCTCCCGCATGATGTTTTAGCCAAAACTGTCAAAAAGCCCCCTGGAAAAATCTTCCCTTCTCTTAAAGCTGAATATGGGCAACCTTACCCCCCCCCTAATGTTTAATGTTCAGCACTGTTCCCTCACCTGTTTTAAGGTTCGTCCGCGAATGCATGGTGAGAATTTTAATTTTAGATGTTTCAAAATCAAAGTATTCTGATTAAGTGGACATTTCCCTCAACTTTTTTTAAAAATGCGAAACTACCTGTAGGTCAAATGTAGGTGAATCTATATGAAACGTAATTTAGACATTCTACAACCAGTCTGAAAAGCTAGGCATCATATGCACATGATGAACTCATTTTAAATGAATCGAATGGTTCATTATTTGATGGTTAAAATGGCGTATAGACAAAATTTGAAATTGAATGACAAAATGCTCTGCAGTTGAATGGACCCAGTGCCTATTTCTGTCAGTAAATATCGAGCGTGAAACTATGGGATATGGGATAATAGTGGGACAAACATCCTAGAGCAACGTCTATGTCAAGTCTATATGGATGACCCTCCGTGCCCAATTGTGTACGTTTGGCTTCACATGTCTAAGCTAGGGCACCACATTCTGCTATATCAGAGTCTCTCTTGAGAGAGCCCGTGTGGGTGGTACGGGATGTCGATCCAACACAATTACCTATAGGGCACCGACACGGCTTATTACGCAGATCTAATACATGTGTGTGCTGAACAACTGGCGATGAATGCAACTTATCATTTTAGATTATCACTTTGAACGTGTTGATAGCACAAATGAATCCATTTTGATTGACGGCTCCTTTGGAGCATCGATTGACATGCATTGTGAAAATGCCAAAGTCGCTAACACATTTCGAGTATTTGGTTTATGTCATACAAAACATTGATCAAAAATCAAATCAACCAGTTCATGCGTGATGATGAAACTTGGAACATTTTTTCTTACCATTTGCAACCTTCTTGCCCGGGTGCATGCCCAGGGTTCACCCAATCGTAAGTATAATATACAAGTTTGTAGTTCATATGCGATATGTTACTTATTTCAATTTAGAATATCTCAATTTCATTTTAACAATTTCCATCATCCATGATTCTGGGAATTTTGATATAGATACGTATTACAACATTTAGTAATTGTCACACGGAATCTTCTTTATATCTATAATTTTAAAGCTAGAAGAGAGTAGAACAGAAAGCATGTTTTAAAACGTCCTACATTTGAATGGCGGGGAATTTGATTCATTATTTTGTCTCCAGGGTAGGGAATTTAGCAGCCCAATTTTTTATCCATCCCATCCAGCCTGGGGGTTTACGCAAATATTTGGATGGTGCATTAGGGGCCAGTAAACTTGCGGAGATTACATTGCCTCTGTTGATATCTAATGGCAATGGCAACAATACAAAATCTATTAAAAATTCATCGATAATGATAATTAAGGGTAATGGTTACATGAACCACCAGACTTAATTACTTAATGGATCCTATCAGATGAGTCGAAATTGAAGAATATGTCTCATAATATCATCTCTATTCAGGCGAAACAGATAGATGTCAACAGTAATACAATTCTAAACGAATCAAAAAACCATTACAAGTTTGGTGAAAATCTACGATCGAGATGCTGTCTTTATTTGCTAGACCATGCAGTGATCAAAAATCATATCATTAATTCTTAGATGCTAGAATAGTGTGATAGAACTGTTAGTAAACAATTCTCGTTGAGATAAAATGCATCGAAATTATATAAATAATATCTGGATTATCAACCACATATTGTCATTTTTCACTCTCAACAGCAATGAAACATTATCACATTAGAAATACCAAAATATCTTTTCATATCTATGACTCCTTTCAATACTCTATCCACAATCCACATAGAAAATATCTTTTGACGCAGAAAAATTTGAAAGTAGAAATGAAATTCCCAATGTCAAGTTATTTATCCATAACGAATTTTTCTTGCACTTTGAGAAAATAACACATAATATCTATCGGATCTAACAACATTTAAAAAATCCATGATTTACGTTGGATCACATTTTACATGATAATGCATCAGGTTCCATTTTTGTAATTTGATTCTGGTGAGTACGCCGTTAAATACATCTCAGATGGCACATGAAACGCGAAGTAGCCAATGCAATTACACGTTTGCTCACTGTGATTGAATTTGTCGTCTGTATTTGGTAATCTAAACGATTGGCTTAGAAAATAAGATTATAGGCGTGTATTACATGTTCATCCTAGGCAAAATATCATAACAACGATTAAATTTTTGAGCAGTTCTGACACCTGAGCAGTCTAGCCTAGTGGTTAGGGGGCTGTAGTCGAGCGTACGGAGGGATACGGAGGTCCCGCGTTCGAGCCCCAGGTACGGCGTTGTAGATAATAGTCCTACAGGACACTCGGTCCGAAGGTCCAACCTCCGGCCCTTGGCATGGGTTGGTTCTCTGACTGCTCTCGTCAGAGACAGATTGTGAGACTGTGGTTGGTTCCTCCACTGACGGGCTATAGGAAACACCTGGAGTCATACAGTATGGCAGCGAGCCCCCACCAAGGGCAGTAGTGGAACGACACGAATCGGTCCCAGTATGGTTGCCTTGCAACTGAAGAGACTCGAGGAAATCATGCCATTCGCAGTGACCCAGAAAAGGCTTTTGCTTCTTGATACAACTTTTTCATACTTTTATCGAATATAGAATAACTATTTTTATTCTCATACTAACCTAATCTAAATCTTTCATGGAAGAATTATCAGCGAAGTGGTTGAAGTGGCAATTTTAATTCAAATCGTCCCCGAGCCGATGAAAACCATGTACGCTTTTAAATATTTTTAAAGACAAAAATGTTTCAATTTCCGATTCCGATCGAATTTCTGCCATTATAAACGATTTGAGCTACTCATCATGGTATGTATTATTTTCTGAGCCTACCTAGCACTGAACCAATTGCGTCAAGAGATCGTTTTCCTAAAAATCCAAAAATATTTCAATTTCGAATTTCAGCCAATATCAGGTGTAAATGAAGAACTCACTATCTTTGGCGAAAAAAGATGCGAATAGATTTTACATTTGAACTTCCCCCTTCCCCATAGCGATGTTCCAACTTGCAATATATGTGTTGCAATATTAAAGGTGTAACCATTTGGTACAGACACTGACGCCGGTCATAATTACGTTGGCTATAACAATGTCACTATTTCTTGGTGATGATAAAGAAAAGATTTTGTTTATAGCAGTTATATGTGGGGACTGTATCACATGTGCCGTGATTCATTTCGATGGCGTCCCGTTCCGATGTGACTTTGATGGAACTCTAGACGTCAGTGGGAATGGTGTTGCACCCGAATGTAATTGTGCCACGTGCTCCTGTGACGTAGGTTAGTACTAGTAACACTCATAAATGGTTATTTAACGATATTTACGATGCTATCAAAGGATACAAGGCATTATCATGCAAAAATGCCACCACCCGCCATTTATCACAGACACCAGCCGCTGAACGGTGGACACCAACCGCATAACGCTGGACACCAACCGCCTAACGCTGGACACCAACCGCCAACGCTGGACACCAACCGCCTAACGCTGAACACCGTCCACAAAAGGAGACTACGTCACCACTTGTGGGATGACATAAAAATGACATTGAGTTTACGCCAGCAAACACATTAAGTGGCTCATTAATGCACAATAACATACAGAATGGTTGGAGGGGATCTACATGTGGCTTTATTGTCCTTTCTCGAGGGGCAAATCTTGTACATGTGGTTGTATCCTCGGCACCAACGATGCACAAACTCTCTAAGATGTAATCAGTTCCTTTATAATTTAATGTTTCGCATTGCTGTTGCTGACCTTTTTGTGATAACCTTATACCTTAGTCTAATTTGTTTCATGGCGACCGTACTAAGGCCGTAGTTAACGAAATCGAGAAATATATACGGCGGCCGTAGCAAATCTGTGGTCGCCTTTTTACACGGTATGGCTGCCGTAGCAAGTGACCGCAAAATTCCTGCGGCGACCGTTAGATTGCTATTGGCCGGAGAAATATTAGATCATGTGGTCGCCGTAGCGAATTTGATTAAGCCATTGGTGCTGTCTTTAATTTCACTAATTATTACATTTCTATATCAGGATATCAAAACTGGTGTGGGGCAGAAGCGAGCCTCTCTGAAGGCATTGAAACACACATAGATTACACCACTGAAGACATTCCTCGACCTACTTCTCTATCAGGAGCAGATGAGAGAATACTTCTCAGTGTATATTCTAAAACATCATTGGATGGAGCGTATGTAGCCTGGTCGGAATTCTTCGGGGACGGGAGCATTGGAGGCTGTTCAAACAATGGCTACTTGGCATTTAGCTGTTTTCAGTTCCAACAAATTCGTAAATTCCTTCTGCAAAAGATTTCAGATGTTGCCATAGATGTCTCGTTCTTCTCGCGCGTATATGCTTCGTTGTTGAATAACCCCAGTGACGCAACATTGAGTGCCAAAGTCCAATTAACTTTGAATTTTTTCGAGATATTGGAAGCGTTTGTCCAAAAGATGGTTGTCATACTTGATAAGGGTATGTTAAAATAAGATACATCACTGAGATCTCATTTTATTATAAGTTATATCAGAGTACATTCATCTATAGACTGCATACGCATATCCCAGCAAAGGTTTAGGCCTAAGTCGATCAGCGAGATTCATTATATTAATTGTGATTTCCTCATATTCAAGCTGCCACTGATGCATCACCGAGAGGAGCGGGGCACCAGTGTATCGCTGACACCATGTGCAGTGGCGTACCCCAATGCAACAACACTGAATGCACGTGCCCAGAGGCCAACGAGTGCCAGTCTGAAAACGACTGCAGCGACAAAGGTCCTAATAAGCAGAAATGCAAAGAAAATAAGGCTGGTTTGATGGTGTGTGGTGATCCACATGTAAAACAATCCGTCAAAGGCTCCGATAGATGGTTTTGTTACGATTTCATGGGAGTTCCTGGTGAACGTTATTTATTTTTAGAGGATGGTGACTTTCGTAAGTGTGCAAGGGTACAATTCTGATAATCGATGGGGTTTTTCAAAAAAATCATTTCTATTTGATTGTTCAATCTTCCCTGGGTAATATTTTTCCATGGGATAAACGGAAATCGTGAACCCTATGGTTTTGAAAAAACTTTCAATTATATCTCATCTTATTGATACCAGTTTCTTCACTCATTCACTACACTCACTCGTGGAGATATCAATATCAACACTCATGGATATAAATGATATTTCTTAAAATCATAGGATATTCTTATAGTATTTTTGAGGAGTGTACTAGTATTCAACTCACCCTCGGGCATCGTTATATGCACCCTCAGAAATACATATACAGATATCATTGTAGGTCCACATTATTCAACATTTGTATAATACAGTATCCACATTTATAGAAATGCATTAAAGGCAACAAAAATGTAAAAATTACACGTGTGCTTGCAGGCATTACAACAACTTTTGTTAATGTGTTGGACGGTGAAGAACGGGTTGACTATGTCAGCGACCTAGATATTGACTACAATGAAGTGAACATTCACCTCAGTCCGACTAACATCACTATTAAAGAGGGTAGTCTTGAATACGAAACAGTCAAATGGAAATCAGGAAATGTCTCCGTACCAAAAGGGTTCATCAAAACGACAAGGAAAAGAGCAGATTTTGTCATAAATGATGGCGCGACGAGAATAAATGTTATTCGAAGGGGGTTTGCAAAGAAACATCCATTTCTCAACTTCGGACTCACACAAACTGAGCAGTTAAACGATAATGCTGGTGGAATAATGGGTGAGACGCTTCGCTAATACTAGTAATCAATGAATAATTGAATGTTTATATTCATTTAATCAAATCAAAATATTCCTCTAATGTTAGGTCTAATATATTAAAAAATGTGTTCATAAAATTCGACGAATGTCCAATATTCCTACTTTTTTGTTTTTCATTAAATTAAGATTTGTTTTTAAAGCAATTCATTGTTTCAAAAACTTTGAAAACTTTCTTATGAACAGATTTAGGCTAGAGGGAACTTGGACAAAAGGCCCCAAAATCAAAAGTTTATTGTACACTCTCCACAACGCCATGTGTTTGATACCAAATGAAAGCTAAGGACCCATGCTTTCATGATTCACTTGTCCTAATATCAAATTAATTGTGCATATAGCAAGACGTGATAATTCACCTATACCCATGATAATATATCAAATAGTGAATCTTGGTGTTTTGTGTCCGGGCATCTAATCCATCATTTCGTAGTTCTTCGGTTTTTTACAGGTTCTATTAGTAACACGATGAAGTTTAATCCCAACGTTGTTGGTAACAGGGGGATTATAGAATGGTTCGGTAATCGGGTCCCAGTTCATGAGGATAGTAACCACTGTCTGAAGGTTGATAAAACATTCACTACCAAGTTCAATGGTTTATTGGAGAAATTCCGAATCGCCAAAGATAGTGGAAAACCTGATGCAGTGGCGGAGATTACAAATGATAATGACACATTTGAGTCTGTTGAAGTTACAAATGATGATGAAGTCGAAACCTCATTCAATGCACTTGCTTATAATGACGAAGACAATGCTGAAGCTACCAAAAGTGATGACGTGGACGCACTTACAGACAGAATAATGCGTTTCGTGTCTCGCAAGCTCAAACAGAAGAGAATCCAAAAACGCAATAATAAGATCAACTCTCTGATGACTAAGAGAAAAAGTTATGAAGAGCCATTTAATGCTAACTTTGTCAAATATGTTGCCTCTGATGTCGATGCTTCCCATCGGGAAGACGTCGCGAATAACAATGATGAGGATGCCGCCTTTAATGCAACTGTAATCAATGATGATGTCGCCTTTAATGCAAATGCAGTCAGGGATGAGAACGCCGCCTTTAATGCAAATGCAATCGATGATGACGACGTCGCCTTTAATGCAAATGCAATCAATGATGATGTCGCCTTTGATGCAAATGCAGTCAGTGATGAGGACGCCGCCTTTAATGCAAATGCAATCGATGATGATGTCGCCTTTAATGCAAATGCATTCAGTAATGAGGACGTGGCTTTTAATGCAAATGTAATCAATGATGACGACCTCACCTTTAACGCAAATGCCGTCAGTCATGAGGACGCCGCCTTTAACGCAAATGCAATCAGTGATGAGGACGTCGTCTTTAATGCAAATGTATTCAATGATGATGACGTAACCTTAAATGCAAATACAATCAATGATGAGGATGCTGCCTTTAATGCAAATGCAATCAATGGTGAGGATTCCCCCTTTAATGCAAATGCAATCAATGACGAGGATGCCGCCTTTAATGCAAATGCAACCATTGATGAGAACGTCGCCTTTAATACAAATGCTATCAATGATGATGACGTAACCTTTAATGTAAATGCAATCAATGACGAGGATACCCCCTCTAATGCAAATACAATCAGTGATGACGACGTCGCCTTTAATGCTAATACAATCAGTGATGACGACGTCGCCTTTAATGCAAATGCAGCCAGTGATGAGGATTCCCCCTTTAATGCAAATGCAATCAATGATGAGGATTCCCCCTTTAATGCAAATACAATCAGTGATGACGACGTCGCCTTTAATGCAAATGCAGCCAGTGATGAGGATTCCCCCTTTAATGCAAATGCAATCAATGATGAGGATTCCCCCTTTAATGCAAATACAATCAATGATGACGACGTCGCCTTTAACGCAAATGCAGCCAGTGATGAGGATGCCACCTTTAATGCAAATGCAATCAGTGATGAAGATTCCCCCTTCAATGCAAATGCAACCATTGATGAGAACGTCGCCTTTAATACAAATGCTATCAATGATGATGACGTAACCTTTAATGTAAATGCAATCAATGATGAGGATACCCCCTCTAATGCAAATACAATCAGTGATGACGACGTCGCCTTTAATGCAAATACAATCAGTGATGACGACGTCGCCTTTAATGCAAATGCAGCCAGTGATGAGGATTCCCCCTTTAATGCAAATGCAATCAATGATGAGGATTCCCCCTTTAATGCAAATACAATCAATGATGACGACGTCGCCTTTAACGCAAATGCAGCCAGTGATGAGGATGCCACCTTTAATGCAAATGCAATCAGTGATGAGGATGTCACCTTTAATGCAAATGCAATCAATGATGAAGATTCCCCCTTTAATGCAAATACAATCAGTGATGACGACGTCGCCTTTAACGCAAATGCAGCCAGTGATGAGGATGCCACCTTTAATGCAAATACAATCAGTGATGACGACGTCGCCTTTAATGCAAATGCAGCCAGTGATGAGGATGCCACCTTTAATGCAAATGCAATCAGTGATGAGGATGTCGCCTTTAATGCAAATGCAATCAGTGATGACGACGTCGCCTTTAATGCAAATGCAGCCAGTGATGAGGATGCCACCTTTAATGCAAATGCAGCCAGTGATGAGGATGCCACCTTTAATGCAAATGCAATCAATGATGAGGATTCCCCCTTTAATGCAAATGCAATCAGTGATGACGATGTCGCCTTTAATGCAAATGCAGCCAGTGATGAGGATGCCACCTTTAATGCAAATGCTATCAATGATGATGATGTAACCTTTAATGCAAATGCAATCAATGATGAGGATACCCCCTTTAATGCAAATACAATCAGTAATGACGACATTGCCTTAAATGCAAATCCAATGAGTGATGGGGACTTTACATTGAAAATGAATGATGTCATTGATAAAATCAGAATATCTAAATCCAATGAGGAAGAAGCCAAATTATATTTCAACGCTGATGATGCAATCTTTAAGGCCAATGTTGTAAATGATGATGACGTAACCTTTGATGCAAATGCTATAAATGATGTTGATGATGATGATGTCAATGAGGAATTTGCCATATGACATCAACCAAATGCTTTCAATGATAAAGACGTCAAACTTTAAGGCCCGTGGCATCATTTGTCACAATAATCAAGAGGACACCTTTATTTCGTTCTTGTTAGAAAATGATGGCATTGAAATTCCTGATACTGTTGCAGAAAACAGTGATACAGTTAACATAAATACTGAACACTTGGAAGGAAAAAACTTGTGGCAAATGGATTACGAACTGTACTCAAAAATTGCACAAAATACATAATAGTAGTTCATCATTAGTATCTGGTCAAATTGGATCCCAGACCGTATTTAAAATTACCCTGCGCTCAGAGTCTAGTTAAACTACACTCAGTGAAGACGAAGCTCTCTTTTAAGAAGTGAAGTCAAACGAATGCAAAGGGTAATTTAAAATAGATCAGAGGCATTTTGATATACCTAGGAGTGAAACGATTAACTTGCTAAATAAGAATATTTTGCGATTTGATTAAATGAATAAAAGGCAGAGTCGGATCTATCATGGTATGTATAGTTTGTCACGTGAGTTTAGTTTTCGTATGTGGGCATATGTTTCATTCGTCTGTTCGTTAAATTCGATTCACTCTCACGGATACGATTTTATGAGACATAAAAGTTCGAATTTCTGATTAATGAAGGGGTGGGTGGAGAAATGTTGGTAACCACATTTATAGAACAATGCATTAACGTGCAAAATGTCACCACCATTTGTTACAGACACCAACCACCGATCGACAACAAACATCACAAAAAAGGCCATAACAATATGTCACCACATCTTGGTGGTGACATAAAAAGAGGTACATTATTGTAAAAATCAAAGTTGCACGCAAATATTGTACAAGACCAATACAAAACCAAGTGATTGTTCTTTATATGTATTCTTTATTGATAGGCTATATACACTTTCTATATATCAACATTTTCATCATTTGTTTTTAAAATCAAAATAAATAAAATCTACAAAAAAGAGTGACAACTAACATTTTATTTGCATTTTGGTATTAACAAAACATTTGTAAATGTAAATACTCATTGGACGGACTTTGGTTACTAAGTCTCTGTTGACTTTATTTTTTGTAAATTACAAAAATATACTATAATATTTAAAACATTGACTTTTATCACAGTTTAAACGGTGCTTCTTTATCAGAGTTTTATATCTATATACAACAAAATATTTACATTTATAAGGCTAAATGTACAACTTCAATATTTAAAGAAATGCACTAGTGCGAATTCTTTGACTAACCAGAATATTTCATTTATTGTTATACTTGGACATATCATGTAAGTCGAAATAATATAAGAAAATTTTCGAGAGAATGCGTGTGAATCTGAGTGTATTCCGTTAAGAATTATGGACAGATACAGTAAAACCTGTCTAAGTGGAACACCTTTGGTACCTCTAATAAAAAAGTGTTCCAATAAGGAGGTGTTCTTCATTTAAAATTAAGTGAGTTGGTCTTGGGACTCTGAAAATTGTTCATTTAACAGAGGTGTTACACTACTAGGGGTGTTCCACTTTACAGGTTTCATGTTTGTAAATGTTTGAATGAATTTGATATGAAAATGAAAATAAATCCTCATAGCCATAGTCATTTTAAGTTCTCTCACTTTCCATTGGACGGATATTTTTTAAAAAACATTCCTTCAAAACTCCCTGAATAGAATCAACTGCCAATAATGTAAGTAAGCTAAAAATTATGCACAAACCTAAACCTCTATATCAGAATAGTCTGAATTGGACGGATATACATGTATGCAATCCACAGCCTTTAGAACCTTGCATGTTTTCAGTAAAAGTCCTTATATTTCAAATGTCAAAATCAGACATAAAAATAGTATGCTTAACCCTCGTCTTTCAACCCCCCTCCCCTATCTAGTCATCCAGCGCACACAGAGAAGCCACGCCCCTGTTGATCCAGTATTTCTGGGGGAGATCAGAGGGAATCTCTATCCACAATACAAAGTTTGTTGAGTGTCCTGTGGTTGATAGTGTACCTCTCCTAGCACTTGTCTTGTATACGGGACATCTATATGATGGTGTTTTCACAAATTTACTTGATTCTCCTGGACGCAGCCAAATCTGTGAACAACAGTCAAGGAATATATGCTATCAAACATTCTTGTTTAGGCCAACAAAAGAATAAAAGATGAAATGTATTTTACAAGAGTTACTTGAGTTATTAAATTGCCAAAGAACTATTCTAAAATCAATGCATTTTCATAAAATAAACTAAGAATGATGTTTAGAAAATGGGCATGATTTGTCTCTAGTGTCTTCTGGCACTTCTATTCACACACTGTACACCTACAGAGTGACCCAAAAGCCTAATGGCCATATGGTTTTCAAAGAACTCTGTCTGATCATGTTTAGAGCCATTCTGTATTAGCTAAAAACAAAATATCAAAATTCTGTGAATATAGTCTTCAAACACGATTGATGAAATAACAAGACACAGAGTGATAAATATCCACTTTGAATTTAAGAGCAAAATATATTTTATCCAGCATGTCCAAAACCTAATTAAATCTTGGCACTGATGTCAAGACTTATATGGCCCAGACATACCGGCACAGGCACACCCAGTAGCACAAAATAATGGCAATAAAGCACTTCTTCAAAGTGTAATAAAAATATAAATGTAGCATTTTTTAGAAAAGGATACACATGGCAGTGTGTCGAACAGAATCTTTGGTTTTGACTCAGTTAATTTCCTAGCTTCTCTGTCCCACCTAGCGCCCTCTATAAACAGTCCCTGGAAGTAAAGAATATAAACCTTTAATCAGAATCAGTAAAATATATTTTATAGCATTTTCCATTTTGACATATTTCAAAGCAAATATATTCGCAATTCCAATTGGTAAGTACTATATGTACTGAAGGAGATAAACGTGAATGGGCCTTCAGAAAGCTTAAAAATCTGATAGAATAATACACAAAATGATATATCCATCCATCAAAATGAATGTTTTGAAAAATATACTTCAAGTTACATGTTTCAATTTAAAATGTAATACAATACAATACAATGCAATACAATACAATACAATGCAATACAAACAATACAATACAACGCAATACAACACAAAACAATACAATACAATAACATCTGAAAACATCCGTTAAAACACTTGATCTGGAGATAAACCTTGCTTGAAAAATACACTTTAAATAGAAATTTCAAAATTGACAGCAAGAACATTAAAGTAGCTTACATATACATAGGCCCCATCTTCAGGCTTTTCTCCCATTTCTTTCTCTTGGTCCATCAGCTCAAACTGGAAACTTAGCTTGTCAATGGGAATCATGTACTTCCTAGCAAAGTTCTGAGATACACCTACAATGAATGCATTTATTGTCTTAATCAATGATTATAAGTTGACAAACAACATTGATATGGGGGATATTGCCCAATTGTCAACAGTTTTAAAAGTAGTGGTACTAAGCCAATTTTATTAGAGGAGGGGGTAAATGAAAAATTTGTTTTATAGAAAATGTTAATTTTAAGGCAAATTAAAAAAATTTCTTTCATTGTATTAGGGTGGGGTTAAACAGGGGTTAAGAAAAAAATAATTCTTCGAGAACGTCAATATTTGGGCAGCATCCCTTATATAATGAAAAACATCTTATCAGTGAAATTTTGTTCATTAATTCAACCACTCCATACATATTGATAAAAATCTTGCTTTTAATAACACAATATTTTAATCAATTGATGAAGCTGAAAATAATTTTTCATTGAACTCATACTTTACAACTCTAAATTGAGTTTTTCTGACATTATAAACATTTTCTGATATCAACAAATAAATATTTTCAAATAAATACACATTTAAACAATCATTTCATGAATAGGCTAATTTAAAAATGTAAAAAGAAAAATGATAAATGACATGGGTTTTTGATTGACTCACTCAAACTGTAAGTATAACTCAAATACAAGTGAGACTCAAATGCAAATGTCACTCAACAGCGTGATACTCACCAGTGAAGAAAGACTGAGTAAAGTAGAGACCAGAGACCCAGAACTGATTTGGATGGCTATGATCAATCCAATCTTGGAAGAATTCTAGTCTAACACAAGAAATAAGGAATAATCATATGTGCTAAGAATAAGGTTTACAGAAGAGTTAAGCTTACTTTGCTTAAGTAAGGATGGTTAACTGAAATAAAAGGATGCAAGGTTTAAGGTGAAATACAAGGATGCGATGTCTAAGGTGAAATACAAGGATGCAAGGTTTAACTAAGGTGAAATACAAGGATGCAAGGTATAAGGCGAAATACAAGGATGCAATGTTAAAGGTGAAATACAGGGATGCAAGGTTTAAGGTTTTTATGGAAGTATAGCAAGGAAATATACTGCAGTGATAGACAAGGTGAAACCTGAGGGTGCAGCCACATAAGGAAGGAAGCTAAAAGAAAGCTGAAAAGAATCATAAAACCAAAAAGTGTACCAAAGGTAGGTAGAGGTTGCTTTCCAATGGTAATCCTACATATGGTGTAAAGAGTGCAAGCACACTAGGGAAAAGCTACAAGGAAAGGAAAGCAACATATACCCAAGAAGGTATACATCACACAAAAGCTAGGTGAATTTGCTTTCCAATGGTAATCCTACATATGGTGTAAAGAGTGCAAGCACACTAGGGAAAAGCTACAAGGAAAGGAAAGCAACATATACCCAAGAAGGTATACATCACACAAAAGCTAGGTGAATTTGCTTTCCAATGGTAATCCTACATATGGTGTAAAGAGTGCAAGCACACTAGGGAAAAGCTACAAGGAAAGGAAAGCAACATATACCCAAGAAGGTATACATCACACAAAAGCTAGGTGAATTTGCTTTCCAATGGTAATCCTACATATGGTGTAAAGAGTGCAAGCACACTAGGGAAAAGCTACAAGGAAAGGAAAGCAACATATACCCAAGAAGGTATACATCACACAAAAGCTAGGTGAATTTGCTTTCCAATGGTAATCCTACATATGGTGTAAAGGGTGCAAGCACACTAGGAAAAAGCTACAAGGAAAGAAAAGAATCATATAGCCAAGAAGGTATACATCACACAAAAGCAAGGTGAAGTTGGTTTCCAATGTTAATCTTACCAGTGAAGAATGACTGTGTGAAGTAGAAACCAGACACCCAGAATGTCTGGGGTGCCCCGTCATCAATCCATTTGCTAAAGAATTTTAATCTAAAACAAAAAATGTCTTAAAATTAATGAGCACTTATCTATTGTCTGCATCTAGCTTTAAATACAATTTTATTCATATTAATGAAATATTTATAATATTTATTATCACACATTGATTTCAGAACTGTATCAACATTAAAATTGAGGATTATATTTAGCTATAACCTATTGCTGCATTCAATTTCATGATAAACAGTAATTAAAAATAAATTATGAAAGCTGGTTGACAAATTGGTATATTGTAGCATATGTAGGTTATATCTACGATAATGCCTTGGTCACATTTGCTCCAATCTATCGGCCGGCACTCGCCCAATTGAGTGTTTTGTTCAATATTGCATTCAATTTTGAACAAAATACTCAATCAGCCGGGCGCCGTAGTGAAAATCGGTGCAAATGTGACCAGGGCATAATGTAATGTATTTGAAATACTTCTTAGTCATACCTAAGGATGAAGTCTGCGATGTATCCACCGAGAGGTTTCAGAGAGGGATACGACTTAGAGGCCCATGAAGCAGGCACTCTCCCGACCAGCATACTGTCAAACACTTCCTCCAATTCTGAAGACATCACGACCAACCCCTTAATGGCTTTCTGTAGATTCACCAATGTGGCGCGCACAATTGAGAGTAACCGGTTATATCTGATGAGTTCTTGCCTCAGAACGGTGTTCATCGACTCCTCATACACTACTGGGTATTTTTTTATTACGAACTCCAGGTTGAAATTGGGCGGAAGTTTACTCAAAATGTCCGCCGCTAAAGCTCCAATAATATCGCCAGATGATTTTCCACCTCCGCCTGATTGACGGGGAAGTGTGAGTAAGACACTGTCAAATAATTGCTGGGTTTCTTGGTTGTCTTTTGTGATGTCAGCGTTGCTATGGAGACCAAAGACCTCGGGGTCGGGGTTGAGAGGCATGGTCCGGATGTAGTCTATGTAGCTCTGGTAGGGGCCTTCTGGTGGGGCCTTGTATATACCACTGGGGGAGAATCTGAAAGTAAGCAATGATATTGATAAAATCAACATATTGATTTAAATCTAAAAATAACAATGCAATTATTGATTAAAAAAAAACAATTCAAATCAACTAAAAAATATTTACTGATGTACATGAGCATCTACTGAAAAATTACACTCCTACAGAGAGGGCTACACAAAAACAAAAGTCAGTCATTGAATGATCTAAACTCACACATCAGAAGACTATTCCATGTCTTTCTTCTCATTAATCAGAATTTACTTTGTCAAATTATTTGTACATCATAAGACTAAATCAATCAATGTTACTTACTTGTAGTTCTCATCATCTACCAGGTCTCTAGTGTAGCTTATGGATAGAAGAGAGAGAAGGAGTCTCCTGTCTTTATCATCAGTGACTCTTCCACCATAGTTACATTCCCCAGTTAGATAGGTGAGGGCATCCAAGGGGAGCTCTTCATACTCATTTAGGAACATCTGAAACATACATGTAATATGATAATATGATGTAATATGTTGGGTAGGTGAGGGCATCCAATGGGAGCTCTTCATATTCATTTAGGAACATCTGAAACATACAAGTAATATAATAATATGATGTAATATGTTGGGTAGGTGAGGGCATCTAATGGGAGCTCTTCATACTCATTAAGGAACATCTGAAACATACATGTAATATGATTATATGATGTAATATGTTGGGTAGGTGAGGGCATCCAATGGGAGCTCTTCATACTCATTTAGGAACATCTGAAACATTGTGATCATTGTAAAACATTCTACGTACAAGGTTTATGTATACTACAGTAATTCATCAACAGTTTAAAAGCAGAAATAACACATTGTCTATAAGGTTGTTTGTTTGAAAGGGTTTGACCACATCTATTCGCATATTAGCTCTTTTATTCTCGAATGTACATGTACATTTGACTCTTGGGCATCAGTACATATTAATCCTATTATACATATAGTGTTCAAGCTCAATTGATTCCACATTGTTAAGTTCAGTACAATTTTGTAAGATTGATTTTCTCTATTTAGTTTATCCATACCAGGAAGCATACATCGTGGTTATACTTTTTCAGCCACTTTTAACAGTTTGAACATCACGAGGATGTTACTGACCTGCATTTGCCTCATACTGATTCTAAGGTCAGACTCGTTGACACATGCACAGTATTTCCAGACACTTTAAGAGTTTGAACATTATGTGGATGTTACTCACCTGCATCTGCCTCATACTGATTCTGAGGTCAGACTCATTGACACATGCACAGTATTACCAGACACTTTAAGAGTTTGAACATTATGTGGATGTTACTCACCTGCATCTGCCTCATACTGATTCTGAGGTCAGACTCATTGACACATGCACAGTATTTCCAGACACTTTAACAGTTTGAACATTATGTGGATGTTACTCACCTGCATCTGCCTCATACTGATTCTAAGGTCAGACTCGTTGACACATGCACAGTATTTCCAGACACTTTAAGAGTTTGAACATTATGTGGATGTTACTCACCTGCATCTGCCTCATACTGATTCTGAGGTCAGACTCATTGACACATGCACAGTATTTCCAGACACTTTAACAGTTTGAACATTATGTGGATGTTACTCACCTGCATCTGCCTCATACTGATTCTGAGGTCAGACTCATAGACACATGCACAGTATTACCAGACACTTTAAGAGTTTGAACATTATGTGGATGTTACTCACCTGCATCTGCCTCATACTGATTCTGAGGTCAGACTCATTGACACATGCACAGTATTTCCAGACACTTTAACAGTTTGAACATTATGTGGATGTTACTCACCTGCATCTGCCTCATACTGATTCTAAGGTCAGACTCGTTGACACATGCACAGTATTACCAGACACTTTAAGAGTTTGAACATTATGTGGATGTTACTCACCTGCATCTGCCTCATACTGATTCTGAGGTCAGACTCATTGACACATGCACAGTATTACCAGACACTTTAAGAGTTTGAACATTATGTGGATGTTACTCACCTGCATCTGCCTCATACTGATTCTGAGGTCAGACTCATTGACACATGCACAGTATTACCAGACACTTTAAGAGTTTGAACATTATGTGGATGTTACTCACCTGCATCTGCCTCATACTGATTCTGAGGTCAGACTCATTGACACATGCACAGTATTTCCAGACACTTTAACAGTTTGAACATTATGTGGATGTTACTCACCTGCATCTGCCTCATACTGATTCTGAGGTCAGACTCATTGACACATGCACAGTATTACCAGACACTTTAACAGTTTGAACATTATGTGGATGTTACTCACCTGCATCTGCCTCATACTGATTCTGAGGTCAGACTCATGGACACATGCACAGTATTTCCAGACACTTTAACAGTTTGAACATTATGTGGATGTTACTCACCTGCATCTGCCTCATACTGATTCTGAGGTCAGACTCATTGACACATGCACAGTATTTCCAGACACTTTAACAGTTTGAACATCACAAGGATGTTACTCACCTGCATCTGCCTCATACTGATTCTAAGGTCAGACTCATTGAACTCGTATGGTATGTTCCAGCCAAGGGGTCCAAATTTACGTCTCTCTTGAACAAGAGCGTGGAAGAAACACAAGCCAAACAGCATCTTGTGCCAGCGATGTTTCTGAAACAAGGTAAAATGAGCATATAATTTTCGTGAAATATGTTCAGAAAAAGTTAAACTCTGATATCCTATTAGAGCTGTTTATGCACTTAACCAATTAATACTTTTCCTATATCAGTCAATAGTCCATGCTTTGACTGTTCTATTTTCATTCCTTATATATTATTATTTATTTATTAATTTAGTGCCACACACCTTAATCGGTACCCAGCCTTATCAGGCTTATGAGGCACTATACAAATACTTACATATTAGTTAAAATTATTACTCCCTAATTCTGAATTTTACTCATATTTGCATGTACATGTACAGTCTTAAGTATGACCTGAATATCTGGACATCTCTTTAATCCAAAAACCTTATAATGAACGCTATTAGTCCCAGTTTTGTGGCCTCCCATTGACTCCCTTGATAAAGAAACCTTGAGATGTGAACACCTGCTATTCCGAACATTTTGGCCAGCCCAAGTGGCTTTTGGATTAATGTTCTCAACAGTATTTTTTCTCATGTGGGTGCAAAATTCTCATTTTCACAAATCAGTCCAAAATTAGTCAAAATATGCCTATGGGAGAAATATTGATTTTCCTTATTTTCAAGTGGGTTCAAAGGGATTTTCAGGTGGGTGTAAGCCTTTTTTATTAATCTCAGGTGGGTGCTGCACCCACTTGCTTTAATGCTGGGGAGTTCGCTGCTATATATGTATACATATTTTACGTGCATAATCAAGTTGTAGGACCATGTATAAGCTACCTTTTCACATCCATTGAAGAATGAAGGATCAGATATGGGATCATTCAGGTAGGATCGGACAAGATTTGCACGTAGACCTTTCGGTGGTTCATTCGTCATCTTTACGCCATTTTGTAAGATGGACACTGGGAATTGGTCAGATGGGTAACTGGTTAGCCAGACACGGAAATCTTTGTGTGTCGCCTCTGGTACTATAACCTGAAAAAGAAACGATTTTTTGCTAACCTTTTATCAAATCGTACAACCAGAGTGTACTTATTAAAACCCTATTATAAAGGGATCCTCGATTTATATGGTTCTGGGCCATTTTTTCTAAAAATTCCACCTTCTGAAAAAATCGTTCATCTGCTCAAGATTGTACCAAGAATAATTTTACAAACCTCTTCACATATTTTCTCCAAGGTCGGCATCCAGCTCGTGGCTAAATGACAATTCTGTAGCACAACCCACGAACCATCCTTCAAGGCATTGTCAATCATCTTGGCAGCTATGGGGCCCTATGTAATTAAAAAGACGACGACAATTAATATACATTGAGTGCGATAAAAAGTGGGATAGATACAATCTTGTACAAAACTTAGTCATGAATTAACACTAATGAATTCATGAATCTTGAACTGCCCTCAACAGCTGTGCATTGTAAGCATTTTCACAAAAACAACCAAATTCGTAGTTTGTAATTTTTGGATTGTATGGTATTTTTATCATTATTTATACATTTCATTGTTTAATACTTTAAATAATCCAAGAAGGATGCTTCATTGTTCTAACCTGTCCCTGGCCAAGAGAAATGGTCTGTATACGGTTGCCTGTATAGCCAGAATCTTCGCCAAACTTCAACAAAGCATTCATCGGATCAGCCCCGGGAGAGAGAATGAAGATCAAAGGGGAACAGCAATTCGAATCCTCAAAAGTTCCCGGTAGATCAAAGGTCGGTGGCTCTACGAATTGCTGTCCGAGGCTATCAGCGATAAACTCCTGAAGGGCAGGGACTATTTTATCTGGGCGGAAGCATCGTAGTATGACTAGTTTATCCAAGCCGCTAAGGATATCAAAGGGCGCTGGATAGCGGAAAGTGTGGGGCTGGGCAGAGTCATAGAGAGGCTTCCACTGTTCTATGTTCTTCTGTACATCTGAAAGTAGTCGCATAATGTTTTCTTAATATCACATTCCTATTTTTGAATACGATCCAATGATCAGAGGTGCAAGAAAAATAAGAGTAATAATCATTTGAAAAGTTCAATGTACAATTGAAGCAAGTAGTACTCTAGCCTATAAGATTCAGTGTTCCAATTATATTAAAGTGCTAATTCAAGATATTACTTGAAAATTCAAAGGAGGACAATCAAATCAGTCAAAAAAAAAAATTACTTTCTGTTTAGAGAAATTTGATTTGATATCTAAGAATGATATTTAAAATCCCACTTGAGTAATTACCAAAATAAAGTTGATTGTCAAATAAATAGTGGTTTCTTTCTTGTCATGACTGTATTCACAAAGATGCACTTACGAGCATAAAATTCTTTGAGATTCTTAAGGTTTGAGGCTCTGACTATTTCAGACCAAGACTTGTCCGTGAGCCATGTTGGGGCAGGGTTAGCGTGTGGGTTGTCAAGGGCAACACCACCAGTAAGTAGGAACCTCCACACGTCATCATCTATTTTACCTCTGAAATGTAAATGTAAATCAGGGTTGAAAACAATGGCCACATTTTAACATACTAAAAATATCCATATTAAAGGTGGGCTGTGGTAGCTGTACATGTACATGTATACGTCAAACTTGCACTCTTCCCTGTGAGAGCTGCACTATAGTCTGATAGTCTGTCACTTAAGAAGTGTTTACTCTGATAAGGCATTCACTTAGCCTTCCCCAAGTCGGTATTTTTTTACTTATCTGATATTGAATTATTACAGCGGTCATAGTAGAAATCAAGATAAGTAAAAGAGACCGACTTGGGCAAGGCTAGCATTCACTTACAACGTTCAAATCATTTAGGGCAATGAAGAGAATGCTAGGAGGATAAAACAGCAAAAACATACAACTGCACATGATACTACACAGGAGAATAGTAGATAGCTAAAAAATGTAAAATGCATACAATTATGTACATCAACAAAACTCCTTCTTAACACTTCTAACCACAATTATGCAATACATATTATAACCCATGGAATAACATCTGTATCCTTACCTGCCCTTGAGTATGCCTACACATAGCACGAGGGAGAATAACAACTTGTCCTTCTCAAAGAGAGATCTACAGACATTACGGTAGATGCTGTTAGTGAAGTGATCATTCAGAATGTTGATTCTGTTCTCGAGGTCTGCGGATGGCTCACTGTTTGTGATAGACTGGAAAAGACAAAGAGAGACGTGTTAATGTATCCAAGTGCCCATATAAGTATGCACGTTTGAGTACTCAAAGATTCCAGGGTTGGAAATTACAATTCACATGCATTCTTGTTATTTGTGTATTTAATATAAGTATATTGGGTGCAACGGCATATTAGAAGCAGGCCCGTAGCCAGAAATTTCCAAGGGGGGATGATTCACTTTTCCAAAAAATTCTAGGAGGGGTTCATTTTGGTAAATTTGGCCAAAAATCACTTAAAAAATAGTCAGAATGGTAAAAACTACATGATTTTGAAAGAAACTTTGGCCAGGGGGGGGGGGGGGTTGACTATGGGCCTGAGAAGGGAAGAGAGAGGAGACCAACGATGCTAGCTATAAACTCTGGATATCAACATTTTATTCCCTTATTCCATAAAACTAAATGGTTTTTAAATCCTATCATGCAGAATAACATTATACAAGGCATAACATGCAAAATGTCACCACCTGCCATTTGTTACAGACACTGAATGCTTATGACTAAACACCGAACACCAACTGCCAAACACCATCCACAAAATAGTTCAAGAGCACAACAATATGTCACCACTAGTGGTGGTGACATAATAAACTCATATCATGATGCACTGTCTCATGCTTTTCAAGTGGCATTCGTCATCCATGCTTTATGTGGGACTACACATATATGTAGCTATCCAATTGGATAGCATTTTAGAGCCAAATGGGCTGTCTACATTTTACGAGATCCTAGATGTACCTACATATAGTAGAGCTTATAACATTAGACATAAAGTTAAGATTTTCTGTTACAGATGTATATGTATAACCATAATGTACTGTGTGCCATCGGATTATACATAACATGCTAACTACTATTACACAATAAATGCTCATGTGACTACACATATATAGTCAGTGGAAAAATGACTATAAATAGTCAATGTATAGTCAGTGGATAAATGGATAAGGTAAGAACATGCTCCAACTGGAAACTTTTATCATATAAGAAGATGAACTAGAATAGTAGAAGTTCATGTTTGTTTACAAGAAAATGAACTTTAGTACAAAAATTCAACTTTTCGTGTTTGTTTACAAGAAACCTCAAGGATCAGAGTTAAGAATTATTACGAACTAAATCTAATAGTGAATGACAATGTTTGTTGTTGTAGATTGTGTGAAGATTGTGTGATCCTATCCTATTATATTGAAATAGGGTATCTTATATATATTTACATGCTGGTGAAAGTTTCATGAATACCAGGGGTTGCCAGAATGTATCATCAATTAACCATTTACAGGACTACCGACCTCTTAATACGTCATGTAATTCATTAATTTTATTGTCTCGCTACAAGGAGGATTGGCTCCCAGGATCAAAACTCAATATTTTCCAATGTCGTTATTTTCTGAAATTATAATCGACTAGAAATTCAAAATATAAACAGTCCAAAAGATTCAAACCAATATCTTGATCATTTCTCGTGAGTTTTGGAATTTTTAATTTAGAAATAAGACCAAATTCACGATTCAAATGTTGCATATCGATGTTGCACTCTGGGAGCCAATCCTCCTTGTCTAATACTAGACACTACCTGGATGCAATCACATCCATGTTTCAAAAAATAAATAAATCTCACATTTTAGAATTTAACCAAGTAACTTTCAATTTGAAATGCAATCTTAATCTTGAAATATCTAGATTTCAGAAAAAATCCAATATCTGGATACTGAAATTTGATAGCGGAAAATGGAGTCCTGTTTATGCTGATGATTCCATGTGGCACAACCTGCATTCATGAAGTGAAAATACAAAAGGATAGAGTACTGTTTAGAGTTTGAGACAGTATCATATACTGATTTGTGTATTCAGAGTTTAGAAACATGCAAATACGCTACCTTATGACCCAATCCATGTCCAGTGAAAATCTTAGAATCGTATTGAAATATTTATTTGCAGTATTCACAATTCATTTACTATTTCCACGATTTACCAGGCCCGAAGGCTGGAAGTCTATTGCCCAAATCACATTTATTTTTTCCAAGTTTACTGTCAAGTGTTTACCATTGGCAGTCAGGAAACTGTAATATGATATCGCTCTGAACAATATTAAAAAAAATGTCACTCCCAGTTGGGTGCTTACCTGCAAGTAAAGATTAATGAACCAGGTAAGGGAGTACTGGTACATAGGCTCGATATTAGCAAGATCCGAGATGCAGAAAAACAAGATGGAGGAATGTACTGCAACGGGTTTGTAGCCATTACGAGTCTCATCAATCTGGACCTCAGTTTTTGTTGCGATTTCTTGCTTAGCTGCAATTTCTTGTGACAGTGTCTTAGAAGATGACAGAACTTTGATCGCAGTTTCATCCTCAAGGATATTTCCCTAAAAATATAAGAAGATAATTTAAGAGACCTCATATTCCAAATATAGATGATACTTAAAGAAATAAAACCAATGTTCCTCAACTCTGAATTTGATCAACTACTAGTATACATATGATATTTATATGTTATAATTTAATTGACCTGCCTACCCTTAATACAGGTTACCATGGCAACCTTATCTCATTGATAATTTAAGATATAGCTATAATATTTTAGCATTGTATGTGTAATTACATAATCTACATTTTCTGAAAAAATAAGAGGGATATGTGAAAAAATCACAAAATTAGAGCATTTTATCAGAATATATGGATCGCCCCTTGTATAACGAATGGAAAGTAATGTAAGGTAATTTAACTATGAATTTGATTAAAAACTTAAACAAAATGTGTTGTTACTTCTGAATTTGACAAAATAGCTGTTGTGCTTTACCTCTGAGCTTGATAAAACCTCCAATATTTTATCTTCGATTTCCTTCAGTTGTTTCTTATTAGCAGCAGACTCCAGAATAAGCTGATTCTTTTTCTCTTCCAGTTCAGGCTTCTCTTTAGCAGCTACGATGCCTAGGAGCTGGTCCTCCAGACCCTGTGGGGTGATCATGAAGTTAAGTAGACAAACCTGAAATAGAAATGAGAACATTAATAAAATGGTTTGGGTTCATGCTTATAGTGAACTACAACATGCTTGTTGTCTCTTCTCTCTCATGGATACAGTTTGACTGAGGAATAGACAAATACCCATGTAGATAGTTTGAGGATAACACAGGGGCAGGGGAAAATGGCTCAAAACAAAAAGAATACTTGAATATGCTTGGCTCAAAGTAAATTGACCAAACAAAAGCAATACAAGATCACCTCAAACATTGTAGGGAATTCTTCCTCATTTCTTTTGAAGAAATGTACATTTTAATGAGCATGAAAACCAGAAACACATTAGATATGTCGGAAAACCATCTGATGACCATCTTCCAATATTGCTAAAAATAACATTGCGTGCATTTACCTTGACTGAGACTTCTGGTAGATAATGTGGGTTCCTAAGGCGTGTAGTGATGTACAATTTGAAGTCATGCGAGTACTCTATGAGATTGTCCCCTAGTCGCATGTACTCTACCCCCTGCTGCTTGAAGGTAAGCTTCTGCAGAACGGGTTCCAATAGAGGGTCGAGTTCCTCACCTACATTCTCAAGGAGTACAGGGGTTCCAAACTGAATAGAGTTCTCTAATGTTCTGGTGTATGATGGGTCAGAGAGTTTAATAATTGCTAGTTTGTTGTTTTTCTCCATGTTCTTGACCCATTTGTTGGCTTGCCCTGTAAGTTCACATTTCAAAATGTTTCAGTCATTACGATATTGGCAGAATTCTGTCAACTTCTCATTAAAAGGTGTCTTATAATTTAAGTTTTACGAGGAATAAAGTTATGCATTATGCTTTATCAATAATAAAAAAGAAACATTCAGAGCTTCATTTTTCTTTTTCAAAATCAAAGTGTGACAAAACAGTTTGGACAATGGTACATTGCACTCTGTATTAACCACTGAATGTTGTGTATATCGCCGACAATGATGAAAAACGTAGGCAATAATATTGTATTGTATTTTTATATATTATATATGGAATAAATGAGAAATGAAAAAAAAATTGAATGTTGTACAACTAGATAGTGCAAAATTACCTTGTGGATCTATCATGAGGGGCCATCTCCTAGAGTTGGAAACCACAATACCATTGTCAATACTAAAGTTATCAACAGGCAACCCAGCAATCTGCCAGGCCCTGATTTTGACAGGGTCCCCAAGTGTGGCACTGAGAGAAAACACGTCACTACATGGGATATGCTTCTCCTTGCACAAGCGGTACCAATCACTGACACACTCTTGTCTGAAGTCAACCGTGAATGCACCAAGATACGCCACAACGCCAGCGCTCATAAGCACATCACCGGTAATGTTTATGTACGTCTCCCCAAGGGTTTTCGCCATCTCTGTCCATCTGTCCTTCTCACCACCAAGACCTCCAATGAGTTTCTCAGCACGGATTAACTTCTGGGAACATAGTTCAATATTATCTTCTAGGTCTTTCTTCTTCTGCTGCATGGCTTCAAATTGGTCATTCAGCGCTTGCAGTTTATCGGCAACCTGGAGGTACCATACTTTTTAAGTCAAATACATTTTAAGTCAAATATGGTACTTTTTAAGTCAGTCACTTGAGTTTGATTAAATAACTTCTCAGATACAGATATTAGTTATTAGATATAAGTTCGAAAATACCAAAACTGTATGGTACAATGGTACATGTACAATGAACTGTACTGTCTGTCCATTAATCTTTAATCAAGAGTGTGCTCCCTTTAATTGAAAGTCATTTCAAAGAATAGGCAGAGCATGGTATTTTGTGTGCAAATATATCTTGTGAAAATCTTCCATAAGGTTCCTCCAAACTCTACATTGTTGCCCTTTATTCATCCACCATATGACAGTGGCAGAAATTGTTTCATCAATCCTACCTCCTGTAGTTGGTTCCTCTTCACATTCAGCTTCTCCATCTGTATTGACAGCTCCGTCTCTGCCCCCTTCAGTTTGATTGTCTTTGGGGCAACAACCTTGGCCACCCTGTCATACACGTCCATAGCTTTCACCCAACGACACAATCCCTCACAGGCAGTAGACGCATTCTTGATCAGATTCGGGTCAAACTCAGGATTGCTGACATACCTGGTAAAGAGAGAGAGATAAATATGTCATCTGATTTATTCAGTTACGTGGAATGGCATCTTGAGAAAGGGGATGTGGTTCATATGAAGATCTCATATAGAGAAGATGTTAAATTGTAATAAGGCTTCAACATGCAAAATGTCACTACCTGCCATTTGCTACAGACACCAAATACCACTTGTGGTGGTGACTTAAAATTGAGAATGCAATAAAAAAAATTCATATGGAGAAGGAAAATATTTTATATGAAATGGATTCTATTTGGAGAACAAACCATGTATCATTTTAAGAAGCCAAATGAAAGCATTTCAAATGCAAAAAGAGATACCATATGGAGATGCAATATAAATGTATAGTAAGTATATGATAGTGATTCATTAATTCAGGGCATATAAAATTCCTAAACTTTGTTAATACATGTACAGCCAAAACTGTGGACAGTTTATCATCTTACTTTTCTCTGATTTTCTTAATGACTGGAGCAGGGATGTTATCTTTATCATACGCCTTCAGTCTGTCAAGGAACTTCAGGTCTCCTAGTAATTTCTGAGAAGGCCCCCAGAAATCTTCAATCATTTTCCCCGAGCCCCCGGGGTCAGGCTTACGCTCTGGTTTGCTTCCCAACATGACGCAAATTGACTCCATAACAAGTTTGACTGGGGCAGGTGGATTCTGAAAGACATGTTTTAATGTACGGTATGTGATTCCAAAAGTGTAATTGTGAGTTAGTAATTTTAGAAAGTACGTAATCGTACATAAAAAGTACATGAATTGTGTAGAAGTTCACATACTGCAGATTTTTAATTCTTGTCCACGTGTTGTTCTTGTCTGATAGTAAAACAGTTAAATATGACATTATGAGGTTACAGGAGTACCACCCATTGACACATTTCATTTTTTTTTTAAAAATCTGAAGATCAGCTAGATATTCTACCAAATTTTGCTCAAAGCACTATTGAATGGTATAACTGTAAATCTATTATAAAATTAGTAAGTAAAATTGATAATTTCAATATTATTTTTCATAAAATATTTTAAAAACCACATTATCTTCAGCAAGTGATGATGTTTCTATTGCATGCTACTATATCTAAAACTGACCCAATATAAGTTCTAATATACAGGGTGAGCCAAAAGATCTCATCTATTTGGAACATTTTTTTGGCCCACCTTGTAGAACTGGTTACTTGCAGCTTAATAGAAAACATATCAGGCATCACAGATCATCATCATATTGTACATAATAGTCACAGAATTAACAGGACATATACATGTATAATACATAGTATGCAGTAGATGCTACTATTTGGTACAAGTCAACCGCACTGTACATTGTTAAAATGCTATATTTAACAAGAATTTGTAAAAAAAATGAAAATTGAAAAAGAAAAATTTCAAATGCAATTATGGCATGCACTATGCACAAGAAGGCTCTTGACTTTAGTACGGTAATTTTTGAAAAGGAGTCTAATAAAATCTAACCAATTAAAAGAGCGTTAAAAATTCAATAGATGACTATCAATGGAAAAATGGCCTGATTATGGCCTAGTCACATAGCCCGGCCGATTAGGTTACGATGAGCCAGCGATGCAATTTTCACCTAACTCGGCCGAACACCGGCCGGACATCCGTGGCGTTTGTTGCTTAAAACCGCATCAGTGGTAGCTCGGTGAAATTTTAACTTCGGAGTTAAATTTCACCGGGCTCTCACCGAGCTCCCTCATCATGTCATCGCAGCCCCATCGTAACCACATCGGAAAACACGTCGGCCGGTGCACGGCCGAGTATCGGCCGGTGTCCCATCCATCTGAGACAACCAGAGGATGAGGTTTTTTTACGGATAGCGGCAGAGCTCCGACCGAGCTCCGGCCGATGTGGGACAGAGCATCGGCCGGTCACTGTCCAAAGCCCGTTAACAACCCGGCCGGCGATCGCACGGTGTCCTGTTACCTGCTCGGGTACCGCCCGTATTCCTTCCGATGTCCGGCCGACCTCCGGCCGGTAGTTGCTGCCACATCGCCAGAAAAAACTACCATTTTGAGACAGACTCCGTACGGTCACCGGCCGGTGTTCGGTCGGTCGCCTGAAGATGTCCGGACTGAGTCCGTTCACGTCACCGAGCTCTGCTTCCGATGAGGAGAGCTCGGTGGCACCAAAAAAATCCACCGAGCCCTACCGATGCCGGACATCGGCCGGGCTATGTGACTAGGCCATTAATAGCCAATAATGAAATCATTCTTGAATATTAATGTGAAAGTTATAGCCTCAGTCACATTTGATCTATTGCAACCATACAGCAGCCATTGCTTCCTAAAATCAAGAGAAATATGCAGCATAAAATATAGGAATAAGCAGTACGTTAATTGTAGATTTTCTTCATCGATTTTATGAAGCTATGGCTGCCGTGTGCCAGCTGTAGAGCAAATATGACGGAAGCTTTGTTAAGTATGTATATAATTGTTGCAGTAACCATTTTTTGCATTTTAGATTTTAAATTATACTCAATAAACAAGAAGTCATACAAATAGTGACTGTCATTGAGGGAAATAGTGAAAACTATTATCCCAAAGGGAATATCCTATATCCACTGATTGAAGTTACCAAGGCAACAAGCTGAAATATGATATTCACAAGAGAATTTTGCACTATTTCCTCAAAATGTTGCAGTCACTATTTATTTCGTTATATACCCCATAAGAATTTTGCAAGAGAAGCAATACAATGGGTTCTTTCAACTTCAGCACTTTAAGTATGACTATGTTTTTCAATTAAAATTTTGGCTAGTAGCTTCTTATAATATAATCCAATCACCATCCAAAATACATACGTAGTATACACATGTTAATAAATATAATAATTTGCAGTTTTCCAGATTTTTAAATCAAATGATTATCCCTTAATCAAGAATTACAATACCAAGTCAAATTCATTACAAATTATGAAAAACGGAGAAAAGTGTACTATCCTTTTAATCACTATGAGCCAAAATAAAATAAAATGAATATTTTAAAGAAAAGTAAAGATAAAATCATGCAAAGTGTAAACCATCTGGAAGAGAAGAGACCTTCACTCACGTTTGCCTGCAGAAAAAACATAAATGTGTTAATAACATAAAAAAAACATGTGCATTTCTTACATTACTGGTGTTCGAAAGGAAATTAATTTCAGAGAGACAAACTTGAGCCAAAGAGGATATTACACTCTTACACAACCAGTCCATATAGACTCTGAGTCCACATGAAATCAATGATGCACATGCTATCCACATGAATCTATATGAGCCCACATGAAATCAAGGGTGCACATGCTATCCACATGAATCTACATGAGTCCACATGAAATCAAGGATGCACATGCTATCCACCTGAATCTGCATGAGTCCACATGAAATCAAGGATGCACATGCTATCCACATGAATTTACATGAGTCCACATGAAATCAAGGATGCACATGCTATCCACATGAATCTACATGAGTCCACATGAAATCAAGGATGCACATGCTATCCACATGAATCTACATGAGTCCACATGAAATCAAGGATGCACATGCTATCCACATGAATCTACATGAGTCCACATGAAATCAAGGATGCACATGCTATCCACATGAATCTGCATGAGTCCACATGAAATCAAGGATGCACATGCTATCCACATGAATTTACATGAGTACACATGAAATCTAGGATGCACATGCTATCCACATGAATCTACATGAGTCCACATGAAACATGTTTCCACTTGGATTCGAAATGAATCAGATTACGAGTGTATGTTATATGGTTTTAGCATCTTAAAATAGTTTTCTGTAAAATTTTGAAAAATGGCAGTTGCCTTGCCTGCCTCTAAGCTTAAGCTATGCCGATGTTAGTCAAGTATTTAAGCTGAGAAACATTTAAATGAGGTTAGCAAGAAATAAAAAAAATTCGGGGGACATTACTAGATTTTTTTGATTGCTAAATCAGTTGTTAAATGGATATCAAGATGTCACCATTTAATAAGAACGAAACTCTGAGGAATTCTTAACTGTACATAAAAGCTTCTAGTGATGACCCCATGAAGAATTTGTGTGTATTTATTCAGAACAACAGAATACAGAAATCTCTGTATAAGTTGAACACATTTAGTAAAATTTGTGTTTCAATTGGGAGGTGTTCCACTTACAGAACTTAATTTTACATGTCAATGGGTAATAGGGTCTTGAAAAGTGTTCCACTTAAAGTGGTGTGTTCCACATAAAGTGGTGTGTTCCACTTAAAGTGGTGTGTTCCACCTAAAGTGGTGTGTTCCACCTAAAGTGGTGTGTTCCACTTAAAGTGGTGTGTTCCACTTAAAGTAGTGTGTTCCACTTAAAGTGGTGTGTTCCACTTAAAGTGGTGTGTTCCACTTAAAGTGGTGTGTTCCACTTAAAGTAGTGTGTTCCACTTAAAGTGGTGTGTTCCACTTAAAGTGGTGTGTTCCACTTAAAGTGGTGTGTTCCACTTAAAGTGGTGTGTTCCACTTCACAAGTTTTACTGTAGATTGTATACATTTAGTAAGTTTCTTGTGGGTATAGAAAGTGGATTATTACAAAGGAAAATTCATTAGAAGGGGAGAATGGGTGTCTGTTCCTGGAACAATAAGGTGGACTTTTACAGAATATGTGATATTAGGGAGGTTAAGATACATGTTTTTGTTTAAAACTTGGACGTAAGCGTGGAGAATCATGGTCCTCTGTGGATTAGCTCTCCCATTTGTACTGTTTACTTGGCCGATTGAGTATAAAGGATACGGAAAATAATTGTAATTAGGTCCCTGGGAAAGTGAATTGAGGGAGTGACAGTAATCCCCAAGGGTTGTAATATCTGATCCTTCACATGATATACCCAAATGCCTTTAACCATCTATTTCATCAATATAGACATCCTGACATCCTGAATGCATGTTTGCTTCTATTGCTTGAGGATTCAAAAGCCAGACATTTCATAATAAATCAGAGTAGATCCTTACTTCAACAGGAAACACATAACCCTCTCGATAACTGTTACGGAAAATATTAATGGAAAATTAGCAGAGCTTTATGGAAATTATATTTCTTCACAAACTAGTATAGTTTCACTCAAACATACTCATTGTTATCGATTGAATTTGATACATTTGAGTAAACATCAATAATGATGCATCGCTACACTCCGTGAGTCAAAGTGGTGTCTAGAGATGTTAGGAAGGGACATTGACTTTGGACTGATGCATACAATGGCTTATGCATGGGTCACATATGCTACGATTCATCGGCCGTCGCCTGGCCGATTGAGTATTTTGTTCAAAATTGAATACATTTCTGAACAAAATACTCAATCAGCCGGGCGCCGTAGTGAAAATTGGAGCAAATGTGACCAAGGCATCATAGACAGCACTTGATATAACAGAGAGTAATGAAGTATGTGAATCTATAGGTATTTCTATACAAACAGCAGGGTATAGTGTCATTATCTTCAATCATATAATCTTACTAGTGGTGATGCATCCCAAAATATTAATCAGTAAGTGTTATAGGTTGAGGCAGTAACCATTCATATAAGTCTGTTTTTTGTTTTCATTTTACTAACAGGGTTAGGTATCAATGTGGAGAAGTCAGTCGGCCCTATAGCTCAGTGGTAGAGCACTTGCCCGGAAAACGAGAGGTCATGTGTTTGATCCCCACTGGGGTGGACTGACTTCTTCACATCAGGCATTAGCGCAGGATTTCATTCTGTGTTTTCATTAACCTGTCAATGTGTCTGTTCACTCACCTTCATTGCTTTGACCATACTGATGTCGGAAGGCTTCAGTGTATTGAGTGCTGAGATGGCAGACTCTAGAGCTGGTATAGCCTCAGCTAAGTCACTCTCGCACTCATCCTTGATGGCCTGTGCTGCGGCTGCAGCTTCATTAGCTACAGCTTCATCTGCAGCTACCACCTAAACACAGCAGGATTGACATACAGGTAGTTAGCAATACTATAGTAACAACATATGGCTGGATCTTAAAACAAAATATATGCTTTTTGCAAATATGGTATTTGCATTAAGGTTGAAATAACATATGGTTTGAATAAAAAATACAATAACTGTTTAGATTGTGGTGTGGTTTCAGATTTATAGGGGTTACAATTCTACAAATAAACAAAAAACAGTTGCTGTTCATATAGGCCAACTGTTTGAGTAATTACCTCCTTCTTTGCCTCCACTTCCACAGTGTCCTGTTCTATTTTAATCATAAGAGTCTCGGTCTCAGCTGATGTTTTGATTAACTCTGGTTGGAGGTCGGTCAGCTCCTGTTGCATCACAGACACCTGTGAGGCCGCAAAGTCCAGCTTTTCCAAACCTCCTATGTAACGGTTCTTCAGCTGCATGATGTTGTCACGCTTTTGGTTGAGCAGTTTCTTGAATGTAAGGATCAGTTCTAGGTAGGAGGTTGGAGTGACATAGTTGTGACGACGTAAAATTGTGTAATATCTGCAAGAAAATGAAAGGAAGTTTGATTTATTTTTCATTCATATATCTACACTCATTAAACGAGATAGGGTACTGTAGTTTACATATACAAGTGCAGGTTATCCTTAACACTAAACAGAATAATTATGAATGGGTTATTTGAAAAATATTTAATTCAACTGAATAGTTTTTTTCATTTTACTATCATGCATAAGAACTTTAAACAATTTGAAATTCCTTGTATCATTATGTCATTAAAAAACTGACAACTCCAAAAAAGGTTGTTTCACAGGGGATGGGTGTTAACGCAGTAGTCATTTGAACTTACTTCTCAGACTGATCTCTGACACTCTCGTGGAAATGTTTACACATAATGACACTCTCTTTCCTGACATTATCATCCAAGTCAACATCTTCAAGGAACTTGTTGGCGACCATTTCAAGGGCATCTTCTGGCCACACCTAAAATATGTTATTACCCATAATGCAACATCATAATGCAGACGGTCATTTCTAGGAATTTTTAGCATCTGCCCATAATATATCTTGTGGCAACACATACAAAAAATGATATTGCCCCATCACATGACAGAATTGCTTAAAATATTTTGAAGAAATCAAAATGTTCTTTTTCCACCAATACTTATAAATCAGTAAGTTGTACCCACAATGCAATAGTATCAAATGTAACGTACAATCGTCAAAAAGATTATCAATTTAATATGATTTCATTAATTTCTATTTTCGCAAATTACAAATAAGATAAATGACAATATACCTGGAACCAATCAATAGTACAGCAGTTAATGAGTGACGGGAACTGACGTAATCTGTTCCTGAATGCGTCACCAATGGGGGACATAGCCAGTACAATGTGGAGGTTCTGCTTCACACGTTCAATGAAAAAGTTATACATGGCCAGGGGTGTAGCATCCATTTTACGGTTCTGAAAATAGATCATAAATATTGCAGAAACATTCCAAAGCTTTTTACCAAATACATGTATTTCCAGTCAGTGACTGTACTTTGCTATTATATCTAAATACTTTTATAATATTCAAGACATATCATAGTTCAAAGAACCATAATATGATACATGTCAAACAAAGATTATTATAATTATTAATTATTTATTATATTGTGTTACAAAGCATTATGGAGCTATGTCGATGTGACCTTTCAATTTGAATTATTACATTATTATTTCAGCGTAGAAATATTTTGTATATGATTATTCATGTACATGTATAATCACTTGTAAACCATCAAAATGGAGAAGCTTTCTTATGTACCTCATTTCTTGCAACTGTTTGCATTTTCTCAATAATCTCCGCCCTTTCATCAGCTGGGTAAAGATTGGGCACATCTCCTGTGTTAAGAATCATACTCAGGTCTTCCATGAATGACTCGTCTTTAATTTGTGTATCGTTGAACAGAAATACGGTTCTCTTGCCTTCAGCTCCGGCTTTTACAAGCAACTGAAAAAATATTTATCGCATTTTGAAAGTGCTTCATTGTCACGTCATATAACGTGGATCATATGCCCCTTGGGGTGTCTTCCACTATTGTGATTGTACTTGTATTATTTGGAATTTAGGAAATAAATAAAACATAAACAACAAACATTTTATCAGGTGTGTGTGCATGCTTTAACGATGCATTAACATGATAAAATGGAAACATCTGGTAAATTTTTATTTTTATCAAAATTTATTTTATTTCCAATCGTAATTTTATCTACAGCACAAATCGAATACTTATATAAGTTCATTATGTACAATTACTAAAGTGAGAATTTGGGCAAACATTTTACAGATTTCTCAAAGTTTTTGGCATTTTAAATTAGATCAAGGTGGTGATGGTGGTAAATTATTGCAAATGGTTACAAAAGTGTAACAAATAGTTACAGATGCTAAAAAGTCAAAAATTACAGTGACATTAAAATGCAAGGTATTTAACAACTTGATAAGCGGCCATAAATTTGTTCATACACTTTCTTTATCAACAATACGACTTTTGTGTCCATAATAATCATGTAGCACAATAACAATTTAAAACTAAAAAGCAAAATGGATGACACTAGTGGTGATTATCTAAAGAGGCTCTAAATCTGCATAATATGACCCCATATACCTTTTTAAGATCCTCCCTCCATTCATTCGGGCCATAACCACGCGTGATCTCTATCTGGAACAGGTCGTATTCTGCCATGAATGCTGCTAGCTTTGTAGCACTCTGTCGGCCGCTGCCTCCAATACCTGCGTGCAACACAAAATATGAGTGTCGTGAAACGAGATCAAGGCATCCATATATGGGACCTGTTTGTCATTATGATCAATAGTTGATTCTCAACAGTTCTTGATTTTTTTGTAAATGGAAATTCCAACTGATTCTTGTAAGCCATTTTAAAATTTATCAATGTATCCTTATACTGACCAGTGAATCAAATTGAAATACATCTAATTGATCTAATTGCATTTCACTTTCATCATAATATCAGAACAGGCATATAATATGTGTAATTATCGTATGATCTGTAAAATGAAGCCTTCTGATTGGTCAGTTCTTGTGCTGTACCAATCTGTATTGCTACTGAGATCGTCCCCATTGATCATCTCCGTCGCAATACAGAAAATATTGGTACGGAGGGGACTTTCTCAGTAGCAATACAGATATTCTGTATTGGCACTCGACTTTGTCTCGTTCCAATACGGAATTTCTCGAGCAGAATATAGCCTGTATTGCACTTCAAATCATTCAATAACTTATAGTACAGAATCAATATATTTACCTATCATAAGTGCATGGCCATTGTCCTGTTTTAGAACTCTGCTTACTCTAGAGACATGCTCAATGGCAAACTTGAACATGACCAAAGACATGGGGGACCGACTCAACATGTTGTACTCATCCATATAGCTGAAATGACAAAACATATTTATTCTTACATATTCTTGAGCTGACCCCAAATTAATGCAGTAAAACATGTATATTTATCCACCTGAGCACCTCTCAATGTGAACATTTTTCAGTTCCATCTTTCATTTAATTTAATTACATCTCTGAGGCATGCCCATAACCAACTTTTGCCAAGGGGGTTCTAAACAAATCCAGGGGGTTCACATTTTACATATTTTTGCCCAGAGGCAAGCAAAAACTGATCAAAATGATGAAAACTGCAAGATTTTGAAAGAATTTTTGCCCGCAACCCCACAACCCCCTTTTTCTACAGGCCTGGCAGCGCAGGGATTGGTAAAGACCACATGCTTTACTGTATAACACTTACTGTTCCATCACTTTGGTTAACTCTTTCAGGTCTGTGACTTCATCATAAATCTTCTTGTCTGATTCAGGACTCATATAGTCTCCAAATATCAAACTACGAATATCGTCATCCTTCAGATGTCCACTCATAGAAAGATGAGCTAAAGTTTTATCGAGGCTCACTTTAAAACTGGCCTGTGTTTGTTCTTTCACAACATCAAAGAATAATAATCGATCAGCGTCATCGACTAAACGATCGTAAAATACTCTGTAAATCTCATGTATCCAGAGGCGTATCAGCTTGTCACCCTCTGTGAGATGAGACGCAGGCATGAGGAGAACACCCCGGACCACACGGGCGAAGTCACGAAGGTTGAATACATAGTGACTCTTAGTTGGTGTGGGCAGGAACTTTGATATAGTTTCTTTGTAAACATTCATTGTTGCTTGCACCATCATCTGTAAGAGAATATAATCCCATGTGTAAATCATAACGCACTATGATCACATGATGACATGTTAAAAATATAAACTAGATAACGGCAACTCCGCGGAGTAGCAAATCCCAACGAACAAAATATCAATTACCGAATTCCAATCAATTATACTCATTACTTTGGTTGAAAATGAAAAAATTAGATTTTAGAATTGCCAATTCCTGCAAAGCAGCCATTTTGAATTTTCTGAGGTACAAATCTGAAAAATAATAACATTATTGTGATCTACTCCAAAATTCCTTCAATTTGAGTATAATATAGCCATACTTTGAAGGGATCGAAAAATTATTGCGAAATTGTACATTAGACGGCCATTTTGAATTTTACGAGGCTCCAATCAGAAAAAAGATACAATATTTGCAATCTACTCTTAATTGCCTTTCATTTGAGTATAATAAAGCTATACTTCAGAAAGATCTAAAAATTAGCGAAAATTTCTGTTTTCCTGTCCCCCCATACATGGCCCCTGGGGGTCAGGATGAAAAACACAGAATATATGTGAAATAGATAAATGTTGTGAATACACTACCAAAATTTCAAACAATAATATTAATTACTTTGGTTTAGAATGAAAAATTTATGACTTTTGCGAAAAAGTCCCGTCATTTTTAAAGCGGCGGCCATCTTGTTTTGCGTAAAACTATTCACCAATATACATCTTTCCACTAAATATGAAGAAAATCTGTCAACTAGTATTTGAGTTATCTTCCGGACAGACGGACGGACTGACTGACTGACGGACTGACAGACTGACGGACTGACGGACAGACGGACGGAGTGCTTCACTATATCCCTAACGAACTTCGTTCGTTGGGATAATAAGGCATTAACATGCAAAATTTCACTACCTGCCATTTGAATGCCAAACACCAACCATCGAATAATATCCACAAAAAATTAAACATGAACTGGAGGATTGGTAGAAAAGTATATAGAGAGAACCGTATGACATCTTAAAAAATAAAAAGTCTAAAAAGATAAGTAGAAAATTGAAACAAATGTAAAGAGAAACTATTATGAAAGGTAAATAATCTGGGAACAATTTATATTCAGCTACTATATAGAGGCTGTAGTGAAGAACATTCAGATCAAAAGGATCATTAAAGCGAATCTTTATTGGAAAATGTAGAATTCAATTTACCTTTCCAAGTCTTGAGAATGCCCCATCAAATCCTTTGCTGAAGTGCCAATCTGTTATATTGGAGAAGATTTTGTTCAAAGTGTTGTCATCAAACTCGTCAATGGAGACTATGTTCATGTGACGTGTGAAGCGACCTGTGATGTCATTGCGACCTCCACCAGGTGGCCCCATAGCGGCAACCAGAAGCTAAAAAAATTAATATGATTTGATCTGATTTATTTTGCAATTTAGTACATGATATGGTATACTTAACCGACTAACCGAACCCGTCTGACCCAGTTGTTTACTAACTCCCCGAATCCAAAATGTAGATTAATGACATTTCAGATTCTATGACATCAGGTGTAGTAATAAGTGAGTCAGAAAAGTTTGAATGATATATTCCATTGACATATCCAGTCATGAGGCAGGTGAAATATCAACAATAAATAAAGGGAGATTCAATCTAAAACTGTGAATACGAAGTATAGTTTGATAAATGATCATATTTTAACTCATATTTTGCGTGCTCAGATGTAAACTGAGTAGATCTTATACTTTAGGGCAATTATAATTATTTTACCATGTTTCTTGGCAACTATATTAATAATCATACATTGACACCTGTAAAGAGGAACACCTCTGTTAGTGGAACATTTTCCAGAGTCCCAAGATCAATTTATTTAATGTTTCATGAACCTCTATAAGTGGAGCACTTCCCAAAGTGGAACACTTTTTAGAAGTGCCAAAGTTGTTCAACTTCCTGTAGTACTGTAGAATTAAGTAAATGCATGTCATATAAAATTGATTGATTCTCATTAAAGGGAAAGCTTTGACTTACCACGTCTGTTAGGAAAACTTTGGATGTATCTTTCCTGTCATACCAGTGGCCATGGTCGACCCATTGTCTCAATAGCTCAATAGGTGGCTGAGCACCATAAATCTCTTTGGCGGGCATGTTCAAGTCATCCACAAACAACACACATTTTTTGCCCATAGGTGGTCCAAATACGCCTTTACGACGCCTGAAAGTAGTACAAATAACATGAATTAAAATGTCGATGAAATCTCTTATAAACCTTACTGAACGTGTGAACATGTTATACAATACAAATATGGAAAAAACATTGTGCATTCTTTCTGGCACTGAGTTTAAGTAGGACTCTCTGTCGAAGTCTGAATACATGTAGCATGACAATATTTAACGCACGTTTCAAATCTCAATATTATCACAACTACAACTTTAGAACCTTTCTCCTTGGTCAGTATTTCTGAACATTTTTTTTAGAGTTTAGACTCTTCTTTTTATTATTATTCGTTATAAAATCTATATGAAGTGGGTAAATACTGAACTTTTCCGTAAATGTTTTCTGTGAATAATTTACAATATGACAGCTAGTTATGGCAACATTCTAAACCCATTTCTGTAAAATTGTCCTAAATCAATTTTGTCATATCCTGTAACTCAAATATAGTGAAGCGATTTTTCTTAATATTTGTTCAGAAAATATTTCTGTACACTATCACATTTGGAGTTAGCTCCATCAGCAGGTCTTTTGCTGAAAAATACAAGAGTTTAAGAAGTCTACGAAAAAATCAAAAATGGCTTAATCATAAATATATACAACAAAATTATACATTAACAATTTTTACATTACGGAAAAGTTCAGAAACACTTCCCTGGGGCGAGGAGATACAATTACAACACAAACAACAATATATTGAAGTTTAGATGAGATTGATTCTCAGATGTCATAGAGAAAATATAAGAAGAAACTGAGGCCTACTTTTCCAAATAATGCCCAGTTTCTGAAAAATGGGTCTATTTTGGAAGATCTCAGACACTTTTAAACCAAAAATAGTAAATAGTAGTAAGGGTACTTGGCTCATATGTATTACCTCACCTTGATACTTCATATTAGTAGTACAGACTTATGCATTGTCAAAAATTTTATATTTCACTAAGTTTCCTCTCAACAGCTTTGCTTATCAGGCAACCATTTTTGGGGTTAACAGTTTTTTTCTCTTATGAAATAGACTAAATCAAATTATTATGATCTAATGATTCTCCAAATTTTAAAAATCAAAAATCTGTTTTTAAATATCCCTTATGATATCCCCTATTGATATCCCTGGAATTATTTTTAATCTTTCCTCTGTTTATCAGATGCAGGTTGGGAGATATACACTTCCTTGCTGTTACGTGAATAGCCTCTACATTCTATAAAAGCCCTTCCTTATATAAATTGGCATATACTAATCAAACTCATATGTCGCTGAAGCTAAACAGATAGACACCTTCAAGAAATATTTCAGTTATACAGTGAACAGAAAATGATACTCCGTATTTAACAAAATACATTCAAGATCATAAAAATTGTTAACTGCGAGACTTTTGAAAGTAACTTTTACAATATACAAATCAAAGTCATTTGAAAGAAGATCACTAAATTATCGACACTTAAGTTTATGTCTCAGAAAATAACTTCAGCATTACTGTAGGGATATAAATATACAACTTGGAAATATGTACTCATAACAATTTAAATATAGCAAGTTATTTGATGACTGCAAAACCAGTTTGAAGAATCCTGCAATGGCAGCCCATGCAGTAGGGCATTTAAGAGAGGTAAAAAGAAAACTCCAGATTCGTTGCGACAAATTTTAAACTTAATGAAAGAGGCGTAACGGGATCACAAAATAGGCGAGGCAACATTTGAATAGGTGAGACAAAGTTAATACCAAAGAGGATATTATAGGAATATTCTATGGTTTTGAAAGAATATCATCTATATCCATGAGTGGATATCTTCATGAGTGAGGACAGTAAATGAGAATTGATATTCATGAGTGGATATAATTGATATTGTTGAAAAACCATAGGATTGTTCGTTTATCCAATGGGAAATCATTACACAGCGAAAAAAAAAAAATTGTTGACAAAAAATGAAAAAATGAACTTTTGAAAAAAAATTGAAATAAAAATTTAAAAAAAATTGGAAAAAATCGAAACTATTGAATATTACATTTGAAACCATCAAATATCACTTTTTAAGGAGTAATCCATTTTGATCCACAACATATCAAATACAGGGTGGTCAAAAAATGGCAACCCTGTATTTTCCTAATATCTTTGTCATTTTAGTAAATTACTCCCTGATATTTTACACACTTGTACATCATTCAATTTCATATCAGTCTACCATATTTCATGACCACCAGACTGATAGTAACAATGTTACAGCACTTTAAACAACATGCCCCAGGCCTGGCCATCATAGCGCTTAAACAAACCTGCACAAGTTGTCTATGACCCAACTGCAATCCTCAGTAGGTATGGCCTGAATGACAATTATGATTTCCTTTTTGAGGTTTGTAATTGTCTTGAAGTCATTTTTGTACACTTTATCTTTGGCATATCCCACAGGTAGAAATCAGGTATGAACATTTTGGACAACGGTGCAGGTTTGCCCTCAGCGCTAAATTGGCCTCTGGAGCATGTTGTTTAAAGCGTTGTAGCATTGTAACTATCAATCTGATGGTCATGAGATATTGTAGGCTGCCGGATGGAATGATGTACACATGTACCAAATATCAGGGAGATATTTTCTAAAATGACAAAGATATGACGAAAATAGTCGCAGGGTTGCCATTTTATTTGACCAACCTGTATACAGGGTGTTCCCAAAGTAACAGGACTGGTGCTGGCATTTTGTTAAATATGCACCAATCATCTTCAAAATTTTACATAATATACATTCATGTATCCTTACTCAGACTGCAAAGTTTCGACAAAATATATTAAACTTGGGTAGAGTTATGGTTGCTTTAGTAATATGACATCACAATACCCGGGGCAATATTCCACTCAAAAAGTTACAGAGACATGAAGCATTTTGTACATACCATATCATTTTGTACATGCCATATCAAAGTTGAAATGCAACAACTGGTGGGAATTCCATTTGTTTTACATCACTTGATATTCCAATGTATCCTCTATACTTTGAAAAATAGGCTTTTCTTTAGTCAGTACAAGAGTAGTACTCTGTATCCATGACCCAAACACATGAGTGAACCCATTTGAGGACATGTCACGCAGGGTCGATTGGACAATTTGGAGAAGGTCATTCTCATCTTTAAAGGTCTAACAGCACTGATTAGCACTCCGTTCTCAATATAAGTAAAGATTAGATATTGCATGATCAGAAGAGTATGGTGCATGGCTTTAGACCGCAAGACCTAGCTCTACTATAGCTGCATGGTCTTTAATGGTGACCTGCGGGCAGGTGTGCTATCAAGGTGGATGACTGGCTTCAAATTGCGTCTTTTCAAAAACGCAACTGTGAATTGTTCAGACTGTTATACATAGTAATATTCCAGGAAATTGAATAAATATTATTCTCATTATGAAATTATACTTGAATCTGAGTTATATAGCAACATCTTCACAACGCAGCAACTCCTAAAGTAAACAAGAAATGTTGTATTATAATAGATGAATCTGATACTTTCTTCAGTAATAAAAAAATGTTAGATATCACATTTTCAGGAAAAAAGTTGCCCCGGGTATTGGGATGTCATGTTACTATAGTAACCATAACTCTAACCGCATTTCATAATTTTTTCTGAAACTTTAGAATTTTAGTTGCAATACTTCAAAGTACAATTTGTGAAAATCTGAAGACACTCAATGCAAAATTGACAAAATGCCAGCACCAGTCCTGTTACTTTTGGAACACCCTGTGGCCTGTATGTTCACATGATATTCAATCTATATCCTTACAATCACGGGATGCTCCTACCCAACAACTGTTGATGTGCTCTTATTTATATTTATTTATGTATTTGCGCTATTATTATATTCAATTTATGTTTAATCAGGTAGTATATACACCTATTTTAGGTGTCCACTGTAAATAATTTGTATTTTGATTTATTGTTATATGAAGGAAATAAGAAGTAAATAAAAAAATAAAAAATAAAATAATGTACTTATATATAATTGGATATCATTTTCAGCTGAAACTACAAAAAACATTCCTGTAGCTAGTGACAGCATTGCACAAGAAGGCAAAGATCATCAATCAGAATATGCTGCATTTAAATGATCCAAGGGTCAGATTTAGAGATTGAACAAGTATACATGTGGTTTATATATGAGGAACAGCATGTTAGCACAATTATGCCAGAATATTAGCATTCAAAATGCAACGAACTGGAACAGCACGCACCAATCAAATACTGATTCTACTCAAGCCGCCATTGGCATCATTTCAATGTTGATATATTCTTTTAATTTCATATTCGGAACTTTGAGTAACTCATTTGTGATTGTAGTGGCGATTTTGGACAAGATGTGCCGTCACCATAATAAGTTTATTATATTCCTCGCCATAAATGATATCCTGACGTGCTTTGTTTTACAACCAATGCATATCTACGTGATAGCTCTCAAACTATATGAATCTGTTCCTCATGATCATTTATGCTTCGTTTTCACAATTTTACGACTAACCCTTATCGGAATGAATTTTCTTATTTCTGCATTGGTAGCACTCGATCAGATTGTCTATATTTCTTGCCTCCCAGTAACTCATAACAAAATATTCAAGTACAAATTTTGCATTGAAATGGTAGTTGTAGGCTATATTCTAGTAGGAATTATCGCTGTATTGTTGAATAGAGCAAATGGTTTCTGTTTCAATCCAGACACTTTGCTATGTGTCATTGCCAATAGAAATAAAACTTACATTCCGATAATATTTATTTCAACCATAATGTGTTTACTAATGGCTATATACATATATTTAGGAATTTTCATACACAGGCGTGAAAAAAGCATTCTTAGTCATGGGAGACGGATAAATTATACCATTCACAATAGATACGTCATTATTGGACTGCTCTCCTTTGCCTTGCAATTTGTCCCAGGCATTATCACAGAATTTTGGATGGTGGATATCATGACCATATTGTTCCCACTCCAGAATACAGTAAATGCGGCTCACCCTATTATCCTAACATGGCAGATTCCAGTTTATAGTGATGCATGGAATGCCATAACGAGGTTTAAAACTCCCAAAACAATGCGAAGGGAGAACTTTCAGAGAAAAGTGATATCAATTGCGATGAAAAGACAAAACAATACTAACTGAACAGCAGCATCAGTCCCATAGCAAGCTTTTCCCAAATGAGGGGGAGGGGTCAGGTTTTAAAAAAAATCTGGGGTGTTCAAATTTAACAACCTTGGCCCATAATCACTTGAAGTGCTCAAAATTATGAAAAACCGCAAGCTTTTGAAAGATCCCCCGAACTCCCCCCCCCCGCCTGGTAAAGGGCTTGAGCATAAAAGCAGACTGAAAGTTAACCTGAAAGAGTAGACCTGAGGATTCTTGGAATAGACTGAGAGAAAACAATACATTTATAATATGTAGAGATAAATTGATTTATCGTATGATCTGTAAAATGAAGCCTTCTGATTGGTCAGTTCTTGTGCTGTACCAATCTGAATTGCTACTGAGATTGTCCTAATTGATCATCTCCGTTGCAATACAGAAAATATTGGTACAGAGGGGACATTCTCAGAAGCAATATATAACAGAGGATCACACAATAAAAACATTAAAGAATGATTTGAAGTGCAATACAGGACATATTCTGCTCTTGATATTCTGTATCGGCACTCGACTTCGTCTGGTTCCAATACAGAATTTCTCAAGCAGAATATATCCTGTATTGCACTTCAAATCATTCAATAACTTATAAAGCAGTAAGCTTGTCATCAATTGTTCAATATCAGTTTTTTTAAACGTGGTCCTAGAAGAAGCAGCCAGAGTCACATTGTGTCTCATCATGTAAATATGTAAGTCACATTGTGTCTCATGTAAATATGTAAGTCACATTGTGTCTCATGTAAATATGTAAGTCACATTGTGTCTCATGTAAATATGTAAGTCACATTGTGTCTCATGTAAATATGTAAGTCACATTGTGTCTCATGTAAATATGTAAGTCACATTGTGTCTCATGTAAATATGTAAGTCACATTGTGTCTCATGTAAATATGTAAGTCACATTGTGTCTCATGTAAATATGTAAGTCACATTGTGTCTCATGTAAACATGTAAGTCACATTGTGTCTCATGTAAATATGTAAGTCACATTGTGTCTCATGTAAATATGTAAGTCACATTGTGTCTCATGTAAATATGTAAGTCACATTGTGTCTCATGTAAATATGTAAGTCACATTTTGTCTCATGTAAATATGTAAGTCACATTGTGTCTCATGTAAATATCCGAGTCATGATTGAAATAAATGCACTCGATTTCCTGCACCATGCTAAAAGTTTTGATTTATAAGTAAGAGATTAAAAAACAGAGGAATAGAAATGTTATTTAGTTTTGGTAAAATGGTGAATTAACTGAAGTTAGTATTTGTAAATATATTATTAAATTGAAATTATTTTTTGTTAATGTCTCATGTCACAGTCTAGTTTTGAAGTGCCGTTGTAGTGTAATTCTTTTTAGTTATGACGAATCAAATCTAATAGTTTATTTATTTAATGGACATTGTTCCAGATTGTAGAAAGACCTAAGTGTATCATAAGCCGACACCAGCTGGTAGTGTTTTAGTTTACTTTGTATTTGACATTGTATGTATACTTCTAACACTAGTGACACTATAATAAAATATTTTAATAATAATAATAATCTAATTATGTTACTATGTAAAAGTTTTGTAATATTGAATAATGGCACAAATATTATACATAGATAGTCAGTATAAAAATGTATATATGTAAAAAAAATACATAGATAGTTAGTACTCCGTAATACCACAGCGCGGATGGAATTTGTCACAACTTGAACATTGTGCAGAACCCTTGATTTTTTTGAAAATCCAGGGGAAGTAGTGGTATCGATATGGAGAACTTTTTGAACACATGTTTCTCTTAAACCAGTCATAAAAAAATCTTAAAATTTAACACATCATCAATTTAATGGTCATCATTTTTTGAATTATAACAATATAATTTGAAATATATATAAATACTTTCATCTATATTGTTTTAGAAAACACATCAAACACTTGTTTTGTTCTTGGTATCATGTTTCTAGAGTGAAATGAAACATCTTTCCGAACCTCATTGGAACAAAACGACATAAGCACAACATGTTGTATAAAATATTTCTAAATAATTTTCGCATTTAATTGTTGTCAATCATTCAACATTAAAATACCGTGTTTTTTACTGAATATTTTCAATGATTGGTTTAAGAGAAAAATATTGTTGAATTCAGTTCTCCATATCGATACCAATCCTACCAATACCAGAATTGCATGCTTTTACAAATGCGTGCCATTGCGTGGTAATTGTAGAGAGTCCGTTTATGGCCGGTAATCAATCATTATTGTGTACAAGTACAATTTAATGTGAAATTCCATCTGAAAAAAATTGATTGAATCGTTATTCTAAAAATTGGAGAATTTGCTGTTTTTCTTGAAAATTCCCTTTTTCTTGCAGAATTCTATTTTTCATTTTGCAGGAAACTAGTATGTGTGATTATAAGATACTGATATTAAGAATAACGTGACTTAAACCTGATGAACCAAGAAAGCTAAAACTCTATAGAGTAGCATGTTGCCTTAATTCAAAAAGACACTATGAAATACATGTACCATAAACCATTACCATTAAAACATTGTTTCAACCTTAATTAATGCCAATTTAGGCTCATCACTGTAAACATGTAGATTTGGTTTCATAAGCTAATTGACATAAGATATTTTCACCAACAGATTGAACCTTGTTAATTTTAAGCTGGTCTCCTCTTTCTTACATAAGACTTAACTAATTAAGAGAATATGTGTAGATTTAGTTCCATATTCTCATATGACAAAGTCATGAACACAGTTAATTATATCATCATTCTCCAGCCATCTTTAAATCAGGGGCTGAGCTAAGATTCTGAGAACAGCTAGGATCAGTTGCCATGTTATTTTCTGACTGGTTCGTATCAGAAGTGCCCTGGCAAATGACCAGTGGACTGGCCCTTAGCTCAGGCCCTGCTTTAAAAAAGATGTGTGGTCATGGTCATCGTATCAAATCATTTAGTCTCATCAACAGGGTGTAAGATATCTTTCTACAAGATGGGGAACTACAAATGAAGACACTGATTAAAGATATTGTCACAAAGTTGGAAAAGTTACAATTTTTACAAAGTTAAGAAAGTTATATAAATGTGGAAAAAAGTTGAGATTTATATGAATTATCAACAATGTTTTAAGTTTGGCTGATTTAGAATGGATAGAGATTCTTGCATCAAGTATATTGCCCCCCCCCCCCCCCCTTCTACCCCCCCCCCTCCCTTCTACCTGATGCAAGACAAGGACAGAAATGGTACACAAGGTAATAAGAAAGTAAAGATACTTCGTAACAATCAGGGGGGGATACAGGGTCTCAGATTGAGCAGTTTCAGTTACGACAATTTCAGGGAGAGGGTACACGTATAACAATAGAGTCTACGTAATATACATATTGCAACCTCTCTTTTGTAAGGACCAATTTCCTGTATGCCGGAATTAAAAAAAAACATGCAAAAATTCAACATGCATCTAATCTCTAACCATGCAAAAATTTTCAGTTACTCTTCTAAAATTATGTATTTCGATGTTTGGAAAGAAGATATAAACAAGTCCATTTTCTATGTTGACTATGTGTTTGAGAATTGTCTTGGTGCATTATAAGCCTCAATTAGTAGCCTCAATTAGAAGCCTCAATTAGTAGCCTCAATTAGTAGCCTCAATTGAAGCTACTCCAATGTAGGTCGACTTAAACCAACAATTGATTGAATTAAAAAATATTTGATTTTTATTAAAATCATGAAGTATTTCAATAAACTCTCAAATGCTTAAATACCATATTGGCAGCCAATTTACAACTATCATCCTTTGCAGAATTCTGATGCCATAATAGTTTTCAGTAGTTCGAAACCAAACAAGAATTTTGTAAAGTCAAAAAGCTAATCCCTCTTTCTCTTCTTATGGCACAGTGTTCCTTCAAGACAAGACTATCAGTAAAAAATAGTCACAGTTTGTAAATAGTAGCATATTCCAATTGATATCATGAAGTTAGATATAATGGTAAGAACTGACAAATAGTATTTTTGTAAAATAATTTAACATGTACCCCGGCACATCATATTCATAGCTAAAAATAACAGAATCACACAAAATACATTAGATCACAAATTTTTTCAGCGATAATTCTAACAACCTTTATGTATTAATATGAAATAACATTATGTATATTAACAAGGCTTTTTCTAGTCAAGTTTTGCTGATTTATGGGTTAGCAAGCCAGAGTTGTACAATTTCTGGATTGGCAAGCCTTAACTGTAAAATTGCTGGGTTGGCCAGCCATAATTGTACAATTTCTGGATTGGCAAGCCTAAGCTGTAAAATTGCTGGGTTGGCCGGCCATAATCGTACAATTTCTGGATTGGCAAGCCTTAGCTGTAAAATTGCTGGGTTGGCCAGCCATAATTGCAGATAAAAGCAGATATGGTAAAAAACTAACCTGTCCAACTTCGACATGATGATGTCCTGTGTTTGATTGGCTGATGTTCTTGCGGAGAAATTCATGCAGTTTGGAATGTACCTAAAATGCAATACAATAACTGATTAGATAATTAGATTAGTACATACGAGGGGTGATCAATAAGTAATGAACGCTTTTTTACACAGATATTATTATCTATTGATCACCCCTCGTACAGTACAGTGTACATCCTATACAGTGAAATCATAGGTACTGCCCCTTGATAGAGATGTTGCCGATATTTGTTGATAAAAATAGTAGATTTCACACTGAAAAAGTAAAAAGTAAAATGTATATGAATTTTCATTCCATAATAGTCATATAGATGCTGTTCAAAGGATATCAAATCAATATTTTTGTAACATGATATTTATTTTGGAAAAATACTAGATTTCATATGAGCTTTATCTGATGGTGAACAGATTTTTGCTGCTTGACTTAAAATGAGGCAGACAATAACAATGGATGTTTAGACATTTGATAATGTTTGGAAAGCACCCTTTTACATATGAATATTTACATATGAAAATGTTTGGAAAGCACCCTTTTACATATGAATATTTACATATGAATACAGGGTACATCATATGATTTTGGCCAGGTTTTGTTGAAGAGAAGACGATAATGTAAAACTTTTCTCTGAGATATAACAAACAGTCGTCAGATCCTTCCTTTAAATAATTTTGACCCATGGCACTGAATAATGAAAGAATCCTAAAGGATATACATACTGTTCTTTGGGTAGTTTCACGATGAAGCTATTGGTGATAGCTGATTTGCCAGTGCCTGTAGGTCCAACAAACAGGAGAGGGACCTCATGGAAAAGATAAGTCTGCAGGAAAAACACCTGTCTTGCTGTCTCGTTGGTCTGAATGATTAAATCACTAACCTGTAAGCAGAGTAAACATTGGATTTAAAACGCTGTTTAGTAACTTTCTAAAATAGCCCAAAAAATTAGTCTAAACACTTCACATGACTCTGATACAACTGATGAACTGTAAAAAATAATTCTACTGGTGGGTATTTTGGATTTAAAATACTTAATAATAACATTTACTCGGTCCGGAAAAAGGGCCTGAAAAAACTCTTTGGTCAAATATATCACGACTGAAATCCTGCTTAACTCAAGAAGAAATTTGACACAAAAATTGAGGTTTTGTATGACAATTTAAATAGATACAAAACCTTACATAGGAACATGTGTACCATTTATACTGTATTTCTGTATTGAATAATTTGTGTTAAGATACTTGCATTTGCATCTTTAGGGATACCCAGAGTGTCCCTGTTGAGAGTGTCCATCCAGTCAATCCACTGGCCACTAGACTTCTTCTCAAAGCAGTAATCGTACACTGTGCCTCTCTCTGGGAATGAGTTGCTCTGTAATATACAACACAAAGTATATTTCGATGTAGTGATTACTATTTCACTGCTGATAATTCTGAAAACACTATAAAGTCAGAAGCTATCACTTAATATGAGTTAAGATCAATGATGAAATAAAGACATGCTAAAGAAATTAGTATTTTTCTTGTCAAAGGCTCCGTTACTTAAATTCCGTAAACTAAGAGTTAAACTCAATTACCTTAGTTAGTTTGACACTTTTTGGCTTAGGATTATCATCATCTGTGCCGCTTATTAGGTGACGGAAAAATGTATCGAACTTGAGCCTACTAGGGCCATCTATAGTGCCTCCTACGGTCCAGACCAGTGAGAAGAGGAAGAGTCCTTGGAGCCAAAGGGTGATCTGAAATACAAAGTAATCGTATAAAGCAAGGCATTATACCATTGGCAATACAAGAAGAATACCCTAATCAACACAAGGAAAATACCATTGTCAACTTATGGCACTTCCATTGTCAACCCAAGGCACCTAACCATTGTCAACTCAAGGCACTACAATTGGCAACACAAGGCAATATCATTATTAACACAAGAAAAATACCCTAATAAACATAAGGCAACAAAGCAATACCAGTGTCAGCAAAAGCTAAAATATTCATTGACATAAGGTAATACCCTAATATCACCCTCAAGATACATGATACATAGGATGGCATTGCAGTGCAAACCAATCCCCCTCTAATGCTAAGGCATAGACCCACCTTGTTAAAATGATCAACATTTAACTGATCAACAGCAATATTTGAACAACAGTTGTTCACTGCTTTTTTATGGTAATTCTTTCAACAGTTTAAAAAACCATGAATTTTTCACTGATTATTTAGAAGCCTTGAATTTGAAGCAGAGAGCGTTAAAAAAAATTTCATGAAATTATGAAAAAGCACTATATCTAGTATCAAGGTGTCTTAAAAATCAATTTCATAAAAAATCTAAAAACAATCTATCTAGCACCAACCTGCTGACTGCTCAATGTTTCATGCTCGTCCTTGCCAGAATTGACAATCTCATCCATGAGGCACGTATAGAGCCTCATCAGGGACATGACCAGGTGCATGTCGGAGGTCTGGATCAGTGTCTTACAGTTATGACTCAGGAAATAGAGTGATGGGTCTATGAGCCAATTGAACAGATCATCGACCATCTCACGATGTTCTTCAGCAAGGGTATTTGGTAGGTTGTGTTGCATGTAGGAGTCCTTGAAGGGTTTCCAGCCCAGCTGATGTGGCTCTAGGTAAATCATACCACACCTATACAACAAAACAACAATTAAATTATACATTGTTCTAATTGTATTTTTTTCAATTCAATTCTATTTATTTCATAATTCTTATATAATACACACTATAAAAACAAGCCGCTAGACACCCTGGTGGGTATATGTTGCGGTTTAACAGAAATTATTAAAATGACATCTGGACTACATATAAAAGAAAACACTTATATGTCGACTATTTATTGTATTACAAACTAATATAGTATGTGTACTATAGATTCTCTCTTGGATTGTCAATTTACCATGTTTCATGAAGTAAATCAGGAAAACATTAGGCAGGATGTATCATGCGATAGAATTCAAGTTCTTATCACTTTTGCTGAGACATGTAATTTCACATTAAGAATTTTTTGCTCTTATCGGAACATGATGTCTGTTCGTGTCATGATCCCATACACCATTTGTTATAATTCAAGTTTAGCTTTCAATCAAATCTAACAGTTGGAGAGATTATGCACATATACAAGTGTGCTCTTGTATGTGCATATATTATGTGCTTGAGTATATGTTTATACAAGTGTGTTTGAGAGTGTATATACCTTGAGACTGTTGCAGGGGAGGCCTGCTCCAGATCAGCAGGCTCAAAGATAAGGTTCATCTTGTTGGACATCTGGATGATCTCACCACTCATGAGACATAGCTACAATAAAAAATAAAATAGTAAGTTTATCAGAGAACTTTTAGACACACACGTACTGATTTATAAATAAACAATAATAATATATAGGATGTCTGTCCACTTATTTCAGTGAATCTCAACATTTTGCACTAAAGACTACTTAGAAGTGATCAAGATAGCACATTGATCCACAATAAAACCTCTACATCCGAAACACCTGTGTAATCTGAACAATCTGTCTAATAGACTTCCATGTTAAAAAAACTCAAAATGTGAACACCTATCCGTCCAAACACTTATGGTGGTCCAATTGGTATTTTTGAACACTTGCCCATACAAAAATTTTTAGTTGATCCCTGAGTGGTGTTTAGATCAGATAGGTTTTACTGTAGTTATAGCATGGAAGACGGAGGTATTTACTATATAGTGTACCATTGACCCACCTTCTTATTATCATCCAGTACAGTGTTCATGTTTTCAATCCAGACGGCATCAACAGGTCCATCAAACATGATCCACTTACGGTCATCGTTGGGATTAGTGGCATACTCTCTGAATGTGTTAGCCAGTACACCTAACAATGTAAATCATCTATTAACAATTATATTACTTTTATTGACAATTGTATCAAAACATAACACATTAGTCTATGTACAAACTAAACTGTCTTGACTCAAGACAATACTACACTATTAACTAAATCCAAAAACATTGAACATTTTTGTTATCATTGACATTATAAAATATCATCAGGGTCAAAATAGAGGGATAGTGTTTTAAAATTTCACATCGTCTATTTCAGAAAATCGTATCGTGAATTTTTGATTTTAAATACAGTCTCCTATAATAGAGCATGATCTGCTGTAACTGATGGAGGAGTATAGTACAGTAGCTATCATAAGAATTTTCAAACTCTGTTGTCTTGTATTGAACCCCTGCCCTTTAAGATCATGCAATAGAGGACTTCAGGCCCGTAGCTAGGGGGGAGGGGGGGGGGGTTTGATGGCTCAAACCCCTCCCTGGCCAAAAATTCTTTCGAAATCATGCAATTTTTCACCATTCTGAGCACTTTTTAAGTGATTTTTTGCCATTTTTGGACCAAAATTGTCAAAAGTGAACCCCCCTGGAATTTTTCAAATAGTGAGTCCCCCTTGACAATCCTGGCTACGGGCCTGGGCCTGCTATATAGACGGAAAGATAGATGGCAGTGGTGCATTTGGTTGGGCCAAAATACTATTCATAATATGGAGACAACTGACAAAAGTCTCTGGACTTCTTGAGATATCAAATATTTCCAATTGTATTCTCCTTTTTCCAATAATGCAGGTCTTCCTAAAATCTCATTAAAAACTTCCAAAGCATTTCAAAGTTTATAGCAAAGCCTCTGTTGGATAAGTTATCAGATATGTACAAAATGTTGTTTTGTATTGAATTAACTCCTTACCATCGGACCATTCATGGGAGACAGGATCAAAGCACCCATACAGCTGGCCCATAGTAATAGCCTTGGGGTTAATGATCCTGTACTGCACCCTGTACTCTTCCATCAGACCCCCAGCATGTAGATCACCCAGGGCCCCAGCTAGTGCCTGGTACCCTTGGGTCTTACCCCCTAGGGGGTCACCTACTATCATCAGACCATGACGCACCAATATCATCTCATAAACCTAAAGTAACGACAATTTAATGTTGTGCATGCTTGAAAATGAAATACTGAAATATGAAACATATGTAATGTTTGTATTGTAATACATTTAGAAAGTATAAAATCTGGAAAAAATCAAAAACTGTAAATGTAGTGCATGCTTGAAATGAAAAATTCAAAAGAAATATAAAAATACAATGACCATATTGTAATACATTCAAAGAGTGTTAAATCCAAAATATGATAAATCAAAAAACCGTAAAAAACTTTATTTTAAACAATTGTTGAATCTGAATTTCTGCCCTGCTAAAGTTACAACACGCAATGTACATGTACTTCACATTTACCTGTATAATCTTCTCAATGAACCAGGGAACATCTTGCAGTTTGCGTTTCTTCAGATTGTCCTTGAGGGCTTCTAAGAAGACACCATAGTCAGGCTTGGGGAGTTCAACACCGGGGAACAAGTCAGATATAATGCCTCCAAATAATGGTACATCCTAGAATAAACCAGTTTTTGAATTTATTAATTTCCACCATATCACAAAAAACAAGACATTAGCATGCAAAATGTCACTACATGCCATTTGTTGCAGATGCCAAATGCCAAACATTGACTGCTGAATGCCGAACACTATCCACAAAAAATTTTGAGACCATAATATTATGTTACCACTTGTGGTGAACTAACAAGCAATTTGTTGTAGATGTTGTCAATGTTAATTCAGAATGTTAAATGTATGAACTCTTAAAAATAATATTGTTCCTGCCTGTTAGATATCCGAAGCAATTTCAGCAATTTCACTCATAAAGAAAAAAAGATGGCACTATGAGACAAACCTGGGCGAGAAACTTTGGCAAGTTGACGTCATTGATGGCCTTTAGTAAGAGAACAGCCTCATCTTCTTCCATGTTCTTTAACTTTAGATTTCCCGCTGCCGTCAACACAGACTTTACCGCCCTCATTCCGTAATCATAATGGTGCTGGGATGATAATTGTTCTGAGCACAGGGTATAGGTGGCGACGATCTTCCCTGCGAGACTCCTGGCGTCAACGAAGCCCATTGAGTAGAGGACGATCTCTCCAATCATGGCATAGTCGGGCACCATCATAGCCACTGTTCTGAACAGTACCTAAAAGATCAGCACCATGTTTTAAAACACTATTGTTATCTCAAATGTAGCTACAGTCAAAAAAAAAATTATGAAGAAATAGTAATGTACAGTTTGTAAACTTTAAGCATAATTTTAAACCTAGATTTTATATATTTTTGAAATTACTTTCTCATCTACAAAATTAATTTTGCAAAAGTAGAACATTTCAAAGCAATTAAATGTTGTTGGACATCATAAATCTTTAACTGTTAGGATTAGAAAATTGAAAGCAAAGCTGCATTTTTAAAGGTAACAGGTGGAACTCTCAAAGGGTTGAGACATTCAATGTTTGTGATGCTGGAAGATTGGGATGTTGAAGGGTTGTGACATTGAAAGGTTGTGACATTGAAGGGTTGTGACACCGAAAGGTTGTAACATCGAAATGTTGTGATGTTGGAAGGTTGTGACATGGAAAGGTTGTGATGTTGGAAGGTTGTGACATTGAAAGATTGTGACATTGAGAGATTGTGATATTGAAAGGCTGTGCAAGTTCGCAATAACTAGATAGTGATACCTTAAGATTATCAGGGAGTTCGGACCTCCCAGCATAGCCAGGGTTCATAGTGATGAACATAGTGCAAGAGGGTTTGATATTAATCTCAGTGCCCTCAAAGAGGAAAGTCTCATCACCAGAAGCGATGGCACGTTGGATGCTCAAGATCTGCTGAGCCACAACAGAAAGAACCTCCAATTCTATGCGATTGAACTCGTCAAAGCACGCCCAAGCCCCAGCCTGGGCTAGACCTTTGAAGAATTTGCCCATAGCTTGGTAGTCAAGGCCGTCAGAGCAGTTGAAGACGACACACTGGAGATAGAGAGAGGTGCAAGCAAAGATGGTGAGATAAGTGAGATAAGTGCAGTAAGACTAAAGTGAGAAAGATTTGTGTGATACTTATATTAAAGAAAGACCTGTAAACTGTAAACTGTAAAATCAAGAGGAATATTAATAGAGATATTTTATGTAAATAATAGTATGGCATAAGAGACTCCTAAAAGTTTAAATAGACTTGTTATGCAATAAGAAAGACCTGAAAGATTAAATAGAAGAGGAAGGCAATAAGAAAGACCTGAAAGATTATATAGAATTGCAAGGCAACAAGAAAAACCTGAAAGATTAAATACAATTGCAAGGCAACTAGAAAAACCTGAAAGATTAAAAAGCATTTGAAGGCAATAAGAAAGACCTGAAAAATTAAATAGAATTGTAAGGCGACAAGAAAGACCTCAAAGATTAAAATAAGAGGGAAAAAAGAAATATTCGATTTTTAGTTAAAATCTAACTGAAATTAAGAGAAAGAAAATTGTGAAAAGTGCAGACAAATCAAGTTGCCATACAATATAGAAAAAAATAAAAAACATTCAGTTCACAAAAAGAACAAAATCAAGCAAACAACAAACCAAATACTCAATATTAAACCACACACACTGCAAGTAGAGAAGCTGACTTTCACACATACACATTCAGTCTCCTTCATAAGTTTGGCAACTATAAGCCCCCATTGGATAGCATGTTAAAAGCCTGTTTATGTCTGAACCTTAATTTTGTTCCTCAATTGGTAGTAAAGGACAAATTGAAAATTTGCCGATATGGGGCATTAAACTGTAAATCATTTGTCATATCATAATGGCGGTCTTTTATCACAAACAGGCTTTAACAGATGATCCTAAAGGAGACTTCTGGTTACCAAACTTTTTGAGGGGAGTGTAACCACTTTGTAGTACATGCGTACAGTGCTGTGCTGCAGGGGAGAAAATGAGGGGTTAATAACATATGAGGAATTGATGAAATTAAAATCTCATTCTGGTAAGGGGTACTTATAAATATGCTCTCTTTTGAATGGTGAATATATCTATTTACACCAGTTCTCTCTAGTCAGGTTGACTGATGAAAAAAACTTTTTTGAGTTGGCGAGATGACAGCACTGAACACACTAAGGTAGGCACTGCTGCCATAACAATGAGGTTGTCACTTCAAGTAAAGTGAGCTCCTTGTATTTACTCAGAAAAATACAGGTTATAATGTGGACAGTCTTTTTTCTTTATTTTGTTCTTTGCCATTTCTTTTTAAGGTAGGCAGCATGTACAACTACAAAAACAGCAACTCCACCGAGTAGCAAATCCCATGGAACAAAACATGTTTTGATAAATGGCGGCCATATAAAATTTGAACCAAATCCATCCACCGGTATTTGAATTATCAGTTTTATGAAACATGGTTGCCATTTTGAAATTCAGCTGTTATCTTTAGATTTCTTCTTTAGCAGAGCTCCTATGTCTCAAGGCATCAGCATATAGAATTTGATCCAAATCCGTCAACTGGTACTTGAGTTTGACTTCGTTCGGTAGGATAATGATTAATTTGAAGTGATTTCAAAAACATTATTAAATCCCTAAATATTACCGGTAGTTTAACTTATGGGTTATCCATCAATTTGCAGTATAGATCAAGTCTACCTTTAACAATTATGAGATTTTAAATCCATGGACAAATGAGTTGATGTGCTTCTGGGTAGGGTGAAACTTATGAGTTAGTAAATCTTACATGGAAGATACATATTTTACATGGAAGATACATATTTTACATGGAAGATACATATTTAACATTAGAGATACATATGAAAACAAAATAAAACAAAAACAGAAAATTCAGTGTTATTAAAATGACCAAGTTCCCCAAGTGTGATGTGTGTTAGTTATAACGTTGCATTAAATGAAATCATAAAACAAAAGGAATTAAATATGGTGTAAGCATTACCAAGGGTGTAGAACATGTTCATTTGCTTGTGTGTGAAATTCACTCTAATTGACCATTGAAATCAATAGAAAAAATTGTCTGCACAAATAGACCTTTTCAATAAACCAGTGCCACCTTTTAGTACGTTATAGAAGCTATGATATATTGGATAGATGACTTGTACTTTATGAAAATTAAAACTAAGTTAATTCGACTTTTGCTTGGACAGAATGCTCCCTACAACCAATGAGATCATCAATCTTACCATTATCTTAGCTTCGTTGATGTTCTAAAAGGTGGCAGGGTTTATTGGAAAGATCTATTAAACATTTTACATTATCACTCTACTATACCTTGCATTTGGTGTTCATGAGCAACCCATTTGGCTTATTAGTAATGATTATGTATTTGTTTTTATTTGTCTGTTCCTTATAAATGGTTTATTGGTTAAATGTTAGATGTTACTAAGGCACTTAGGTGTTAGGTATAGTAGAGTATTCATGAAAAAACAATATGGCAATGTTTGTCATATGGGATAAAGAACTTAAAAACAGATAAGTCAAATTAAAATCCAAGTACCAAGCGATGAAATAAAATTCTATTACATGGATTAGTCATCAAAATATGAACAATCAAAATAAGCTAAAATTGCAAAACAATCACTAGGGGCAATCTGCGCGAGGTTCCATTTTTAGGTTCGGTTTTTCGCACATGCGCATAAGATCCAGCAATTTAATTGGTTCAAATTATTTAAATACATGCGCAATCAATAACTACATTAGAACTTATAATCTAAGATAGATGTCACTTACGTTCATTATTTCACAGTAGTCCCTACCCATAATCCATCTTTAATTGCGAGAATATAATAGTTTAGTACAAAAACAAAAGCATACACAGAACAGAAGTGTAGTAACAGAATATGAACTGACTCCCAATTTGTGGACGTTTGATGTACAAATTTAAACCGAACTGATCGCAAAAAACCAATTTGAATCATGGGAAGGAAGTACTTCCATCAATGAAAAACCGAACCAAGTAAAAACCGAATCTCGCGCAGATTGCCTCGACTCAAAACAATTCCATGTGCAGGTGGGTGTTACTGTTAGGTGTACACATCCACGATTCCAAAGAATACCTTCAGGTTATCGGGCAGTTCTGATCTTCCTGCGTACCCAGGATTCATTGTAATAAAAATACTACACGTGTCATCGAGGGTCAACTCTGTGCCCTCAAAGAGGAAGCGTTTAGCGTGAGTAGCAATTGCACGCTGGATTGTAAGGATTTGTTGTGCTACTACGGATAACACCTCCAGTTCTATACGGTTGAATTCATCAAAACAAGCCCATGCTCCAGCTTGGGCTAAACCCTTGAAGAATTTTCCCATAGCTTTAAAATCCAAGCCATCGGAACAGTTGTATACAACACACTGAAAATAGTCATGTAATTGGCACAATCAGATGTTGCCCTTTGTAATAAAATCTGAGCATCCCTGAAAACTCTCTCCTGGACTTTTTGTAGAATAAACATCTCTAGCTTTGCTTCTGAGCACACAATGTTGGTTATCGGTAGTTCTTTCTTTCTTCTGCATATACCTAAGAATGATAAGTGTTGATTAATTGACACACCACTCATTCAATCTCTCATAGTAAACTTCATTCTGTTCTACCTAACCAATAGATAACTACAGCATAGAAAATATGGTACAATAGATAATAGTACAGTAGCATGCATAGATTACAAACAGCTTTTACTATCTGCAGCTACCTAATGAAATCTGCAGCTAACACACATCTGCAGCTATACAACCTAGCATGCAACATCTATAAGAGAAAGGAGCAAAAATCTGAAAGCTAGAGTCATAAAGTCCAGTTTTCAACCAGATTTAACGTGGAAAATCCAAATGTACCCATGGGACATAATTTAGCATATTCTGATTACAAACTACATGAGGTTTTGGTGATATGTTTGTAAAGGTTTGATGTCAATACTTTATTTTAAAGTGTATTGATTCATATTGGAATAAAGATTTGTAATAAGTGATACATTTGAAGTATATTCCATTAGAAAATCTGAAAATATATCGGGGGTCCTTCACCCATGCAATGCAAGGGACCATAGCAAGGCCAAGAAATACAATTCTCTGATTAAATCGGGTTTTGTATGTTGCCCTGAATAACCAAAGAATAATACACATTGGCCTATAAACATGCAATAACTAGTTTAAGTATCAGCCATTAAGTAAATTCCATATCCCAAAGGTGAGGGAGATTCTTAGGGAAGGATAACCAGGGGATATACCTTCAAATTATCAGGTAATTCCTGTCTGCCTGCGTAACCAGGGTTCATGGTGATATACACCGTACATGTGGCATCTAAGGCCAGTTCTGTCCCCTCAAACATAAACCTCTTAACCTGTGAGTGTTTAGCTTGTTGTATGGTGAGAATCTGCTGTGCTACGACGCTGAGAACCTCAATGTCGATGCGGTTGAATTCATCAAAACAGGACCAGGCCCCGCATTGAGCTAGACCCTTGAAGAACTTGCTCATAGCCTTGAAGTCTAGGCCATCAGAACAGTTGAAAACTACGCACTGTAATGTACAGCTCAATTTATAATAAATAGCCAAATATGCAACTGAATATTCATTTATCCTAACATTTTTAACATACATGTCATTTACGAATCAGAACTATACAAAAATATGAGAAATATTCTGTGTCATACATTTTAGTCTATTTTAGTCCTTAAATTAGAAGCAAACTGTAAACCCTAGGGTAAATAAAATGATTTAAAAAAAATAAAATAAAAATTAGAAGTATACAGGGAAACAGTACATGTTACTCATTCAATAATATTTTTCTGAAAGTATAGCACAAATAATCTTCATGGAAGAGCACACGTACATCAGTATTTGTCAAAATAAAAATTAGTCTTATACTATATATTCAATGATTCTTTATATTATATAATTTATCAAAACATTAAATGTGATCTCTATTTGGCTCTATTCTCAATAATAATGGTTGTTCCATAAGGCTTTGATTAAGGAAAGCCAACATTTTATCAAAACAAGTAATTGTGAACAACAAATAACATACCTGTTTTGCGACAGCTTTAGCTAAATCTTTACAAGTCTCGGTTTTCCCCGTTCCTGCAGGTCCTTCAGGAGCGCCACCTAGATTCAGTTTTAGAGCTCCCATCAATGTTCTAAAGAAAAAACAATTATTAATTTTATATGTGTTTAGTGTACAATTTGAGTGATTTTGCTTATGAAAATTGTGTTTCACAAAAGTCTGCTTATACTAAAACATTATTCGGCCTTAACCCATCTATTAACAGTACACGTTAATATTAACATGGCATGATTTTCCCTGCTTTTGACACAAGAATACCGAATATTTCAAAAAAGGAAGATGATTGGAAAAGTTAACCTTTTCGACCAAGGGACAAATTACACGAACAATATTTGTTTTGTATTTCACATGGAAATCCAAAATATCTCAAAAGCAAGAACCAGATTGACACCCTCAAACCAATTTTTTTATTTTTTCTTATTAAGTTATTCATTTGTACAAAGAATATGATACAATAATACAAGTGCAAGTGGCTGTGCTTTGAGCATTATTAGCCACGTTAAACCAATGGAACAATTACATGAACAATCTATCCCTCTGAGCAACAAGGTTAATGTCTCATACCTATAACATCTGTCAGTTAAAGGGGTGATGACAAGACGGCCAGAGTTGCCGAGATATTCATATCCATAATTCATCTCCGTGGTGATCATTCTAATGATAGCATCCCCATTCTCCCAGTAGTATCGCAGCTGACTCAACCAATCAAAAGCATTGGGACTAGTCACTTCATCCTGTACAAATCTCGCTATGACATCACGGGCTGAAAGAAAAACAAAAGTGCAGAGGTAGAATTGATGTGCAAGTATATCATCTACAGGTTGGAATAAATTAATACAGTAAAATGTTAATATCTGAACACATCTTAAATCATAAAAGCTCTCAATATGAACACTTCTCTCAGTCCCAATTTTGTAATTAATTTGAAACTCATCATACATCTCCATGCAACATTGCCTTGGCAGTATTTTGAATTTTTATAGATTTCTATTCAAATTTCCCGCGAACTTTATTGACTGAACTTGGGCGATAATAGAGGAATGACGTCATGCGCCATCTATTGACGATTCCAGCATTTTACTCCATTGACTCTTTCAATAGGGAAATGTTTAAATGGAAACATTTCCATTCTGAACACTTTTGGCCAGTCTCAGTGGCCTTTCTATTAGGCAGGATTAGCTGTTAACGTATATGTAACACCAGGACTGGAGTAATTTAAGAAATTGATAATCAAAGTAAGGTATGAAGTTCAGAATTACTTGTTAAATGTGGCCCAACTTGATTACATATTACATTTTATGAACAATCTATTCTTGACATCCTCTAAGAAATGATCGAGCAATCACCCTGAAAAGATTATTTCTTACTAAGAACTGTTTCTTACCATGCACATCTATGACTGTAAGAGCCCCTAGAGTTACTCTGTGGCCACCCTCTAGTTTACCACGTACTAAGGCAACAATCTCGTTTATCTGATCATTGCTCTTCTCCAAGTATTTCTACAAAAAATAATGCCTCAATGTAAATGTTGTTTACAGTTTATCAAAATCTAAATGCACATTCAACCTCAAACACTGAAGGTAGAAAAGCTGACTTGGACACAGTTAAGGGTCAGATGAAAATATCATTTTTTATTTTTAAATGGGTGCCATGTCATCCCGATGTCCATAAACTTCAAGGAAGTTCCATACTTTCAGAAAAATTGAAAAAACAATTTGTAAATATGTCACTTCAATGTAATTTTATTACATTTTGATAGTCAACTCTGTTTTCTATGACTGAAATTATGTAATATCCACATAAAATTTTGAGAAATATTACTCATTTTATTAAAAAGTGGTAATAATAATCATAAATTATTAAAATAAAATATTCATCATGTGCTTCACCTTTTACAAATTATAGCAACAAAAAAACTCAATATTACCTTGACTCCTTCAATGCCCATCCTCATAGCAGCAGTTACTTCACTTGTCCAATAGATGGTGCTAGCGCAAAGTACAACCTGGCCAGGCCATTCCAACACCCAGCGCCCTCTAGGGGTGGTTGTGTAGGCAGCGACAGCATCTGATGTTACTTTTCGCAAACTACTGATCATTACGTCTTCAACTTGTAGCAACCATTTCTCTACCATACCCTGTGAAATGTATCATTTTATCAAAATTAGTAAAAAAAATTCAAGTTTTAAGAAACTTGCAGGGAGTAGGTTTAATTCAAGGAGAACCTAATATTTTATTTTCTAAATATGATACTATTGTATACGTAGTCATTTATCCTCTGATACAAACAATTTTGGACTATTATCCTTACACAAATTTGCATTAGACTACATTAAAAGTAAAATGTGTAAAGTGGAACACCTCAGTAAGTGGAACACCTCCAGAAGTGGAACACTATTTCCATTATCTAATGTTAAATGAACTACTCCCAAGTGGAACACTATTCTGAGGCACCACGAGCATATGTTCCACTTCCAAAGGTTTCGCTGTACTTCACATCTTACCTTAGCTTTAGCTGGGAAAATCTTAGTGCTGAAAGGAACAGTTTCATTCTCAGCAGATATCATTCCAACTATCTCTTGTTGTTCTGTAAACTCCAGCTTACTTATACCCTCAAAACATTTCTTGAGATGTGGTTGGACACGAAGTGGGTCTTTAGTCTCGGAGAGAATCTCAAGCAGCTCGTCATTTGACAGAAAGAAAAATCTATAATTGAAACAATAACGAACAATGGCAAATTTGGGTTATAGACCAATCAAAATCAAATGTTTCCCTATTTTTAACAAATAAATTATAATCAAAACCAATGAAATTCTATGTTAGGATTTCTCAAAGGAATGTGCAAGCAAAATGTGGTGACTTAACTCTTAAAAGTGAAGAAATGAGAGTTAATATACAGACTTGGGACTTGTGTTGTCTCGGCTACTATGTCATCCAAGTTTTTAATTGATCAGACAATACAATCATTGGAGCCAAAATGTCAAAGATATTTTCATTCAATGTGTAAAAGTGAAGCACTGGTGTCTTAAAGTGATGCAATGATCAAAGTGTGTCATTTTGATTCTTCTTTTATGTTCCAATACTTCACTAAATTAACCAACTGATGTTGCATAAATTAATATGTGCTAACCTAGGGAAGTAGAGTCTCTTCTTTTCAAGGTATTGATTCAATCCTTTCTGTATCTCATCCAGCAGTATATTGGCCTCATTCAACCTCCCTAACATGTTAGGCTGGGCAGTGGCAACTAGACAGTGAACATCTTTAACAGCCTCAGTCATAATGTCTCTCCAGTATGAATCCACGATGCCAAATTTGCGCCCCTCTTCAGGCATCTGAGCCATGATGTCTTCTGAGCTAAAAATAGGCTCTAGGTAGAGCCAGGTGGCTTGACACTTCAGCCAGCCATCCAGGATGTCTTGCATGGTTGTTAGCTTATCCACCCATTCCTTCATCTCTGCCTCAAAGGGTTTAATGAATGGTGACCCCATCATTGTTTGTGCTTTGATGATGTGATCGTCAAGGAGAACCTGGATGTCATCTATGGCTGACAGGATTGACACACCCTGGAAACAGGAAGTTACCATGGAAACTTTATTATAAAAACATTCTTAGCAACATTTGAATAGTTCATATCAGGGGTTGACAAGAATGGTAAAAAGCTGAAACTACTGCAGGCCTTCAAAACATGGTCTGATAAACAAAGCGCAGAATACAAGTATCTTGAAGTTCTTGTTGAAAGAAACAGATTGTGAACTTACAGTGTCTCTGTATGGCATAAACTCAAATAGCATGTCCTTCCATTCAAATTTCATCTTCTCCATTGCTTTCTCCAATGAGTGTTCCTTACTAGCAGCGCCACCTATCTCCTCTAGTCTACAAACAAAACAACAAACGAGTGAATTTTGTAAAAAGTACAAGTAGTATTGTAACTCAATTTTGGGAATATACACTTTATTAAGTGTCACCTATTCCATGTATTATTTTTTGTGTGTATTTGAAATAAATAAATAAAATAAAATAAATAAAAAAGATGCTGTTTGAACACAATATGTGAGAAAAAAGTTATTTCTTTATCACATATTAAAAATAACAATTTCTTACTTCTCTAGATGCTTGTTCAGGCCATACTCCAACATGTGGTAAAGGGATGTCTCTGCATCTGGCTTTATGTTGAATCCAACAATGTCACTCATCTACAAAGTCAGTGTTAAACATGTCAAGTTCATAAAGATGGCAGTTTGTATATGTGATAACATTGAAAAGGACATTTGGGTTGTTTTCCTAATGACCACAGTTTTACTTTTAGATATGTTATTAACCTTGAGCCAAGGACTGATGTGAAAGTCATTCAACCCAAAAAACTAGTGGAGCATAACACAAAAATTGCACGTTTGCACCTCTATAATTTTGGAATAACTTTCTAAATGATGAAACCTTGAATTTCTTGAATTTTCTGGGCAGATACATAGATTGTTTAAACTTTATTCCAAAACAAGACACACAGGCAATCTAAATTAGCAATTTAAACGCAAATGATTATAAGGTTTTATATACTGCATTCATACTTGGCTAAAAATGCTCTTTGAGCCTAGCCAAATGACATTGTATTAATTATTGATTTTTGTGAAAATGAAATAAACTATAAATAAAAAATAAATAAAAAAAAACGCAGATGACAACAGACACTCACCAGATCCCAATGTCGATCCTTAATACCAGCATTACATATTGTGTGTAGAATAGGCATATGTTGTTTGAACTTGTCGATCTTTCCCTTGATACTGTCAGCTATACGTCTTGGGCCTGGCTGGTCTGAGAATGTCTTTGTCAACTTGTACATGTTACGGGACATCTCACTCACTTCGTCATCGATTGTCTCAGCGTTTAGGTCTTGGAATGAGCCTAGTGAGTAAGATACAAGGGGTGTTCAATAAATTTGGGGTGGCATAACATTTAATTCATTTAGTTGTAAGATACAAGGGGTTCCCAGTAATTATTTTGTGGCATAACATTTAATTCATTTAGTAGTATGACACAAGGAATGCTCAGTAATTATTGGATGGAATAACATTTAATTCATTCAGTAGTAAGATACAAGGGTTGCTCAATAAGTATTGGTGGGCAAAATGTAACTCATTTGGTAAAACAGATTGGTTGACTTACCATTCATCCAAGCCTCGTGTTGTTGATGAAAGTTGAGTGCTGTGTTCCATAATTTATCATATGGTTCCTTTGCAGAGAACATCACCTGTAGTTGAGGGAATTGGCTCTGTTCATACTCTAAGAGGGTCTCCTCTTTGTTAATCTGTTCCAGTTCTTCCCTGGCTGCCTCTAAGTTAGCATGTAGTTTACCCAAGGCTTCAACATTATTCTTCATCTCATCAGTGCTCATGATCTACAAGATATAAGTGGTGTAATTTCGTAATATAAGTTTTTGTAGCTTAAATCCTTCTACTTCTCACTTTGACCTTATAGCTGAATTTAGTGAGTGTAGAATTTAGTGAGTGTAGAATTTAGTGAGTGCACAATTCAGTGATTAACATGCAGCAATCTGTTTCTATGCTGCATTTGTTATTTTGTTGTTTTACACGACTTTAACTTTTGAATTTTTAATGTCATTTCTAGTGAGATTGTGGTATACAGCTTCTGGGTTCAAAACCAATAAATTGATGAATGTATACAGAACATCTATAAATAGCAGCCTTAACTTTAGAACTCAAAAAAAAATTAATAATAATAATAAAAAAAAAACTCAAAAAGATCCCAAGACACCTTAGCTACCTAACAATTCTGAAATTAATTGACACTGTGCCACTAATTTTATTTTCATATCGTTCAGGTAAGACTATGATTCGAACACTGACTATCTAATCATGGTATTCCCTGGGTCCCCTTCTTTTACACAAAACATTCTAGAATATAAGAGATGATGTCCAAATGACTGTGGAAATATTGAGGTAATTTATTTGAACCCATTCTCCCATTATGAAAGTTTAAAATATTTACAAATATTTTACATGAACTAAATCACCATTTACCCCCTCCCCGAATTTACCCCCTCCCCTAAGTTCGTTCTTCCACACAATTGATATTTAGACATCATCCCTAATCTACAGGATACAAAACATACAGCAGACATTTAGAATACACAGTACAGTACAGCCCAGTACACATACGGTACAGTACAATATATTACAGTACAGTCACTGCAGTATAGTTTATTACAGTACAGTACAGAAGTACACCAGGAATTATGAGTATGGTACAGTGAAAACAATTTACTTCCAATCTAAGTAGCTTAGCTTTTGAGATCTTGGTATTTTTACAAGTATGTAGTAGTTTTCTGACAAACCTATCCATTTGATATATTTCAAAACTGATAAGCATATAACTTAGGATGTTATACAAATCATTTTCAGAAGCCAATATCAAGGAAAGTAATAACTTGAAGGTAAATCTTTCATGTACCAACATCAATATGCCACATGGACAACAATTTGGACATATAAAGACATGCACCAAGCATTAGCCATGATAGCATTTTAAGATTCACTCAATAATCACTCGTTCTTGAATCTAAAGAGCCGTTTGTTCAAAATCTTTTTGAGTTTTTGAACAACGGAACCTTAAGATTGTATTGCAAAACAGGTAATGAGGACCTCATGTCATTTTTCCGACAATAATAAAGAACAGTTCAGCACAATAGTAGATCATTCTATCCAACCCCAAGGGATGGTGTGCAAATGTTGACAGTTGTGAACAAAATGAAGTTGAATATTTTATGGATTACCTCCCTCCCCTTCCCCTTTCCCATATTACAAGTTAAAATGTTGATTTACTCATCCCCTGAAATTCCAGTAATATACATGTACACCCTCCCTCCCCTTAGGAAAAAATTAAAGTCATTCTTTCACAACTGTTTACAATTGTACACCATCCATAACCTAACTACAATCCACATATTAATTTCCCTCTCCACTACATGTGTGTGACTTACCCAAAGACCTCCATGCTATGTCATGAAATAAATATTAAATAAATAAATAAATAAAATATAACTGGCTTATACCTATGGGAAGTGATGTATATGTCTTAATAGAAATAAGGAAATAAGGAGATGATAGGATGGATAGATGGCGTTATGTACTTCTACAGTTAATCATGTCTCCTCTTCTGTAAATCTAACACGTCCTTGCTTTGGGAGTTTTCTCAAATATAAGTAAGCTAAATCCATTTGAAATCCTTTTGCTTCTCAAGGAGTAGTCTGAACGAATAATCTCCGATCCGGTTCAGTTATGCATGATTGTGCATGTAGCTTATGGTATATACTTTGGTAAACTGAGCTACAAATGGCATGCTTCTTTCATACATTTTCTATCTATAAATGGTAGTTTCTCTGTATGAATGGTAGTATCTTTATCTGAATGGTAATTTCTATATATGAATGGCAGTTTCTATATACAGGGTGTTCCAAAAGTAACAGGACTGGTGCTGGTATTTTGTTAAATATGCACCAATCGTCTTGAAAATTTTACATAATGTACTTTCATGTATTGTAACTAAAACTCCAAAGTTTCAAAAAATATTATGAAATTCAGGTAGAGTTATGGTTGCTATGGTAACATGACATCACAATACCCGGGGCAACATTACACGCAGAAAATTACATACTTTAAGCATTTTGAACAACCCATATACAAATTGAAATGCAACAATTCAACTGGTAGGAAAAAGATTTGCTTTACATCATTTGATATTCCTATGTATCCTCTACTTTGAAAAGTAGGTTCCTCTTTGATGGGTATAAGAGTAGCACTCTGGATCCATGATTCAAACACATAAGTGAACCAATCTGAGGACATGTCACGCAGGGTCGATTGGACAACTAAGAGAAGGTCATTTTCATATTGAAAGGTCTTACCGCCCTGATTTTCCCCCATTCTCCATATAAGTAAAAATTAGATATTGCATGATCATAAGAGTATGGTGCATGGTTTTAGACATCAAAACCTAGCTCCTCTATAGCTGCAGTGGATTTTAATGCTAACTCGCGGGCAGGCGCGTTATCAAGGGATGACTGGCTTCAAATTGCATTTTTTCAAAAACTCAATCGTTAATTGCGCAGACTGTTATACATAGTGATATTCCAGGAAAGTAAATTAGTAAATAAATACTATTATTATGAAATTATACTTGAATCTGAGTTGTATAGCAAAACCATAACAACAAAACAACTAATAAAACAAACAAGGAATGTTGTGTTGTAATAGGTGAATAAGATACTTTCTTCAGTCATACACAAATGTTGGATATCACATTTTCATGAAAAAGTTGCCCCGGGTATTGTGATGTCATGTTACCATAGTAACCATAACTCTACCCACATTTTTTGTTTTTTTCTGAAACTTCACAATTTTAGTTGTAATACTTCAAAGTACAAATTGTGAAAATTTGAAGACACTCTGTTCAGATTTGACAAAATGCCAGCACCAGTCCTGTTACTTTTGGAACACCCTGTATGAATGGCAGTTTCTATCTATGAACGGTAGTTTCTATATATAAATGGTACTCTCTATCTATAAATGGTAGTTTCTATCTATGAATGGTAGTTTATAGTTTGAAACATGACCATTTGACCCAGGTGACCTTATAACTAGGGGTTATACAAAATAAAAGGGATGTTATCTATGGTCCTGATTGAGTGAATAGAGATACCTGATTCACAGATAAATACAAGCGATGACTCTGAAAATTCAACAATATTATCTCCATAACAAAACATGTTAATTAATCATTTATATTAGTAGATTAAATATGAAGTAAATATCAAAATGTTAATTCAAAATAATAGGGAGTTAATCCTCTGATCATAAATCAGTAAAATTGATCCAGCTTATCGTACCTCTTTCTTCCGATAAGATTCCACCTCCTTATTGAAGATCTCTAGTTTCTCCTCGAAGGATGACACCTTGCGTTTGAGTTCATCCTCTGCGTGTTCACGTCTGTTGGTCAGTCGGGATTGGCTCAGCTCAAAGACTGTCTTGATATGTTCTGGCCAGTGGAATACTGTACTATTCAGTTTAATGTCTTCATCTGAATATTAATATGAACAATTATGGTTAAGTTTGAGCACCATTGTTTTCATGAGTACCATCAAGACACCATCGTACAGGGATCTGCTTGCAGTGGCATTGTAAGATAGGAAGGAGGATCACTGTCCATATCCATGGGAATGAAGCAGTTCATTGAGCTTATGAATGATAATACAGTGAACAAATCCATATCTGTAGCCAGCTTGCACCCTCTGAACTCCCCCCCCCCCTCTGACCACTTTTCAAGTGATTTTGGGCAAAAATGGTCAAATATGAACCTCCCCTGGAATTTTTAAAAATGTGAACCCCCTTTGGCAAACAGACCTGAAACTTGTGGTACTATAGACTCTGGATAATACACATGGTTTTGATAAACATTAGCAAGAATTGATCTTGATGCAAATACAGAAGTGTATAAAAAAGTGTATGAAGAAATGCTAACAGTTTATCATGTAAAGCATACTAACACTGAAGAGTCCACAAAGCTGAGAGTTTGTAGAATGAAAGATAGATGTGTACGAAGATTCGAAACAAAAAAAGCAAGCAAGATTACTACACAGGGAAGGATACTTAAAGCTGAGAAATATGTGGCATGAGGTATGCTTGAGATGTAAGCACTTACGAGAAAAATGGGCATTTTCTATGATGCTTAGCAAGGTATCAGCAGCTTTGTCAACCTCTCGTTTCAGTATTTCAGCATGTTTCTCCCTACACTAGGACAGGTGACAGAATAGAGAGGTTAGGTAAGGTCTATTGCAGGTTACAATAGGAGGGGTTAGTTCACAATTCATAGATAGCTATAATCATAGAACAGAAGTTAAAAGTCAGCTGAATTAGTTTAACTTAAAAATGACACATAGTATTTGACTCAACTCCCAAAAGTACAAAATACTGGAAAGGAAGAAAGAACAAGAAACTTTAGGGGAAACTTAATAAATTTAGAAGAAGAAAAACGCATTTCTTTATGGGAATAAGCTTTAGTGCAAACTTAACTAAATCTAGAAGAAGAAAAACGCATGTCTTTATGGGAATAAGCTTTAGTGCAAACTTAACTAAATCTAGAAGAAGAAAAATGTATGTCCTTATGGGAATAAGCTTAGGTGCAAACTTAACTAAATCTAGAAGAAAATGCATGTCTTTATGGGAATAAGCTTTAGTGCAAACTTAACTAAACCTAGAAGAAGAAAAACGCATGTCTTTATGGGAATAAGCTTTAGTGCAAACTTAACTAAATCTAGAAGAAGAAAAACAGGGCTGTATAGCTACAAATGATTAAAGCGTAATCATCTGTCATTCCTTTAAAGATTACAGTGCTGCATGGTTTCACGTACATGGGTATATATACAAGGCATTGGTGGCATAACAGTCTCGGCAAACTGGAATAGCTTTAGCCTCAGTGACAGTTGCTTTATGGCGGCCATAGCTTCACAAAATCGATGTAGAAAATCTACATGATAGGGCTTATTCCTATTATGCTGCATAATTCTCTTGATTTGGGGAAGCTACAGTTGCCGTACAGTTGCCGTAGATCAATTGTGACTGAGGCTTTAATTGGTGGAATATCAACGGGGCATAACTTACATGGCAACATGGCATAATCTAAGAGGAACTGTAGTCTATTGCTGGCCTCATCTATCTCTGCCTTCAGTTTGTAAACAGTCACATCCATGGACTGAAAAAGAATCTTAACTATAGCTACATCTTATATTTATACATGTATTTTCTTTATAAATTATTTTATACATTTTATGGCTAAAGGCCTAAACTGCAAGTACCATTATAAATGTAGATCCCATCCAATCCTGACAAATAACATAATTTTATAACTACATTAACTGATATTTTTATTTGATTTTATTCTACATACAGATCTTATAGTATTACATTATTTATTTATTGTAAATTACCAATACTCCAGAAGGAGATACGGAACAATAAAATACTATCTTATCTTATCTTATTATAAAATTAATAAAATACTTATTTCGAGAGGGCTTTCCTTTTAACTGGTGAAAATACTAATTAGACAAAATTTAATATTAAAAATGCTAGGAGAAGGCTAGGTCTATACTAGGAGGAGATTCTATATGCATATGATGCACAAGAGAATGATATGTGTGTGCAGATTGTTGTGTTATCTTATACAATTGTAGTTCAGGATAAAAGTCATATGCGATGGTGAAATACAGTTTTCTCAGTATTCCTTTAAACTGGCTTGAGAAAAGTGAGTTTCTACAAGGACACATTTAGGGGATATGATTGTTTTAAGAATCACATTTTTGAGATTTTATCCTGAAATAAGTTACACAAAGGATATACATAACTTAATCTAAATAACTAAATCTGGAATAGACCAGTAAGCAGAAATGAAAATAATGCATAAGAGTGAAATTTCAGCATAATGTACAATGGCATGTGGAGGTTATGCCATCATTTGGTGTAGAACTAAAAAAAAGTATATGTACAATGTAATAAAGTGTGATACAACTGGTTACACATACAGGGTGTCCCAAAACAGATGTACTATCCTACTTAAATTCAAAACAATTGTCAAATTTAAAGATATTGTGTGTTTGATAGATCGATACATATCGTGGTTGAACAAAAGTTGTGTTATCTGCAAATTGGTGAAAATAACGGTGAAATAATTGTTAAGTGTTATGGTGATATTACAACCAATCATGAAACGAAGTTCCAATATTGCCATGGTGAAAATGAAAACTAAATTATTGTACTGATAGTCGCAATCAAAATGGTGAGGTGACGAAAAATCCAATGGGATCTACTTACACTCTGGAAATACTGCTGCAGTTCTACCAAACCTTCCGTTGTTGAGGGAATCTCATTCACGCGATCCGCCATTTCATCGTAGCGTTTACATATGCTGAGAGTGTATTAAAGTATAAAGACAAAGCTAGACAATAAGCGTATACAAGAATGGACGTCAAGAGTAGAGTTGTATAACTAAACTACATTGTATGCAATAATATTAGTCACCTGGCCTATAATCTGACTACATAAGTGCATTGAATCTTTTATTTTTTCATTAAATTATATCAAAATGCAATATGCCACAAACATGCCAATTACACATGCAATGGGACGCATAACAAAAAGTCATTCATAAACCATAACTCTAGTAAAGAGAAAAGATGCAATGCACTTTCATAAAGTAAGACATCTGAAATATATAAATTCAAATTTCATTCAGATTTAAAGGGGCAGCGAAGAGTAGAGAGAACATGCAAATGTTTCTCATACAATTTGAAAAATAATTGAGTTACCTGAAATTATTGAAAATGTCCAAATTCATCAGTATTAAAAAGATGATGATTTTAGAAAAACGTGATAATTTTAAACAAGTAAATTTATCAACTCAATTCATCTCTAAAGTCTTTGCTGCTCCTTTAAGTTCCAACATATGGCTATGTCTATAAGAGCTTAGAAAATAAATATTAAAACATGCACAGTTGAACAGTTGATGGTTTCTCATTCTCATACCATGCTACAGGTAAAATAATCTGATTGAACAAAAGCAGAATGTTTAAAGTGTTCTAATTATTCAGTTTAGTGGTATTATTTTGATAGGTTTCCATTATTTTTTATCCCAGACTATTTCTTCACAGGATTCCTATGTGTTCTATTTTTTTTCTTAATGAGCTCACTATTGAAGTGCTGATGATATTGGTTGGCGGTAACTTCTATTTCTTTGTCCAACTATTCGTGACACTGTGAGTGTGTACATGAACTTTACGTGAAGCATACATAATATAATGTCTTCCATTTCGCATGATGTACTGGGCCCTAATATAGCATCAGGTGATCTCTAATATAGTTCAACTGGTTGTGATAAAACATGCACTTTTTATGAGTGATTGTCTTTGTTCTGAGAATGTTTTTCTAAATTATTTTTTGAGTTGTTAGGCTTTGTATATTTTCTTTTATGTGTAATTGTCCAATAGTTCTTATAGAAATATTCAGCCTTACTGTTTTGAATCTAATTGTCATTTAATCAAATCCTTAATTTGGAAATATTCAGCCCTTACTTTTGCATTAAGGCCAACCTTACTGAGGATATTGGTTTATATGTGCATCGGTGAAATTGATTGTACAAGGGCCTCAATGTGAGATGCTCACTTATACTATGGGGAATGTTTTTGAATGGGTAATGTGTTTGAATGAGTTAACTAGTCTTTTGTGAACTTGGTTATATAAAAACTAATTCTAGCATTTCACTATCAAAAATCAAACCCTTTTCAATGGACTAAGTCATATTGGGTACTGTCGTAACAATAGGGAGTTTAAGCTTGCATATAAAATTGAAACGCCAACCTATACTAAGACCAATCACCCATACAAGTACATCGCTTAAATATTTTCCATTCACGTTTAGGTTGTGAAAAACATTGCAAGCTTTAACCCCCTAATATAGCAGCCACATACAGAAAGTAGAGTCTGATTTTGGATAGCGATTCATCTCTATATTGTACAAGGCATAAGGCTTAGGCAAAGGAAGAAGGCATGCATCTATCACAAAATATAGGAGATCATTCCTTAGCTATCTGCTACCACCTATAAACTTACACGTATCAAAAACTTATTCATTTCACACAATTCCTCCGTGTTTTCTGGTTCTCTAGATATTTTCTCCGCCATTTGGTCATATTTTTTATACAGACTAAAATAGTATGCATGGGTTAACAAAGTACACAAACAAATTATATTGGTAATTCAATAAATGAAATATCTAAATCTCATTCTTTTAACATATTTAAGCATTTTTTCAAACGTAGGCAATAATATTATATTGTATTTTTATATATTATATATGGAATAAATGAAAAATGAAAAAAAAAAAATGAACATTAAATCATGAGTTTCAATTCTACCAAATATGTATTTTTACCAAATATGTATTTTTACCAAATATGTATTTTTACCAAATATGAATTTTTACTTACGCTTTGTTCAGGTCTCTGTTTTCATCGACTTCAAAGGCGACAAGTCTGTCCCTTAATTTCTGAGCCCTGTGACATAGTTCAGCATTGAGTGCTTGGCAATCAAGACAGAACATGCTCAAAGGCACCGTAATACGAAGCAAGGCTATCTCATCTTTCAGCTCTCTGTAACTGTCAATTTTCTACAAAGAAAACCACCAATTAAAATCCATTCATAATAAACATATGGTACATCACAAAATCTTATTATTATTTCGGCTTTTATTCAGTGGGTCTTTTTGGTTTTTTGGTTGCTCTTGAAGATTGTACTGAAATGAGTTAAATATATCAACACCTTTGGTACAAATTGTATAAAATAGGTTTAAATGTACACTATAAGTACCTGTTTGAAAGCCTGTATGGAGTGGGATTCCTTTAAGAAAAAAACTATGAGTATATTTACCTGTTTGAAAGCCTGTATGGAGTGGGATTCCTTTAAGAAAACTATGAGTATATTTACCTGTTTGAAAGCCTGTATGAAGTGGGATTCCTTTAAGAAAACTATGAGTATATTTACCTGTTTGAAAGCCTGTATGAAGTGGGATTCCTTTAAGAAAACTATGAGTATATTTACCTGTTTGAAAGCTTGTATTGAGTGGGATTCCTTTAAGAAAACTATGAGTATATCAGGGCCGTCAGATGGGGGGGTGCGATGGGTGCGACCGCACCCCCCTTTGTTACCCCCCAAAATAAATATGAAAAAAAATTAGAAAAAAAAATTTTTTTGTAATTTTTTTTGTAATTTTTTTTCATTGACTCATACACTTTGAAAGTACCCAGAAAGCACCAAATAGCATCTTAAAATTGTAAAATTTTCTAGGGGTATTGGCCACCACTCACACCCCCCACAAAACAATGAAAAAGTTTTTGTTTTAGTGTTTTGTCTCAGACACTTTTAAAGTGCCCAGACATCATCAAATAGCTCCTTGATATAGTTAGTGTTTCTGGGGGACTTGCTTCCCCTCTTGCATCTTGCACTTGCATAACCCCCCCCCCTCCTCTGGCGCCTCCCTTGACCCCCCCCCCCATCCAAAAAAATGTGATTTTCTCAAAATCTTTAATTGACTCATACAATTTGAAAATGCCCAGAAAGCACCAAATAGCGTCGTAAAATTGTAAAAATTTTTAGGGGGAGGGGACCACCTCTCACACCCCAAACAAAACAATGGAAAAGTTCTGAATTTGTTTTATGTATTGTCTCAGACACTTTTAAATTGCCCAGACATCATCAAATAGCTCCTTGATAAAGTTAATGATTCTGGAAGACTAACACTTACTCGCCCTCTGGCATCCCCACTCCACCTCCCCCTCTGGCAGCCCCCCCCCCTTAACACCCCCCTCCCCCCAAAAAAAAACTTGAGATTTTTCAAATTCTTTTATTGACTCATACATTTTGAAAGTGCCCAGAAAGCACCAAATAGCATCTTAAAATTGTAAAATTTTCTTGGGAAATATGCGCTTTTAGGCACAGACACTTTTAAAGTGCCCAAACTTCATCAAATAGCACCTTGATATTGTAAACCTTTGATATGGGGGACAAACACTTGCTTCCCCTCTGGCACCCCAGCCCCACCTCCCCCTCTGACACCCCTCCTCCCCTTTGACACCCCCAAAATTTGAAAAAAATTGTGATTGTTTTTCAATGTTTTTATTGACTAATACCTTTAAAAGTGCCCAGAAGCACCAAATATCATCTTTAAATTGTAATATTTTCTAGGAGAGTTAGCCACCCCTCACATCCCCCACAAAACAAAATAAATATTCTGAATCTCATGTATTGTCTCAGACATTTTTTAAGTTCCCAGACATCATCAAATAGCATCTTGATATGGTCAATGTTTCTGGGGGACAACCCCTTGCTCCCCTACTGGCACCCTGCCCCACTTCACCCTCTCATCCTCTTTGACACCCCCAAAAGAATTTGAAAAAAATTCTTATTGGATCATAACGCACAGGCGTACCAGATGGTTGCAAATTTGCTCCAAATACAAGCAAATTTCAAAATTTTCCTGGGGGAGAACCCCCAGACCCCCTAAATGCTCAGTTTTTTAATCACTCAACTCTTATTCTTGTGGTGGTGGCGTACTACTTAGAAACTTACACTTTGAAAGTGCCCAGAAAGCACCAAATAGCATCTCAAAACTGTAAAATTTTCTAGGGGGAGTGGACCACTCCTCACACCCCCCACAAAACAATTGGAACGTTTGGAAGTTGCATTTGTTAATTCCAAACCAATATAGGGAGTAACTGACCCCCCCCCCCCGCCTCTGTCTAACGCGATTTGATTTACGCGACAAAAAAATTGACAATTTTATATTTTCTTTAGTAAGCTAAAAACCGCACCCCCCTTGGAAAAAAGTGTCTTACGGGCCTGTATATTTACCTGTTTGAAAGCCTGTATGGAGTGGGATTCCTTTAAGAAAACTATGAGTATATTTACCTGTTTGAAAGCCTGTATGGAGTGGGATTCCTTTAAGAAAACTATGAGTATATTTACCTGTTTGAAAGCCTGTATGGAGTGGGATTCCTTTAAGAAAACTATGAGTATATTTACCTGTTTGAAAGCCTGTATGGAGTGGGATTTCTTTAAAATCCTGTATGGAGTGGGATTCCTTTAAGAAAACTATGAGTATATTTACCTGTTTGAAAGCCTGTATGGAGTGGGATTTCTTTAAGAAAACTATGAGTATATTTACCTGTTTGAAAGCCTGTATGAAGTGGGATTCCTTCAAGAAAACTATGAGTATATTTACCTGTTTGAAAGCCTGTATGAAGTGGGATTCCTTTAAGAAAACTATGGGTATATGTACCTGTTTGAAAGCCTGTATGGAGTGGGATTCCTTTAAGAAAGCTGACACATCTTGCTCAGCTTTGTTGTTCAGCAGTTCAGCATATTTCTTGTACATGTTCAAATATCTGCAAGAGATGAGATGAAATGTGAAAAACTCAAAATACAAATCAATGTATGGGTTTTTATTGAAAAGGTGTTTGAGCTGCTTGTTTGTTTGTTTGTTTGTTTGATTGTTTGCTTGTTTGTTTGTTTAAATAAATAAATAATGCACAATAGCAGTATGTTATCGTATTACATCATAATCAAAATTTAAGCTGTGTGTGAACTCCATATGGCATTCTTAACTTACTTTTGAGGTCCTAATGTGTTTTTCTTGAAAATCTCCATGGCTTTGTCCATATACTCTGTGACTAAAGTCTCCTCTAACTTAACACTACGCAGGACAAGTCGCTGGGCTTTCAACTCAGGGAAAAGCTCACACTCGACCTACAGTCAAGAAGGCAAAATAAGGGTAACGCCAGAGTTTTTCAATCAGTAAGGGCCATCCAGTGAACCCTTTTCATTTTGGGGAAGTTAGAATATCAAGCATATATAAAGCAACAAATGAGATTTATGTTCCTTCTTAATATCATTTAGACATCTCATGAAATATTCCTCGGTTCTGATTATTACAAAATCCAAAGAGAAAACTTACCCTGGGGATACCTTCTCCACACTGAATTATGACGGAAAAGCAGCGTAGAATGATGTCACGGCATTCCCGAAATGGAGGTTCGAATATTATTTTTGGTTCCTCTACTCGTAGTTTGACGATCATGACCTGCTTCATGACATACTGGAGCTCACTGAACTCAGTTCCAAAGTCATTGCCAGCCTAAAAGAGGAAAATAATGAAATTAGTTAAGAGCAACTTTTCGAGAGTTGAACATTCAAGAGGCATCAAGAAAAGGAAAAACTGAAGGGTGAATAAATGTAAAAATAGAAATAAACTAGAACCGTGTCTCAAAAGTGGGAGATCAATAAAGCTAATGAATACGTTTTAGAGAGAATGAAAAATGAATTCAGAATATCATACTCAATTACTCAGATGCGAGTAGGTAGTTACCTGTTTCGCCACCAGGTGGCTGATTCGGGGGAAATAACATGGCAGGGTATTACAAAATTCCCTTAAACTTGAATATGCATCAGTTTTAGTGGTTTACTTTTCATATTACCTTTATGTATCTGATAGATATACAAATTAAAATATGTCCAGTAAAAGAAAATATTATCTACCCAACACAAGAAAAGATTTGTAGTTTTACAACATGGGGTCTATGGGGAATCTCCCCGACCTAGAAGTCACATTTTTAAAGAAAAATAAATTTTCAAAGTTGATAAACTCTTTTCAAAACCACATTTCTAAATGTAATTTTACATGTAGATTCCAAATATGACATCAGTTTGACTGGATTGTCAATGACTGGATTAATGACGTAAATCAAGATTATTTCTACTCGCATCTGGGATATTACTGCTATTGAGTTTCAGTTCAATACAAATATATAAAATTAGGTTGGTATATAGTGATTGTATTTAAACTAACCTCGTGAATTTGAAAGAACGTCAAGAAATCAGCCAGTGTATTGATGACCATACTACGCAGCTGAATTGACATGAGCGCTGCCACACAAGAAAATAGTTCTTGCACTAGATCTGTGGGGTCATTGTCACCAGGAGGCACTAATGGTTGCCACAACTCTGGTTTATCTAGGAACATTTTGGCACATGTTGGGATCCACCTACAAACATAACAAAATAACTATCAATAGCTTACATCACACAAAGGCAAAATAATCATACAAAGCATGATCGATGTAGAAAAATTAAAGAAAAAATAAATGAAGATACAATAGCCATGAAGTGAGTCAAAAAATTCATTGGCATTTAAGAGTTAATAGCTATGGTTGGTAAATATTTAATTATGCAGAAGACTTAAAGAGAAATGCTCATAAAATGACTCACAATACCTTAAATTTTTGTCTCGTAGTTTGGATACGCTGATAATGCACAATAACATGCAAAGTATGGTGAATTCTACACATTCTTAAAAATATTGTTTGATTAATTGATGAATTTTTACAGAACACAATTTAATGATGTAGCTTACTTTTTCTCGAGTATATCGTGAGCATTCCAGCACTGTTTTGTGACGAGGGATTCAAACTCTGAAGGTAATAGAGGGAGCTCTGCGTCAAGAAGCTCCTGAAGGTTGACCAATCGCAGATGACTAAATTGGTCGAACCAGATATTTTGGAGCTCAAGCATTAATTGGTTTGTGGTAAATAGGTGGGTATTGTCATATTCCTTGGCTTGTTTGTAACTTTCACTCCATGGCACTGGTGCACGGATAACCCTGAAATTAAAAAGATTAACATGAAATAAAAACATAAATACAGAATTTAAAGTAAGAAGTTTTGGGATGTGTGTAGTGGGGGAGCTCACAAGGGCTTGTAGCTAGATTAATACCAGGGACAAAATGAGCACCAGGCCACAACCATCAAATACATCAATTTACAACCAACATTTGAATGTTAGAATCATTATTCAAATGGAAATTATACAATGATGAATTACAAAATAGATTTCGTTCAGGAAATGACAAACATTATCATACCTTTGAGGGCTAGGTTTTGGTGTCCAATCTATATGTAGCCTTTCTTTCTCAGATGGGTCTTTCAGAATATAGTCAACTGAAAACAAAAATTAGGGTGTCATTTCAAATCTATATAGGTCATAATATATGTCAGCTTGAGAAAAATCTACATCGTAGTTCTTATCCCTATATCTGATGTCACATATTTCTTTTGATTTTGAAAAGCTACAGTTGTCGTTCTGTTGATGTTGATCAAATGTAACTGAGGCATTAGTTATCAAGGGAAGGGAGGTTGTTGAACTCTTACTAAATTAATCCTCTTCCATAAGAGTCATGCATGATTCGGAGAGTCTCCAAATTGTTTACCTATTGACTTCCTGAGGCTGAGTTCATAGTCACTGTTGACCTCGACGTTCAATTCTCCAATCATTTCTCCAAATGCAGGCTTTTTCAGCAACTGGCTGGGAATGAGACGTCTTATATTGGGCATCTGGCACTCAGGAGGGGGCGCCAGCATCTCCTTTTTGATGCCCTTCGATATGTAGTACCAGTAGCGCTGAAAATAAATAAATGTGAACAATTTTTTGAGATATTCATATTGATGAATTAATCATTGAAACAAAGTCAAAATGAAACTCTAAATCAATTTGATATCAAAAATAAAGTTTTCTTAAAATAAACCAATGACTTTTGATTATTTGAAGAAATAAATAGAAAATATCAAATGTATATAAGAAGTACACGTATGTGTATAATAAAACATTTGAAAGAGAATTCTGCTCTTAAACAAATTTAGTATAACATCGAGACATATTCATGCGATATCAAAACATTATTAAGTATTCACTTTCAAAAGGCTTTTTGTATTTCAAACTGATGTTTTTCAAAACATGAACCAACCTCCATGTCACGTTCAGATGGTTCTTTGTCAACTTCTGCCTGTTTCTCCTCCATGTAGAGTATCACGTCCATCTGTTCTGTTGGAGACATGGGTCTGCTCATGGGCAGATCAAGGAGTTCTTCTGGGGACTCACTCCCATGTCTTGCATGACCATTGCTCTTATCAGCTGTCCAGGCCTCAGTACGCAACTTTTTGCTGCGTGGGGATATATCTGGAACTTTTGGTTTTCTCATATCTGAAAAAAGGATTGTAATGATATCTGTATATGTATACAGGGTGATCAATAAATAAGGTAAAAGTATCTGGCATTTCTTCAGATTTTACCCAATCCTCATATAATTTGCACAGAATAATGTTCAAACATTATTGAATTGATATAATAAGTTACAGATCAAAGTGATGTGATTGGTTGAAGTTATGGTTGCTATAGCAACAGAAAGCATGAAGACCCGGGGCAACTATCAAAATAACTATTTTTTCAGTCGAAACACTTTTGATAATATATTTCAAATCACAATTAAAATGGCATATCATATTCTTATTTCATACTTCATAACTGCTACTTAATGTCCTTTGTTTTTTAAAATATAGTTCATGTCTTCTACTCCAGTCTTTGAACATCTTTTTAAACCCATTTTCCCATTGACTGCAAAAGACAGCTGACTTTAAGTCATCCCATGAGAAACTCTCTCAACACCCTCTTCAGCTCACCGGCATGAAGGTAAAATCATAAGGGGACAAGTCAGGAGAGAATAGTACATGATCTAACAGTGGGAAACCCAGTGCTTCAATGGTTTGTACCATGAGAATAGCATTGTGAGACGGAGCATTCTCCCAGTGCAATGTGAAACGTTTTGCAGGCCCCTTAGCTTCTTCCTCTTTTCTCTCATCAAATCTCTCCTGTGGGTATTGTTTTTCATCATTGACCTGTGTCATAGACTTTATATGACCACATCAGTTTTCATTATATATTTATTTTTTCCGTGACATCAAACATCAAATTTGCGAGAAAATATGTAATAATGGAAACAAAGTATTAAAACAATAAATACTGGCACCCACGTTTACTTCTTTTCAGTTTGAAAAGGATGTGCTTTTTACCAATTTTTGTTCAAATTGGAAGCAATGAAATTGCCCCGGGTACCCCCGACTCCAGTTGCCATAGTAACTATAATATTAACCATTCAGATGGAAGAAGTTATATATTTTTATGTTTTAATTTCGAATTGTACAAGGTATATTCTCACCAAATTTCAGGATGTTTGTACCAATATTCACAAAATGCCAGATACTTTTACCTTATTTATTGATCACCCTGTACATAGTTCAAAAACATTTTTACAGCAGTATATTGTAAAACTTGCCTGAAGGAGCTTATCAGTTCTAATCATCTTTATTTGAATTTTCTACCTGGTCCATATGGAAGGTCTCAAGTAAACCTTTAAATGGTGCATAAAAGGTACAAGCCTATAACTATGCTATTTATCACCCTATGCCTAATCTAAGGTGCCAGGTGAACCCACAAAGAAAAAGTGTAACACATGAACGTGTATTCAATAGTGATCGCACCAGTTTATAAAGCAATACACTCAAAAAAACATTTCACCCAGTTGAGAAGTTGGAAAATCATAAGTGAAAAAATAATGTCAGCTTTGGCTGTTTCTAGATCAATCCTTTGAGACTAGAGCATTTTTCATGAACTGAAAATGGCTATAAAAATAGGCATCTTTAGGTGCATGAAATATTGATAGCATGATTTCCTTGTTCAACATGGTTAATGCCAATTAGAATAACTGACAATAAGACAATTATCTGAAAGTGATTGATATTTGTACAAGAGTTATTGATTTGGTAAGTTTCATGAATATCAGGAATTATTCTTATGTTCATTAACAGCATGCAAATGTCATTTTATACCTTGCATTGATTTTATTTCTCTACCACAGATCGCTATTAGGAATCATATTTAATCCTGTAAATAAGTTACTGTTTTGAAAAGTGGATTGAAAAAGTATTCCCTCGTTACATTTATGTATATGCAGGGGACTCAATAGAAACTGATTTTGCATAACGATCTTCAATTTCAAACTTAAATGAGTCCCAAATCTGCCATAGAGACATTAAAATTATATCTCAAAAAATATTGAGAAAATTTTTGTTTCAATTTCCCAAATAAAGAAATCTTTAAAAGTAGTAGAAAATCTTTGGAAATATTCTCCATGTCGTCGTAATGTATTTATTGAACTTTGAATTTATCACTGGCAAATCAAACAAGAATAAAGGACAACTTTTATCGTGTAAATCATCTCTGATTATTATGTATATGGGGAGGTTCCCCGACATATTTCTCACCTGTAACCGCATGCCCATTGCTTAAAGTACGCTGTTTCTGTAGTTTGGGCAGGTCCCTCATTTTGAGGTCACATGCTGTTGGGGTGTAGTTGTTCCCAATAGACTCACTGGGGGACCTATGATATTTCTGTTCTTTGAAGGGTGACGCCAGGGTCCATGACGTCCCCTTCATAATAGGCGGGTGCTCACTGTGACGAAGCACAATCTGGAATTTAATAACGATACTTTAGAAATGTGTATCATGAAAGAAGCTAAAATGTCTAAATACCATTTCTAAGGGAAATTCATAAAAAATATTGGAGGAAAATCAAACCTGAATTTTGAGGTATCTTATCAAAATTCAGTGAAATCAATTTAGAAATCATTTATTTATTTATTGTTTCAGAACATTTCTGAACTGTGTCAAATATCCATGGGGACAATATCAATATATCAACCATACATGTATTTCTTCAGAAGGACATTATTATTCAAAAATATATGAACACTTAACAAATATTTTGCAATTAACGCATTGCAATGCAAACATGCAGTTATATCAAACTTAAAAAGAAATATTAAACTGATGTTTGTTAGGAACATTTGGCCAATATATCAATGTTATAGCTATACTCCCACTCCTTTTTTGGGAAGAGAGGGGGGGGGTCAACCTGAACTGTAGCTTTAATAACATGATGAGAAAACATTGAAATAGAGACCCGATCCATGAATTTGTTCTGCATTCCTCATTTATAGAACCAAAATATATACACCTGTTTACTTGTTTAAACAAATGGAACTGCTACACTTTTATCTCTATAGGCAACTATACCCTTTACAAATAATAAAATAATACAATCTTATAAAGTCTAGCAACACGACAACACAGTTTTCCCTACCATGTTTTATCCCCAGTTCAAAACTTACAAAACAATAAATAATTTTTAAAAATGATCAAAGTTACATTCCAATAATACATGAACTGAAGGGACAGTCAAACACAACTAGAAACAATAGTTTTTTTGAAAATGATCAAAGTTATATTCTAATATAATACTGGTACCATGAGCTGAACAAGGTCATAATCACTTATTAGTCAGTCAAAACACAAATAGAAACATGAATGGTAAGTAGCGAATTTGAGAATATTGGTAGGATAAGAGAAATAATAGTGTCATGTGCAAGCTAAAATGTGAATGGTTCAATTAATTGTAATCACCATTACACTGGGGGGTATCGTGATGCAACAACACCGTGTTGTTGCATCAAGATGGCCAGACTTCCGGTGATAGATTTTCGTACGATGTTTTGTTTTCCCAATTTACACCCATTTCTAGGACGAGTTGCTCAATAATCATACACATGCAGTTAGCGCATGATCTATATTTTAAAAAACTGTCATTTGTATACACGTAGCATCATCAAGAAGCGATAAATTCGTGGTTTTAATTCCTCACTATTGATGCAACAACACCACTCTGTTTCTTATCGATGATGCAACAACACCAATGTGCTGATGCAAAAACGCCAATATAATGTATCATTGAACAACAAGAGAAACTGTTTTATGTTCTGTTTACTGGTGTAGGTCGGGACATGAATAAAACGCGTGGGTCAGTGGTCCATGAACGAAACGTATTTTGTTTGGTTTCTTTGTCTATATCAAAGTTAAAAGGATATACAAGGCAAACTAAATAAAGTACAAAATCCCCGGGAGGCAATCTCATTGATATTGTATCTGAAAAATAAAGATTATACATTTTCTAAATTAAATGCCCTTGATTTACCATATGGAAATTGCTTACAAATAACTAATATAATTTTGGAAAGACAACAGATATCAGTCATTTTGTGTTGTTAGTACCACAATTGAAATACTCAATTCTGATTGGTTGATGAGCGGGCAACAAAATGTATTGTTAGTACCTCAGTTGAAATACTTGATTTTGATTGGTCAACGAGCGGTGAATAATTTTAACTGTACACCGCGCAATGCATTGCCGGTGAATAATATTCCCAGCATTCCACTAAAATGATGTCATTATCAGACGATAAAATGGCCGCCGCTAGCACTAGCCGTTTCAAAAATGTTGAAGATGAGGATATTATTAGTCTCTTAGAGAGTAAAGACGGTCAAAATACGAAGAAAAATCTAAAACTTTGTATAAAGCTTTTAGTGGACTTCGCCCAGGGGAGTAATTTGACAATTTGATACAACAAGAACGTCTCGAGGGTCTGGATCCAAATTGAAGTCAACTTCAAGGGTCAGAAAAATCTAAGATATTCTTCGGACTAACAAAACAATTATAGACCACTCCATTCGGTTTCCTCTGGAGAGGTCAATAATTGTATATTGTTAGTACCTGAACTGAAATACTCAATTCTGATTGGGTGAGCGGAGCGGTCAAAATTATGTATTGTTAGTACCTCAGTGTAAATACTCACATCTGATTGGTCAATTAGCGGTCAACATTTTTGCCTGTACCTCACTTGTGCATCATGGGATATCATATTATTGACCGCGTATGTTACTGTACTACACTTGTGAATTATGGGAAATATGACGTCACAATGTTTACAGAAAAAACATGGTAGTCGGACATTTTGTACACGTTGATGAAAGAGATATTTTGACTTTTCTACACGACGGGTATAGCAACAATACAAATAGAAACGCAAAATTAACATTAATTTACTAGTGAGTACGCAGTTATGTGCCGAAAACAGAGAGTTTAGCTTCCACTGTCTTCAGATTTTCTTAAAAATTATTGCTGGCGTGGTTCGGAGAAATGATTAGGAAATAAAGCCATGATTGATGACTGTCGTCTATATGTGTATTATTAGTTTCTTCTGACTAACAAAACAATTGTAGACCTCTCCATTCGGTCAACCGTCAAAATCATATACCTCGACTGTAAACCTTGAAACACTGTTGACCTCGACCTTCGGTCTCTGTCAACAGTAGTTTCTCGGTTTACAGTCTCGGTATACAATTTTGCCGGTTGACCTCTGGAGAGGTCAAAAATTGTATACTGTTGCCCGCTACTAGGTACTGTTGACCGCTACTTCTGAAAAAAAAGTTTCATGACGTCACAAAAAAAACATGGAAGACTGGCATTTTGTAAACGTTGATGAAAATGACTTTACTAGGCGACAAGTATAACAAAAATACAAATAGAAACTTAAAATTAACATTAATTCACTAACGAGTACGCCGTGATGTGCCAAATACAGAGTTAAGCTACTTGCACTGTCTCCATATTTTTTTCTATGCTATTGCTAACGTGGTTCGGAGAAAAGGTTGTGAAATGAAGCCATGCCGATTGATGATTTTCGTCTATATGTGTATTATTAGTTTACTCGGACTAACAAAACAATTGTAGACCTCTCCATTCGATCAACCGTCAAAATCATATACCTACCTATATAACTACTGTAGACCTCGACTTTCGGTCTCTGTCAACAGTAGTTTTTCGGTTTGCAGTCTCGGTATACAATTTTGCCGGTTGACCTCTGGGGAGGTCAACAATTGTAAACTGTTGACCGCTACTAGGTACTGTTGACCCCTATTTTTGAAAAATTGTTTTTAATGTTGAAATTTTTTTAATTTTGAAAAATAAGTTGTGTAAAAAATTACAAGCATTCGACGGTTTGGGGATTTTTTGCTAAAATATGATACCTTTACTTATCAAATATGTTCACGTGATATTCGATTATATATTCGTCCAATTATTATATTATTTGGACTAACAGAACAATTGTTAACCTCTCTTTTCGGTCAACTGGCAAAAGTGCCCTCGACCTCTGGTCTTGATCAACAGTACTTTCAAGGTTTACAGTATCGGTATACAATTTTGCCAGTTGACCTTAAGAGAGGTCTACAATTGTATTATATCCTTCAAATTATTATATTCTTCGGACTAACAAACAATTGTTAACCTCTCTATTCGGTCAACTGGCCAAAGTGTATACCTCAACAGTAAACCCTGAGAGTACTGTTGACCTCGACCTCCGAACTTTCAAGGTTTACAGTATCGGTATACAATTTTGCCAGTTGACCTCAAGAGAGGTCTACAATTGTATATTGTATATCCTTTGTTATCCCACCCAAAGTATGATGTCATATATCAAGTTGAAGAGTTGTATACGCTGCTCAGGAGTTTACGCTATCCAGGAGTTGTACATCGTTCTCAAGAGTTGTATAGGATGAGTGTTGGTTTAATGATATTGCAGTTATACAATGCTTTTATATAAAGGTTATTCACTGAGATGGATTCAATATTGGTTTTATTCCGAAAAACAATATGATATTTCCCGAGGGCCCGGGATATCTGGGATAACTGTACCCCTATAAATTTACCTTTTTAGGCCCTAAATCTTATCACTTTTGTTTACCTTTTTACTCAGTCGGAGAGAAGGAATCCAAAGAGAGCAATAACGCTACAGGTAGTTTATCACTGTTCCACAGATGGATGATAGATAATTTCCAATAGCTCATCATGTTTACCGAGAACGAAAGATGTTTGTCCACCATTTTGAATGATACTGACTGGAGTCAGGGTCATCAAGCCATGGAACACAGTGGTTTATGAAAATAGATTGGGTTACTAAAGTTTGCCATGTTAAAGGCGATTGAACTATGTTATAGAACAACGTCCAGTACATTATAATATTTAAAAGTATAAATTTGTGAAAATACATATAAAGGATCTTCGCCCGCAGACGTGTATTTTGAATGCCTTGAGAAGAACGCAAATATGGGTAATGGGTAACGGTGTTGCAATAGTAGCATTTAAAAATCTGTTCCTCTCGAGATTTATGGTCTTCTGAAATGATACTATTAATTGGTGTTGCTGCATCATTGCTCAAATCTAGAGGAGTGTTGTTGCATCTTCGGTCTGGTGTTGTTGCATCAATAGTGAGGAACTAAAACTGTGAACTAATTGCTTCTTGGTGATGGTACATGTATACTAATGACAGTTTCTTTAAATATAGATCGTGCGCTAACTGCACGTGTATTGTTATTGAGCAACTCGTCCTAGAAAGGGGTTTAATTGGGGAAACAAAATATCGTACGAAAATCTATCACCGGAAGTCTGGCCATCACGGTGTTGTTGCATCACGATACTCCCCAGTGCATTAGTTAGACTTATACATGTAGACTCTAATGAGTTATGGTAATTAAACAGAAGAATTATTTCTTCAGAGTTTCATTTTACAGATAATGAATTTGAAAGCAAGTAAAATCATGATTTTAACATTTAAAAAGACAAGTTAATAAGATACAATGAAGGAAGGCAAGGTGCAACAAACTACACTAATACTATATAGAGTGCATGTATACAGAATGTGTCTCTCCAAATGCAATGTCCAGATTTCTTCACATCTGGGGTATGTCCTAAAGAGGGCACTGCACCTGGATCAAGATACAGTAAAACCTGTGTACCAGAAATACATCCCCGGGACCACATCTCTAAACTGAACATTTTGAACACTTTTTGATATTTTTAATTTTTCATAGACTTCCATTCTTGGAAATGTGAACATCTTCCTGTCAAAATATCTTTGGCCAGTCCTAGTAGCTTTCAGATAAGACAAGTTTTACTGTAGAAGGAAGTGCATAAACCTACACTCACACATATAGTTAATACATTACCTGATAGAGATTTGACTGTTCCTTGTCAGAGGAGGGTAGGGGAGGGAGACCTGGGAGGCCCCTACTCTGGCTACTGCTCTGTAGCGGGGTTTCCATAAACTGCAAGCAATGATGAGATACCCAAAGCCATTAACTAATAACTTACTAACAAGTCTATACTCTACAGTCATTTAGGGAACAAAGAAGGAGTAGCACACATAAGTTAATTTATATTATGATTATCTTATTTTAAACCTCAGTCACATTCTAGTTCAGTCATACAGCGATCGTAGCTTCACAATCGATATTTTGGGAAGCTACGGCCATCATAAGGTTGTAGTAGATCAAATGTAACTGAGGCATTAGACAAATTAACCGACAGAATATATACAGGGTGTTCCAAAAGTAACAGGACTGGTGCTGGCATTTTGTTAAATATGCACAAATTGTCTTCAAAATTTTACATAATGTACTTTCATGTATCGTTACTAAGACTGCAAAGTTTCTACAAAATATATGAAACTCGGGTAGAGTTATGGTTGCTATAGTAACGTGACATCACAATACCCGGGGCAACATTCCACGCAAAAAGTCACAGAGACATAAAGCATTTTGTACATGCCATATCATTTTGTACATGCCATGTCAAAGTTGAAATGCAACAACTGGTGGGAATTACATTTGTTTTACATAATTTCATATTCCTTTGTATCCTCTACTTTGAAAAATAGGCTCCTCTTTGGTCAGTACAAGAGTAGTACTCTGTATCCATGACCCAAACACATGAGTGAACCCATTTGAGGGCATGTCACACAGGGTCGATTGGACAATTTGGAGAAGGTCATTCTCATCTTTAAAGGTCTTACAGCACTGATTAGCATTCCATTCTCCATTTAAGTAAAAATTAGATATTGCATGATCAGATGAGTATGGTGCATGGTTTTAGACCTCAAGACCTAGCTTCTTTATAGCTACTGTGGTCTTTAATGCCGACATGCGGGCAGACGCACTATCAAGGTAGATGACTGGCTTCAAATTGGGTCTTTTCAAAAACTCAACCGTGAATTGTTCAGACTGTTATACATAGTGATATTCCAGGAAATTGAATGGTATTATCATTATGAAATTATACTTGAATCTGAGTTGTATAGCAACACCTTTACAACAAAGGAACTAATAAAATAAACAAGAAATGTTGTATTATAATAGGTGAATTAGATACTTTCTTCAGTAATACAAAAATGTTAGATATCACATTTTCAGGAAAAAAGTTGCCCCGGGTATTGGAATGTCACGTTACTATAGTAACCATAACTCTAACCGCATTTCATCATTTTTTCTGAAACGTTATAATTTAATTTGCAATACTTTAAAGTACAATTTGTGAAAATTTTAAGATACTCAGTGCAAAATTGACAAAATGCCAGCACCAGTCCTGTTACTTTTGGAACACCCTGTATTTAGATATGCAATGGGTTATTTGAAGGGGAGAAGTTTGCAAGTGGTAATTTGGAGGTGACAATCAAATGTATATAACTAAAAACACATACAATTGAAATTTATAATAAAAAACACTATGTTGGATTATAGGTAGCATCGTGCTTTATTTTCAATCATAACATGGAACGTATTCATGGAGGTTGGTAAAATCAGTACCAGGCCCATAGCCAGGTTTTGCCAAGGGGGTTCCCTTTTTAAAGAGTTCTAGGGGGGTCACATTTGAAAACTTTAGCCCAAAAAAGGCCAAAATAACTTGAAACGTGCTCAAATTGGTGAAACAATAACTCCTGGCTACGGGCCTGTATTACTAAACATGTTTAGAATTAAAAGTCCTGCTAATGACTGAAACCAGAAATTAAGTTCAGTAAAGTCTATTAATTTATATTATAATACAGTTATAATCAAAGCTAAGATTGCTATATTTAAAATGTAGAAAGTTGGTTCAATCACAAAATGTCTGTAATATGAACAGTAAATGTACTTAAATAATTGATGCTGAGATCAAAGTACCCAACAAAGCACAGGGTATTCAATTGATTTATTTCATGATGTTGCAAGAAGGTTTCGAAGTTACAGCCATCCATGATAAAACCATACAATCTTAAAATTCATGAAATAACAAAAGTAAAACATTTCCTATAATAGATGCACATGATGATGAAATAGAAAACATGCACACGCCATTATCATTTTTTTAAATTATGAAATAATTGAAATAAAAGAGATCACAAAAATCATTTTTGTATAATAATAATAATGATAGACTTTTATGCATACTCATACAAAAAATTATATTTTTCGGGGGCCAATGGTTCCAAACCATTGACCGATGATTTTTAAAATTAATATTTAAGCCAGCTCCGAATATTTAATCACATTGATTTAAATTGATTTGGCATACACTCACAGCCTCCCCTCTATGATAAACAGGCTAAAATGGCTATCACAAGTTCTAGTTATACTAGTTATCACTGCTTAGGTCGTATTGACCTTAAGAGAGTAAAAATGAGCATATAGTTTAGCGTTGACCCCAAATAATTGACTTGCATCAGTGTTAATTGAAAAGATGTTATGAAGGCTACTTGTCTCTAGATAATGCTATGAAATATTGATAAAAATGGCACATGATATGACCCAATACCAATAGATTTTTGGAAGGGTCTAGTAATCGTAAAATCTAGAGATGTCACGGAACAAAACAAAAATCAGAACGGTTCAGTTCGGAACATTTTGCTTCTGAACGGAACAATTTCGGAACGGTTTGGAACAGAGTGAATGCGTGTATTAAATTAAAATAATTTGATCATCTAGGTCTATTTGGTCGTGAAAAGCTCTTCAAAACTCTTCAAAGAGAAGGAGTAAAAAGAATGAACCTCTTTTGATACAAAATATTGAAAGAAAAATGCTGTTTTGAGGAGATTTGAGGGCCAGAAGTGGTGAAAGGGTAAAATGTTCTTGTTCCGGAACCGAACCGAAATTCTTAATTTTTGTTCCGTGTTCCGTTCCGAGGGCATAATTCCGCGGATCGGAAAACAAAATTGGGTATCCGTGACACCTCTAGTAAAATCTACATGTATGCCTACAAACTTTTTTGATATTATTCAAAGAGATATTAATATGTAAAATTGAAATATTATCCTGTAAAGTACCTGTAAGTAAGTACCCTACAGAGCATTCTTTTGACTAGACTAGAGTACAGGGAGGCAATGTTGTGCATGTAGGCATGGGCTTTCACCATTGTGAGAAACTCAATACAGGCCTTCCTTTGTCAGACAATTACCTACATGACCGACATTGCATCCCTGCCCTCTATAACGTAAGTAGGGTAGCCTTTAGTCTTGTGCAAGACATAGATGAAGACTGGAAATGCTTCATTGATGCAGGGGCAACTCTAAGTGGAATATCAAATTACACAAATTACGTAACAGGTATTTACCTTTGCTCGTTCTAAAGCCATCTTTATTTTGGTGTGTGCAGTCTCCTCTCCAAGTTTACAATGTAAGATTCCAGGTGAAAATATAAAAATTTAAAATTGCAAAAGAGAAAACTTTTTGATATTTTTGTTCATAAATATATCGATCTGGGTATGAATAATATATTGATCCTAATCCTTGATACTAACCGATAATGGTATATCGGTGTTTATCCTATTACTTATGCACATCATTAATTAATTAGGATTTATTTCATTGCGTGACAAGAAATGTTTTCAAAATTTGTCCACCATTTTTGAAGCAACATCCGGGCTTTTCGGTTGCCAGGTTCGCTCAGCCTCGTTTTGACTCCAATGTAAACCATCATGGAGGGAATTATTAAAATTTTAAATTTGTAATTTAAATTTGACTATCCCGCTGCTTGTATTTGTCAGAAAGTGAGTTAAACAATTAATTTATATTCTATAAAGCATTTTTATTGATAATTGTCTACTTTTGTGGATTGATATTGCTTGACCATTCAGCAGAACAGTCATTACTTTTGCAGGTGCTTGTTAGATTTTTGACCAAAATCAGAAAATGTCAAATAAATCATGGGCATTCCAACTTTTATGTTGGTATAACTAATTTAGATTACACCTGAAACTGAACTAGAGCTCTATTATTAAAATACTTAATAGCCGAGTCTGTAAGATCTATTTTAGATCTAACCTACCTTGGAGCAGTTTGGTAACTGGTGTGTGTGGGGGGGGTAAGTCTTACTCCCGAACTCCCGTGCAGTGATATATCACTGCGGCGGGCAGGTATCTCACCGTAAGCATGGTAACATCGTAATAAACAACTGACGTGATTGGTTCTAGTCCCATGCTCAGGTCGCGTGATTGTAAAATTTAGACAATTTCATTGGTTGAATTGCGCGTATTAGTCTAACTAATAAACAACACGTGCAGTAAACTTTTATCAACACAACTTTTACTCAGAATTTCTTCCGCGGCGATTTCCTCTTATATTTCATTGATTTTGGAATATTTCGACAAAATAATTATTGGTGAACATAAAAGAAAATATATTATAAGTTGTGTGAAAAACAAGTACATCTCTGAGAAAAAGGGGGACTATCTTCCCCAAATTTTGGGGATTCCATAATCTGCCCGCCGCAGTGTCTATACCGAGACACTGCATAGGAGTTCGTCTTACCCCCATAAATGAGGGTGGTGTTGATTTATGGGGGAAGGAGGGGGGTGCTAGACCAGGCTAGAAAACCTCTATATTTCAAATCACCCCACAACTAAAAACATTTCAATACGCAAGTAGTTTTGAAAAATTACACATTCATGGGTATATTTGCACATAGCCATCTTTTAGATAGATGGCTATGCAAAACTCGATATTCCCAGTCCTTTATAAAGGTCTTTTGGAAATATGTAAGAAATATTGGAAACATTTACCCTACTTCAATCGATGCATAACATTCTAGAATAAAGTTTTTCTAACCATATCGGGCTATCCGGAGTCGGGAGACAGCGTAATTGACGAAAAATGTTGAAGAGTCGATAATTTCCAAGATGGCTTCTCAGAAAGTTTGGTAATGCGCATGCGCCTCCATGCCATGAGATTTCCGCTTCTGGTTACACGCATGCGCATTGGCAAGACTTCCTGGTCAGGACGACATGGAAATAACAAGTTTCAAATACATTTTTCGTCGATTACACTGTCTACCGACTCCAGCTAGCGTTCTACGAATATTAAACCAATATTTTATGATGTTATACATCGATTGAAGTAGTGTAGGTGTTCCAACGATTTCTTACATTTCTGTAAAAGACCTTTTACATGGACTTGGTATGTCAAGATATGCAAGAGATAGCTTTGTGCAAACTAAGTAATATGGGAGTATGTTATTCAACAAAATCTATTACAGCATGGGCTTTCATCTAGTTGAAAGCCCATGATTACATGAAAGCAAAGGTTGTCTAAAGCACAGTAGCTGGAAAGTACTAATTAATGTACACATCACAGGTATATTAGCAAACTTAATCCTTCTGGAAAGCTTGCTGTAATGTCAGTCTTTCATATATAATTGTTATCAATTTTTTATACATGATTTGACGCTATATTGTATTCGCGTTTTTTTGGCATTTTGAAATTTTGCGGCTATTATATTTTGCTAATTTTTACTTTTTACTTTTTTAAAATTTTGCGGCTATCAATTTTTCGCGGATTTGTCATACAAGATCACTCTTTCAACTACGATATCAGCAATGGTTGTTCCTTCGCCCGATGATTTTCACTTCTCAAGCCATTTCGTTAGAATGTTCATTTTAATACAGTAATAACGATCTTTCTTCCAATTTCTCTTTTTCAAAACTATCTATTATCACCCAAAAAAGCGTGAAATATAGTAGCGCCCGAAAATTACCAGGAGTACAGTATATACCTTATGTTAAAGTTATTTTACAGACTTAAATCGAAAGGTACTCAATGTCTGAAAGATGATTTATGGATGAACATTCATGGATGTTGATTAAAGGAACTCTGAGTGTCAGAAATGACCTAAAAATTGGCATCATTTTAATTTAGCCTATATTTTTGCAAAATGCCATTTTTTTATAAAACAAAACTACCAAATAAAGGTTGATTACAATGTTACACAAATCACATTTTAATACAGCTAAGAATAATTTCATTTTCCTTTTGATTAAATACTAGGAGTTATGACCATTTAGTCATTATCCAGATTTTACCTATTTTAACTATTTTTTGTCATAATACTAAGAAAATCTCAAAGTTTATTTTTAGACTTAGACGTTTCATTATATCAGGGAAAATAACCTTCCCCTGTGCAATGGGTATATCATTTGAACGTAACCTTAACTTTTGTTTGAAGTCTACTATTGAAAACAGAATTTAGCATACCCTAAAATGTATGTTTCCCCTTTTAGATATTTAACGTTACAATTTGCTTGCTTGGTAATTTTTCTTTACAGGGTGTTTCATATGTATGCACTCCCCTCTAAACCTATCATCTTGCTTCTGAAACTTTGCAATCCTATCTAGTATGTAACTTTCCATAAGGATGCTTCATGTATGAGTTTAGAGGGGGTGCATACATATGAAACACCCTGTGTGTCTTCATCATATTCATAAATCTGGAGGCATTAGTGCGATTAGAGTTATCCTGTCAATTTATTTTTTGCAACAGAAGTAGTTAAAGAATGTGAAACATTGAGAAAAAATGACATGCTAAAGTATATTATTATAATTTTCATGTTTAAAGTCTTTTCATTTTGTATAAACAGTATACAGTAAAACCTGTCTTTGTGAACATCTCTCTCTATCTAGTGAACACCTGTCTCTAGTGAACACCCTTCCTCCACACATATACTCTATTGACTTCTGTATAAATTACCCTCTCTCTAGTGAATACCTACCAACACTGAACATTTTTTCTCGACAAAAAACTGTTTAATATACACAGGTTTTACTGTATACTGTATTATGAAATATACATGTCATGCAATAAAATTACTCCCTATTGTCAAAATTTATTGCTTTGATTTATAATTAAAAAATTGAACAAACAAAACACATTTTCGAAAAATAGTGCAAAAATTTTCCTTCTGGGCATATTTTGTTCATTGACGTGTTCAGTAGACAGGATATCCCCTCGGGAAAAATATTTTGCAAATCTATGAGAGTTACTATTTGCATATGAATATCAGGTTACTAAATAATTGATTAATTTCCTCTTTTTATCACATACTAAAAATCCTCTTATCTCCGTCAGTTATGAAAATATTAGACTAAAAGAATCCCACTTTAGCTGAAATAATTTCCGAGATATTTGAATTAAAAATACAGAGATTGTTTTCTTAGGTGTCAGTAGAATCGATTCCAAGTAAAATTTGTCAATAAAGTAAGACTTAATGAAAACCCAGCATCTCTTGTCTGTAGAATTTTCCATGAAGTGTATGGTATCCAAGAACAAGACCCCATTGAGCCATACTTGAAAGAACCCGTTGTTGACATTTCTATATGATCAATAAGGCACCCATTGTCAGCATTTAGGCTTAGATGAAATATAACCTGTAATTTCCTAGTCTTTCTCAAATGTCAGAACCTCAAAAATCTTGAGAAGGCAGGGATTCCATGACGGATGAGAAGCGAATTAAATACTTAAAGAACATGCCATTAATTATTAAAAAAAACTAATTAAATTGACATTAACACGCAATCAGAAACAAATGACCTGACAAAATAAAGACGCTAGTTTATTAAAGATCATGCAATCTTGACTTTTATGATAAAATGTAAATGTGACTATTTGAAGGAGATATTGTTAACTTAACAACACTAACTAGAAACGCGTACTTGTGATAGGCAGGATTTGAGATAACTAGGATATGTCACAGATAGTGGGCATTAGAGGCCGTTATTTCAACATGGAGACTATAAATTATAGTTTTTCTGAATAGGATGCAAATAAATTCTTAGAATTAAAAAACAGGAAATAATAATTCCCGTAGTTTTGTCATGGATTAAAATAGTATTATTTGGATCTTGGAGATCCTTGGGATAATGATAACTTGTAGGATAATTTTAGCAGTGACATATTGGCATAGGCCTAGTGTTTTGTTGATGTTTTGAAGGGTAACATACAATATGCCGAAGACAGTTTCTTTCCTACCGCAACTTGTGGAGGAAAATGAAGGATCTTGGGAACAAAAACCATGGGGATATATACCATGGGATCAAACACCATGGGGACATAGATCATGGGAGAATAAATCATGTGATACCAGTGTGACATTAAGTATTAAAGAACCTATTGTTTTTCCAGGCTTTAAAAACGGCATCATGAAGCATCCACATAACAGTACAGAGACGTTCTCGTTCAATCTCGGGAAAGCGCCAGAATTACGCTGCGTTAACCAACTGAAGAATACAGTATGTGGCGAGTGTGAGACATGTCATTTAGTTCAAAAACTCATCCTTACACGGCAATGGTTTCAAAAAAGCGGAGATCACACACAGAAACGATTCTTACTTGGACTTATACGGAGATTCCACAGTATCGACCTACTGGAATACATTGTGACCTTACTCCAACCATTATTATGCAAAGACTTCACATATGCAAGAACAAGAACGAAACCCAGTCTGGAGACGGACAGGTATAAACTGAACTCTGACAGAGCGCTAAATGGCGCTTCAATGGAGCAGGAATTAATAGAAACATGGTACTGGTTCCAAACTGCAAACTATTGGACGAAGTGTAACTTTATTCTTGGCTTGATGCGTTGGTGTGACGCACATCTACTACATCTTGCGGGGCTGCAAGCACGGACACTTCTAGCCTCAGAAAGGAAGGTTGCTCTTCCAAAAGGTAATTATACTTTCAGTATGCTCTTCGAAAACCACGCTCACTCAATTATGACAAAGTCATAAATGCATGGTTTTGCTCAATGAGACAAACAAAAAATAACTTTTTACTAAAACAGTGAGAATAAAAATTGTGAATAAATTATAATCATGGGTATATCAATCAAATGTATCAATTTAATTTATTATGTTGATTGCCAAAAACAATAATTTACTAATATCTATTTCACTATTGTTAATATTTTCGTAAGAATATCCATACAATGTAAATAAATTATTCCAAGTTTGACACTCAACGTGTACACATGCAACAAACTTTGTATTCATAGAGCCCTAGCGTTGCTATTGACTTTATTTATCAAAATTGATTACATTCTAAAGAGGGTTCACTTTTGGTCTTGATTTGTCAAGGTTTGCTTGTCTATTCAATAGATATGGCATAATCTCAGTCTTGACATTTCTATAGTTCCATGTAAATCAAGATCTCATTATTTCTTCAAATATTTTTATATTTAATCTAAGACTGACTGTGAGGAAATTGTTCAATGGACTCGACAGTTCAAATTGTAATTCAAAACTTAGTTGTAACAATCTATCATAAACTCTGCCAATATTATTTGCATAATGAAACAATTGGACTATTACATACAAGTTAGTGCTGAAAGAATTAACCTTTGTGATCTTAATGTTAAAGGCCCCGTAGAAAGTTTTAAAAATTATTATCATCCAAATATTATTCCTCATGACTTAAAAGCTGTTTTACACATTTTTTCTTATTAAGTATTATTAAAATAGGCTTGCCTCAGTTTGTGGAAATTTTGTCATTTGTATCTCACTTTGCAGAAAGAGGAAATAATATATAATGTCTTTCACATCAAAATTTTCACATTTCATTTTTTATTAAGGCAGATGAGTTAAACTCACAAACTTCATTTTTCCAAATCTTAAAGTAAAAGGCCAACAAAATATTATTTTGATTGAAAAATATGTAAAAGAGCCTTTTGGTCTTCCAAAATAATATTTGGATGAAAAAATAATTTCAAACGTTACATTGGGCCTTTAAACATATTTTGATTTATCAGTTTCCATTGTCATTTTGTTGCAGATAATTATGAATCATCGTCCATCGCCAGTAGCACTTACAGCCTCGATAGTCATGCCCCACACCTTCAACTCCTCATGGATGCTAACCCCAGCTACTCCCCCCTCCCTCCTGACCCCCTGGCAGACACACAGACAGAAACGGAAATAGATATTATCATCGACGATGATGATGAGATCATTAATGATGATTCGGGTGATGATGATTTCTTTGATAATGGATCAGATCTGAGTTCTTTGGACCCTACATGTTTGGTGATTCCAACTTCATCTAAAGCATATTCTGGGGTATCTCTACATAAGGATTTTATCCGGAGTCTCCCCGTTCATTTATCCAAATACATACTTGGGTTTCTGGATAAGGCGGCTCTCCATAATGCACTATGCGTAAGCAGCAACTGGCGCCACCTAGTGGAAGAAGTTCACAAAGAATTCTACGTAAACCAGCAACTATGGGAAGAGGTCCAATTGATGCAAGGCATGGCCGCACAAAGCAGCGATCCAAACTATGCCAATGACATTGACGTCCCTGTGCCAAACCTTGACAATGGCTCATGGGATGTCATAAAGACCTCTTCTGATGTTGTAGAGACCAAGTTTAAAACTGAAATGAATTTGGAGACTGCGTATAGTGGTATCTCTAAAAGGAACATTATAATGGAAGAGAGAAATGTTTACTGTGGGGCCTACAATGTCATGGTACTGACCGACCAGTAAGTCAGCATTTCAGAAAATATTGTTGTACCTGTCACGCAGTAGGGTTAAATTGCTTTATTACCAAACATTTTGACAAAAAGCTCCTAAATAAAGATTTTGTGCATGTATAATACCTCAAATATCCTTTATTACAAAGCTTTTTTGGTCAAAATGCTTCATAACGAAACTTCCTCTGAAGATGTAACTCTATCCATTGTGGTTTTGTTTTTAAAAAGTAACAAGTGAATTTATGACGACATATAAAAATCACAAAAGTCTGCAATTTATTCCATCAATAAACAAATTAAATTCAAGAATAGTTAGCATTAATGTGTCTTATCTGATCACTGTGACAGGCTTATTTAAACGCATATTTTACATTAGTTTGTTCTTTCCAGACCAGATGCTCATCGCTGCATCCACACAAATGGCTTAAAACTGACAGCAATCGGCTCTAAAGATCGCCACGTTAAATTCCTCCACAATGAGACAGGACGTGAGATTGCGCCTGTGTGCATAGGCCATGCAGGCTCTGTAAGATGTGTAGCTCTATGTGAGCAAAAAGGATATGTTCTCAGTGGAAGTTATGATCTCAGTATAAGGTGAGATTCATCTTTGTTTGTAACAGATGTTAAAGTGTTGTTTCAATTTCAGGATCCCACCTCTTTACCTTATCAGTAGGTGAAGCAAGGGGGGTGTCACAGGGGTTTGAAGCTAGACTATGTTAAAAATATAATAGATGTGGTATTTAGAGGTTATGTCACTATGACGTGAAATATGCTCTTCCAAGTTCTAGTTCTCCCAATATAGGCCGACCTTGGGAGGAACTATATTTGGATTTTGGGCAAGAACGAAGGCATATTTCACGTCATAATGACATAACTGATGTATTACAACATACCTTTATTCCCGTGGTTACTAAAGTATCAATGACGTCAAATATCTCTGAGCGAGTAGAATTTGATTGAAATCAAACATGGCATCATGCTATTGTCATGGTTGTTACAGAATCTAATGTCAAAAATCCACTCTCATCTGTGCAAAAGGATGAATTAAGAAGAATGCCTATTATTTGTACATCTTAACTTTCAAATATTTGCAACTCGCACTCATTTTTTGTGTTAAAGAAAATGGAGTCTGGAAACAGGCAAGCCATTAAAGATTCTGCGTGGGCACAGGGATACGATAACATGTATGGAGATATGTGGAGACAGAATGGCATCAGGGGCAAAGGATCATTTATGTAAAGGTAAGTTCGCCCCAAACTGAATTTAAATTAGTGTAAGGCCCAACATACCAATGGGGCACCTTGGGACCCTCGTCCTCCATATACTATAAATGTACATCATCTTGTGGGATTTCTTGGAAATCTTTGATTCTGCCCCATTGGTGTGTGCTGGGCTTAAGTTGTGTCTGTAAAGTATATTTTAATGAAAAGGAACTTTTATCAGGGCATGGGTGGATCTGAAAAATTGACCCATTTTATTTACTTTGAGCCATTATCAATATATTGCATATGAGTAGTGTCAACTGGGAGGAGGTTCTATTTCTACTGACTAAAAATTTGGTACGTTTATGAAATAACTACTATTAATTTTCTTGTTTCAGTTTGGAACCTTGAGACTGGTAAATCAATCCGTACATTCAAACACCGCCATGCGGTGTGTGCGGTGGCATTGTCCAAGGATAGGTGTATCAGTGGCTGTGAGGGTGGCAAGGTGAAAGTTTGGGAATTACTCACTGGAAAACTTATTAAGGTAAATTAGACTTGACTGTTCATAACATGCAAGGCAAATATAATGTAAATGATAAATCTGTAAATAAATAAAATATTGAAGAATGGTCAAATATGTCATAGGGATTTAAAATCAGACTTATAAGGGTTAACAAAACATGTACTATTTTCCAAAATGTATTATTTAATTACCATATTTTCTAATCTAAAGTATCTACAGACTCTTGTTTATATGTTATGCTTTGATATTTTGATTTATTTTCTTGTAACATTTGCCTGAAAATGGCAAAATGGTGAATAAAAAACTCAAAATTAAACCCTTTTACAATATAATGTCTTCATATCTCAGCTTGAAAAATACATCTTATGATTTTGACTTCAGAGATTGACTGGACATCATGGACCAATCACAGGTATCAAGTTTGACAAGTGGCACTTGATCACCGCAAGCAAAGATGGCTACGCCCTTGTATGGTCAAACCAAGGAAATCATAAACGTTGTCTTAATGCACTTAGACATCCAAAGTAAGCTGATTCTTTTATTAGTATATTTAATATCAAAATCAATTATGTAATACATGAAATATACCCACGGTTATATTGTTGTTTTACGATAAATGACAAAAATAATACACATCAAGATTTTTACTGTCATTTCTAATAATTTGAATTTTTATAAATCACTTGTACAAATTAACTGAATTTGTTGTCCAGTGTATAATATAAGTGTTTAATATTGCTAACAGATTTTCTATGTTCTTTTCTTTAACACTAGACTTGCTGGGTATGTAATGTTATTGTATAAGCATGCTATATTGTTTTGTGTTTATTTACAAAAATATTTTTCATCCTATATTTAAAAACTCTTTCATATCCGAGCATTTCAATGATTACTAGTTTAAAATACAAGGTGGTCCAAAATGATATTTGCTTTAAACATTGGATGAAAAATATATTTTGTATTGTTGAAAATAAACAGGATCCCCTCCATTTAATTTGATTGATTTGACGTTTTGTTCTTTTATGAGTTCTTTTTGTATTTTATATATTTCAGATGAATATTAGAGATAATTTCATACAGATATACACTGGATGTACATGTATAAAAACTGCTGAACTACATGAATTGAAATTTTACAATTGTCTGCTAATAGGCATAACTCATGGGAAATGTCATAGAGATGCTTTGGAGTGTTTGGTTTTGTATATGAAAGATAATTAAATGTTATACAAGGAAAGATCAAAACTGTTTTGATTACTCTGTAAAATGTCAAGACATTTTGGACAACCCTCAAATACAGGGTGTCAGCATTCCTTATAAAGCACCTCTAGCATTTAAAGAGTAAGCCTTAATTCATTTTACCTTTGAAACATTCAGCATATATAAAACCTAGAATATTATGTACATCAATATATTTGTTTCTGGATCACATCCAATTGTTTGTCTTTGCACTAAGGTCATAAGAAATAGGTTCTTTGTTTTACGTCCGCTTGTGTGCATGATTTAAGACTTTGGATTTTGCCAGAGGACACAAAAAAAAGTACAGTATCTTCTTCTTATGGCCTAAGCAAGGTCCACATCCATGTTTTTTGTTATTTTACTTATGCACTACAGCACAGGGGCTTATGGGCTGCATATGCACACATGGGTATATGTACTGCTTCATTTTTGGGTTGTAGGGTATAATCATCATCCAATAAGTACAATTAAGTGATCACATTTGTGTGTTATCAAATACAGTAATTGTAATTTCAAAGCATCAAACGTTATTGATTTTGGTGCACAATAACCTATAAAGTTCTTGTGCCATTTGAATTATGGGAAATCTGAATAGGAAATGGGCTTATGGGACACTACTGCATACTTTAGAGTATTGGTACTGTACATTAATATATTTTGGAGACATACTATACATTTTGAAAAATGTGACCTGTATACCATGTACAAATATCTTTGTGTTGTTTATTGAAACTAATTTTCTAGTGATTAATCATAACATTTATGTTGTTGTTCTGTTACTTTACGTATATGGTGTGTTGTGAATGTCTTATTTGTGAATGTTCTTTCAGAGTTTTTTACACTACCATTCTGTATAGACATCAAATTTTAAAACACAGTTTACAGGTTTTAAGATATTCAGTTGGTATTAATATTGTGTTCAAACACATTAAAGAAGTACATTGTGTTCAAACACATTAAAGAAGTACATTGTGTTCAAACATATTAAAGAAGTATATTGTGTTCAAACATATTAAAGAGGTATATTGTGTTCAAACACATTAAAGAAGTATATTGTGTTCAAACACATTAAAGAAGTACATTGTGTTCAAACACATTAAAGAAGTACATTGTGTTCAAACATATTAAAGAAGTATATTGTGTTCAAACACATTAAAGAAGTACATTGTGTTCAAACACATTAAAGAAGTACATTGTGTTCAAACATATTAAAGAAGTATATTGTGTTCAAACATATTAAAGAAGTATATTGTGTTCAAACACATTAAAGAAGTACATTGTGTTCAAACACATTAAAGAAGTACATTGTGTTCAAACACATTAAAGAAGTACATTGTGTTCAAACATATTAAAGAAGTATATTGTGTTCAAACACATTAAAGAAGTATATTGTATTCAAACACATTAAAGAAGTACATTGTGTTCAAACACATTAAAGAAGTATATTGTGTTCAAACACATTAAAGAAGTACATTGTGTTCACACACATTAAAGAAGTACATTGTGTTCAAACACATTAAAGAGTACATTGTGTTCAAACATTAAAGAAGTACATTGTGTTCAAACACATTAAAGAGTACATTGTGTTCAAACATTAAAGAAGTACATTGTGTTCAAACACATTAAAGAAGTATATTGTGTTGAAACACATTAAAGAAGTATATTGTGTTCAAACACATTAAAGAAGTACACTGTGTTCAAACACATTAAAGAAGTATATTGTGTTCAAACACATTAAAGAAGTATATTGTATTCAAACACATTAAAGAAGTACATTGTGTTCAAACACATTAAAGAAGTACACTGTGGTCAAACACATTAAAGAAGTATATTGTGTTCAAACACATTAAAGAAGTATATTGTATTCAAACACATTAAAGAAGTACATTGTGTTCAAACACATTAAAGAGTACATTGTGTTCAAACATTAAAGAAGTATATTGTGTTCAAACACATTAAAGAAGTATATTGTGTTGAAACACATTAAAGAAGTATATTGTGTTGAAACACATTAAAGAAGTACATTGTGTTCAAACACATTAAAGAAGTACATTGTGTTCAAACACATTAAAGAAGTACATTGTGTTCAAACACATTAAAGAAGTACATTGTGTTCACACACATTTTTCGAGAGGTACAATGTGCTCACAAATACAAGTTTCATTCGTACTATATTTACAATCAATCATATATTTATTTGTTTTCTTAATCTTTGTATTATATTTTGCAGGGAGGTCCTGTGTCTTGAGTTTATGTATCTGAGGGTCATCACTGGCTCTGAAGATGGCAAGGTCCGAATCTGGAACATGGTAACTGGTCAGTGTTTACGTATCATGCGGGGCAACAGTCGCAGTGAACCAATCACAAGCCTCATCGCCATTGATGACAGGTTGGTTTTTAGCGAGTCACTTCCACTAAATAAAATCACAAGCATAAAGAATGGGCAAAAATCAATTGTCTCCTTTTTTGATAGAGATTTTTTCCGTTAAATTGGATTTAATGTAAACTTCCTGGCAATTCTAAGGACTAAAACAGTAAAAGAGAGCTGTAATCAAGAAAGTATAGATGTACTTAATATTTGATTTTTTAATTAATGAGAAATTAATGATAAAAATATATATTTTCCAGGATTACACTTAACAGTAACAATAGTGTCTTGGTGTTGAACTTTGAACCAATTGAATGGGACTACTTTCTTGAGTCTGACAAACTGCCAGCACCTACGCAATATGCAAGCTACTCAAATGCCCCAGTCAGGACTCAGCCCTACAGCCTGGTAAGGGCTAATCGCATGGAGAGAGTGGGCGCAACAGATATGAGAATTATACATCATGATAAGCCAAACAGAGAGAAGGGAGCTAGCTCCAGCAGTAAATTTGTACATAGGCCAGAACAGTTGCCACGCAGTGCTATGACATTAAGTCAGCGTGTCATCGATAGTGCAAAGCAAATTCAGAAGAATTATATTGATGATACAGGGCGTAAAAGTGCATTGAAATCCAGGGCTGAATCTCGTGCAGATTCCAGAATGGATAAAACTGTTGACTTCACAGATTACCAGTCAAGCGATGGTACTAAAAGTGTAAACACTCTTGGGTCTTCTAGGCCTCCCAAGTCAGTCAGTACAGTAGCAAGACAGGGCAGTAATGCCCGCCTGACTAAGCCCCCTCCTTCCCCTAGCCGAGCCCCAACTGCTAAATCCCGCATGAGTGCTCACCATAAACCCCCCAGTCCAAACTTTAGCGAGGATTCTGACTACCAAACTGGCCCAGTGTCCCACCAGAGAAGACTCTCATGGGCCTTTGAGAACCCACAGGGGGATAAATCTAGAGACCTTACCCTTTCTGAAGCCAAGTACCTCTGGAGGTCTCAGATAAGAGCCAGTGAGAATGTGATCCCTCCTGACTATGTGTACCTTACTATAAGTGCCATGCAGGGCGCAAGCAAGACTGATGACACAACAAGGAACACTGCATATAATCTTCAGCCTGAATTGGATAGAAGATTTATTGCTCCAGATACTTCTAAGGGACGCCCATCTTCTGGCCCGAGTAGAGTTGATCCACGAACTAAAGTCCCTGTGTCTGAGCTTGGAATAAACCAAACACTACAAAATGAACACAAGACTCATAATGTTGATTATCCCAGTGACAATGAACTTTCCCAATCCCAGGTGCCAGGATCTCGTCCCCGCACTAGTGTCTCAAGGTCCTCAGTTCCGATTCCCCAAACTCAAGTCTATACAACTGGCTTCTCTGTCACTCCCGTAAAAACTGAAGCTAAAGTTAGCGCTCACCCTAAACATGTCCAAACTAGTATTCCTAAGGGCAGAATCATCAGACCCCATACATCGGGAGGAGTTCACCGCACTGCTTCTGCATCTGATATCCCCGACTCCCAAAATCCACGTCCTGTGAGTGCTGCAGTTGTTGAAAGACCTGGGACTGCTCTATCAGTGGCTCGATCTGGGAAATCACCTGCCCCTGGTCACCCAGCTAGGCCAACCACAAGACAATCAACCAGGCCTAATACAGGACAAAACACCAGGCCTACTACAGCGAAGACACAACACACTGCCTTGACTACTCAGTCGAACCGCTCTAAGAAATCTCATGGGTATACAACTTCTGCTACTGATATCAACATGGTCCCTATGTTAATGTATCCACAAGACATGGCTGAGAAAATTAATGAATTAAAACAGCGGAGAATTGAAGCAACAAGACATTCAGTTGAACGGAGCAGTAGCGAGCCTGCTTTGGGGAAAGTCAGTCTATTTAACCATCCAATGAGAACACATGTACAGTTCAAACTTATGACCAATCAGCAAACACAAGATTTGCATAATGATATCACAAAGACATTTGAAGATCAGAAAAAGAAACGTATAGAGGAGGCAGAAAAGAAACAAAGAGACTTATGGTTGCAAAAAGCTGCCAAGAAAAACTCTCAAATATCACGTCCTAAAACTGCACCCATTAAATGAAGTAGACTATAGTGTGTACAGTTCTAAGTACTATGATGAAAATTATTTTTACGCATATTACTGTGATGCTTAGGTACTTGAAAATCTAAATCAAGTATGAGTAAAAAAGAAGATCTCCTTAAAAGAGGATTTTCCTTAATAAATGAAATGCACATTCAAATTAAATCACTTGTTAATAAAACACTACTATAGCAACAATTCGCATTCATACAAAATGTTGGATATTGTTGGATATCATGTAAAGAATGAGAAGAAAACTTATGAAAAATAAAACCTATAACCAGCAGGGTATCAAGCCTATTTTTGTACTCACGTATGTAAAAAATATTACTGCTGAAATTGTTTATTATTTTGAATAGGGTTCTGTATCTCTAAAGGCAATGGGTAAACTAAAAGATTGGTAAGAAATTCCTGAAAGACATGTTGTTATTTAGTATTATTAACAGATATTTAATGGCCACTTCTTATTGTCAATTAAGTAATGGCTAAACTTTACAATTGCTTGGTGTATTTATGATCTCAAATGTTCATAGTACAGTGAAACCTGTAAAGTGGAACACCCCTAGAAATGGAACACCTCTGTTAGTGGAACACTTCAGAGTCCCAAGACCAACTGACTTAATGTGTACTGAACCTTTATAAGTAGAACACCTCCCAAGTTGAACACTTTTAAGAGGTACCAAAGGTGTTGGGTAATTTTGTTCAATGTTTTACTTTATAATCCTGAAATTACATGTACAGGGTGATCCAGAAGTAACGTCAAAGACATTGTAATTTCAAAAGTATTCATCAGATCTTCATGAAATTTGGTATACATGTACCCACAACATTTCTGAGTTACCATCTCAAAGATTGAAATTCAATCATTTCATTGGTTGAAATTATGGTTGCTATAGTAACCCGATATCGCGTAACCCGGGGCAAATTGAAGAGAAACCATAACGTTTTTGTGAATTTCTCTAATTTAAAAAGTCAGTAACATTTGAAAATGTTCATTGTTTGTTTTCTATGATTTTTATATTTGTTGCCATGGTAACAAATATGTAATAGTTGTGATGTCACAATAGGCATTCATAAAAAGCTTTCAATTTCTTTGAATTGCTTCCATCATCCATGACAAATACTAACATGACCAAGGACACTAACCCACCCAATTCAAGATGGCGCCAAGTCAGAGTAAAATAGAGCAAAGAACAAACATTAAGTTCTGTGTAAAGTTGGGGAAAGGTGTAAAAGAGACTATAAGCAGATAAAGAAGGCATATGGTAAAGCTGCCATTGCTGAGAGAAACATTTACAGGTGGTTTAACAAGTATTCCAGTGGATATGATGAAGTGGTAGACAAGCAGCGAGGAGGCAGGCCAGTGTCGTCATTCGATGATCAAACCATCAAAGCAATTGAAGCTGATGTTATGGACAATAGGCAAATTTCTATCAGAGAATTGGCTGAAAAACACGATCTGAGCTATGGGACTGTGCAACGGATACTGACAAAGAACTGTCTGTTAAAGAAGGTGTCTGCTAAATGGGTGCCGCATGACTTGACACAGGAGCAGAAAGACCGGCGTGTTAAGGCTTCAAGGGACTTTCTTGCAAAATATCGGAGAGATGGAGATGACTTTCTTAACAAGATCATTACGAGTGACGAATCATTGCTATCATTCTACATCCCAGAGACCACGCAACAAAGTTCATCGTGGAAACATGACAACTCCCCAACACCAACCAAGCCTAAAATAGTACCAGGAATTCCACAAAAGAAACAAATGGTTGTGACATTCTTTGACATTAGAGGAATGGTGTTAACCCATTTTGTTCCCATTGGCCAGAGAATTAATGCCGTTTACATTGCAAAGGTAAGATATCATTTGTTCTAATAATACATCATACTGTGAATTTTATTTTTAAATTAAAGTATTTAAATGTTGTTCACTGTCAATATAATTATAACTCCATGGCCATGATTCAAATCCAAATCCAATCAATGAAACAACTGGTTTAACAACCATTAAACATTTGTTTTTCAGGTTCTGAAGCGTGATCTTCAACGTTCCCTGAGGAAAAAGCGTCCCGGACATCTGCAGCAGTTTATCTTGCATTGGGACAATGCCCCTACGCACACTGCAATCCTGACCAGCAACACAGTCCAAACACTTGGATTTCAACAACTTGAACATGCCCCTTATTCACCTGATCTTGCCCCCAGTGACTTTTATTTGTATGGGGAACTAAAAAGAAACCTTAGTGGAAATACTTTTCAATCCTGTGAGGAATTGAAAAATGCCGTAGTACTAGCCCTACAAGGAATGAGTTCTAATGGATTTAATTCTGTGTTCAAGGAATGGGTATCCAGACATGAGAAATGTGTTGCAAATGGTGGCAATTATGTAGAATGAACTATTATTAGTAACTGTGCAATAGTATGATTTATATTGTTGTGAAATAAAATGTTGAGGATATAACAATTTCAGATCTTGTTGATATTTTGAGATTACGCATTACACGTTAAGTAATTTGCCCCGGGTTACGCGATATCGGGTTACTATAGCAACCATAATTTCAACCAATGAAATGATTGAATTCCAATCTTTGAGATGGTAACTCAGAAATGTTGTGGGTACATGTATACCAAATTTCATGAAGATCTGATGAATACTTTTGAAATTACAACATCTTTGACGTTACTTCTGGATCACCCTGTACATATATGTACTATTGTATTTTATACCAAACGTGAATAATGTGTTTGCATTTTTTCAATTATACATTTATTTAACACTGCTGCTTTCTGATAAAATGTGTCAACATTATAATAACATTGTCCAGGATGCATTTGTTTTAATTTTGTGTAAATTGTACTCAACACTAAATTGTCAACATGTAATATAAAATGTTTCAATTTCATGCTTATTGCCAAATCTTGTACAGTACTACAATAGGTCTATTATTCCTATGTTTTTTAAGGATTATGTATTAAATTGAAAAAAAATAAAAAAAATAATGAGTCATGGAAAAACAATTATTTAAATTATAGCTTAGAGAATATGAAGTGCAATCAAGAAAGAAATTCCCAATAATGATACATGTAATTGAAATCTAGTATATCATTGCATTAACTATTTTATAAATGAGTAGGCTTGTAGTAGGCCTATTACATTTTTGTTTTGTTATATTTCATAGAAGAAATAAACTGTATATGATGTTTTATCTCATATAATTTTGAGTTAGATGATGGCGAAATAAGGTATCATATGGCTTATATTGTAGCATGGACCTGTATCCATGATTGTAGTATTACATTTTATCTTCTGCATTTTTTTTATTTTTCTTATAGTCTATATTGATTTTATTAAACCATTAAAGGTAATTTTTGAAAGACTAAAACATTAAATAAAAATATTAAAATCGAACACATTATTCTGTTTTTATTTGAAAAAAATGGTTCAGAAGAGACATGACCATGGAGGCCTGTAGCCAGGTTTTGCCAAAGGGTGCTGGGGGGTCATTTTTCAAAAATTTCCAGGGGGGTCATATTGGACAACTTTGGCTACAGGCCTGCCATGAGTGTGGTACTTATCCAGCGATACTAAAATTTTACTGAACACACCTAGCTAAAATGTTAGACAGTTAAAAATATATATATACTTTTATAAAGTATTTCCCCAATGCTTAAATCTTTCATCCTTTTCAAGCAGAGAATGTTACATTCATTTTCTCTGTTTATTTCACTTCACAGAACTGCAGATATTTTGTTTTTATATTGACACTTTCTCTTACACTTTGATAATTTCATCAACAGTGTTTTGATTGAAAGCCCTTTGGAAATTTTGATACTTTTAATATTTTTAATTCAAATACCATTCCTCATTTTTCAAATGTTCAAATTTCCCTCCATTTTTACAACAAAAGTTAGGCGGATTATCAGATTGTTATCAAAACAAATAAACATGTCTAGGTTGTGCCATAAGTATCTTCACATAACAACAAATGTGTGTAGTTACTGTAACCATACCAAAATAATTAATAAAGGACCCAATCGTTTACATGAGGGCCCAAAAAGCAGAAAAACTAAAAAATTAACACCACAAACCAAAGCAACCCTTTGATATTGGCTTACTTTGAAATGTTAGTTTTAAACACCATCACTATGGACATCAATCAGTCAAGTGAACAATATGGGTTACATAAAAACCATGGGCTTTCAACTAGATGAAACCTCATGCATAAACACACCAACGATAAATGAATTCTTATTTGGGAGGATATACAGTCCTCCCCCCCCCCCGAAAAAAATCTGCTTGCAAAACACCAAGGCTGAGTTCTTACAAATCAAACGTCATGTGTTTTTGATGCAATGTTAGCATGAATATGTTGACATGGCATGTTTTTAAGTACAGAGAACCCATGGGGAGATTGTTGAATGGAGCAGTGATTGGAGTGTGCCAAGTAAGCCCTTTAAATTTCTAGGTTACAATGACCTACTTTAAAGTATGAATCAATCAATCAATTACGAACGATAATGTCAAGACATCTATTTTCCAGGTAAATGCCAAATCAGTATCATATCATATCCTGCCTTTAATGTTATGGATAAAACATCATAGAAGTACAAAACCCTTTGATATAATATCACAACGGGGCGTAAAAGTCGTAACTGGTTGATTGATTTTACTTTTGAGTCACATCTGAAAACGAGGCAGTTGAGCGGCAGACACAAAAGGTAAGAAAGAAAAACTTTTGCTCCTAATTTTATCTGTTTTCCACGTAAGTATACACATTTAAATATAACTAATTGAATTAAATGATTCCTATTGGCGCAGTGCACTTGGATGGTGCTCATTGAGCTCCTAAATTAATGCATAAACGAGAAAATTGTACTTTTCAAAATAAAAACAAAAGAAATTTTATTTATTGAATCAAACAACGCACTTATGAACTTTCTTATGAGGATATGTAATGAATCATTCCAAATAGCCTGATGTATATAATGTATAATCATCACTATTCTGATTCATTTTGCATAGCTAATGATACAATGATTCACATGTTGCTTGGTTTTATCCTGTTGTCTAGACAATGAGCAAATATGCCCTTATAAGGAAAGTGAATTGTGGTTAATCTTGATGAATCAGCTAAACACAATTAAGGCCTAGAATCTCAGCATCTGCTGCAGGCCAGGTTTTTAAGCTTTGTCTCTGATGATTTCAAAATCTGCGATGTGGTGCATAGAGGTATCCCATTCTGGCCTTGGGAGTGTTCAATAGAATTTCATGCTGGATTTCAAAAGTCAAACAAAATCAGTGCTAGCCACACAGTTTGAAAAGTAGTGGAGTTTATCCCGTGCCAGGACTATAGTCCTGAGAACGTCTCAATCTTCGTCTCAAACCTGGCACGGATAAAGTGGAGTGATTTTGTCACTTACGGAAAATAATTACTGTGGCAGCACTGCGACAGCCAGTAAATTTGTATAAGGGCTTTGACGACATGCATATGGGGCCTAACATACAGTAACATCTAACAATGAATTATTACAATTTTACAATTGCAGTAATACT